GATATGGTCCAGTCACGACCCGACGGTCTGATTGAACTGTTTACTCCGCCAATGGATTCACACGTTTGGTTCCAGTCTCATTTCTAGTCGGTCCCAATGTCCACTCCATAGGTACGTAGTGAATCCCTCTCCCCTCCTCTCTTCTCATAGATTAGTGTAAAAGTCAGAAGGTGTCAACCGCTCTCCCCTGACCCGATCCGCAGAAACAAACTTTCCCCTAATCCCATCCCGTTCCCTTGGATCCCTCCCGTCGGCTGGCGGCATGTTTGTCTTTTTTTACTTATCTACTTATGTACCTAGTACTTATTTATCTCTTGCAGAGCCCATCTGGATGCCTTGTTTTCTAGGGTAGGACAAGTCTACCGCAGGTAAAAACACCAGACCCAGTCGTACCACTACAAGGTGGAGACCAGTCTATAGAGGCGTTTATTCCCCAGGTTCCCTCGAGTACCCCATACCTACACCTACTATCTACCTGCGTAGTTCATGTATGTACTCTGTACCTCCAGGCTAGACCCTCCATCCTATGCACAGAGCACAGACAGAAGATATCAGCAGGTCCGGAAGCAAGGGGCCCCGGTAGTTGATTTTTCGCATCTGGGTTGGTGGTGCCACCCGTGTAACTTGGCTGCCCTCTCCTTTTCCACGATCCTGGTCGTGTGCGACCAGTGGGTTTATATTGGCTTTGGAAAATGAAAGGAAACTTCTACGTGAGTGTCAGGCTCGTGCGCAGGCATACATCATTGAGTATCAAGACAAACAGGTCTTGTCGTCTTAGTCTTGTTTGTCAAGTTATTCATGGGGATCTAACGGAATGAGAGTATCGAGTACAGAATAGGCAGGAAAATAGAATAAACAAGACAAACCAGCTAAATACCTCAACTACAGACACTATCTCGTACCTACATACATACATCGTACATCAGCATTCTGTACTCCTACTCCGTCTCCGTCTCCATCCGTCTCCATCTCCGTCTCCATCTCCATCTCCGCCTCCGTCTCCGTACTATGCCCACACAATGCAAGTAATTAAATAGCCGACCAGCAAAGCGCCTAAAACCGCAAGTCACACACGGGATCCATGCGCCAGGCACACGGTCTCCCGCTGTCGACACTTAGTTTGACTCTCCTACCTAGTTTCCCTACCTAGTTTCCCTGATCTTCCTCCGTGCGCAGTCACCCGTCATAATACGAAAGTCTAGACCATTGGGCTGGAATGGCTTGAATGTCTGGGCAATCCAAATAGATAATTATAATTTGAATTACCCGGGGTCCAAGAGCGGGTGGCCCGGTCTCTTGGGGGCTATGAATATCGCTCTTACCGCGGTATACGACTAGTATAGACTAAGCTACCTACGGAGTAGGTACGGAGTAGTTGGGCATGTAGGAGAACAGACTACTCAAACTAGTGAATAAGTTCTTTTGTCTGTCTCTCTTTCTCTGTTGCCTTTTCTTCCTCTCCTGTTATTTTAGGTTAGATTGGTGCCCAAAAAAGACACCTACATGAAGCCCAGGACGATGGAACAAAATCCATGTTTCTGAATGATGACAGCGGCACATCCCGTCGTGTGACTCCGAGGAGATGGTTCGGCGCGGATCGTAATTCTACTGGCTGGGGTTAAGCGAGCTGCAGGGGTTGGCTTGATTAATAGTAGGTACCTAGTCGTGTTGTTGATACAGTCTGATTATTACTCCAACATTAGGTACCTAGGTATTTAGGTACGGAGTATCTGAGTTTCTATCTATCTGTCTGGGAGTAGAGCATATGTACTTCTATAAGGTACTAGAGGTCTAAGAGCAGTGAGAATAGGAGATCCTTGAGGGATATTGCAGTAACAGCAAGGCAATCAAAATCAGTACCAGGTGATCCATGAGAAACATCTTCAGCAAGGCAACTGAATGACATCACACTCGGCTGAGAGCAGCGGCGCAGGTTTGACGGTGTCGCGCTCAGTCTGTCGATCGAAGACAATGTCTAGGTTGGTCTCAAGAGCGAGGCTCTATTAATATTGCCCATTGGCAATATTGTACAATGATCCCGGCGACTGAAGCCCGCGATTGACGCTGATCCTCTATCAGGGCGAGATCTGGTCTTGTCTACAGAGCACCTTTGAAGTCCATCTATGGAGTATGGATATCAACATAATTGTCAGTCAACACCACGTGGCCAGTTCATACCTTATAAATCACGCAAATGAAAGTCAAAACAACGAGAAGATGTAAAACAGCCTTTCCACACAGGCTGTGAAGAGTTGGATACGAGGCAATCATACGTCGTATACCTCGTAGCCAGTGTGATGTGTAGAGCCAAATCTTCACACTCAAAGATAGATGTGGTCTGCTCGGGCCTTCCTCCTTGCTCATACAAACCTAATCCGGACCCGATCGACTGGAATGGTGAGGGGAGACCTCGATCTCCCGCTTTGGCGGGGAGGAAGTGAGGCTCGCAGTGAGGGTTCTGGATGCATCTGATTAGTACTATCATACTATGACCATGTTATGTACGATGGGATTATGATTGGATTATGGTTCAAGCCTAAGAAATCTTTCTGGAGCAATCACAACCATTACAGGTTGAGTCAAGCATTGGAGCAGAATTGTTGAACCTTGACTCCCTTGGCGGATGCTCTGAAACATCGCAGTGAGGAGACACTACCCCCGTACCCCTATCCCTGACTGCATCCCATCCCAAGAATGCCAGTGGAACTGGATAGATACAGACTCCCGTCTTGGATCTTCACCTCCCTGCAGCCGCCCACAATTGGGTCCGAACCACCGCCACAGACAGACAGACAGACTTCCAGGCACAGTGAGGTCAAGTATCGCAATGCATGCGATCTACCTAACCGGATGGGGATGCTTAACGCTGGGTCCCCGAGGTGCCCGATCACACTCATAATACAACACCATTGACTCTACCTTATGTCTCTCAGTATAGGGTCCAAGGAATTACGATGGTGCCATTCCCAAGACTGATACAGTTTGGAAATGAAAATTCAAGTTTTAAGACGCGAATCCTCCCAGCCACCAGGAAAGCAAAAACTAATGTGTACGTACCTCGTCCGGTTTGTTTGTGGCACACGTTGTGGAATCATATCATCTTCAGCTGGCACCAGCAGCGCCATCACGGTCCGAGCATCACCAAACAACATAAAATAAAATGGAATAAAATAAAAAATGACGGACCGCAGACGATGCGGGGGAACGGACCCTCTGTCTCCACCGAGACACATATCCTCACCTATCCTGGATAATTACTCCGTCTGTATCCGTACTCCGTCTCCATCATATCCATGCATACTGTCGACACCCACCACACACACCTCCAGCCAGAGACACAAGTACACCCACCAAAATAAACACGGTCGCATGTAACCAGGCAAAGCACGAAATAGGCAATAGCACCGACCCAGCGGAGCTGTCACCAGAAATGAAGAAAGGTGGTTTTTTTGCACGCGACAAGGCTTCAAACGCCACTGGATGTGTCACATTTCCATCGGGCTGGAACGCGCTCCGGCCCTCTTTCTCCTGGGGCGTATCTCTGGCGCTGTATCCGAGTATTCCCCTCTGGTGGAGCCGGAGCTTGCTGGAGTGAGATTGATGTGTACTTACATGTGCATATGTAGGTACTGATGTATAGAATATAAGATATGGGGGTGGAGGTTGATGTGTACGGAGGATTCCATACTTGGAGAGATGACTACATATTTGAGATCTGTTATCTTATAGACAATGACTATGTCATATGCAGTGTTTACTTAGTGGACCTAATATTCATCTGTGATTGATATGTTCTTTGTACCACAGTACGGAGTAGACGACTCTTTTGTCCTCATGTAACCCGACCAGACCCATGTCCAGACCAAACAACCAAGTAGATAATAAATATAGATTATAGTAATAATAATCATATAATAAACGATCTGTCAACTCGGGAGACTGGGATCGTCGTCCCAAAGGACAAGCAGAATGCACCGGGCCCGATGGGGATGGAAGAGCAGGCAAAAGGACAGGCAAACACGCCAACACCCGGATCGTCAGCCCGATGGCATGGACAATCGACTCTCCCTATGGTGTGGTACTGGTAGACTCTCTAACATGATTGTCGGGTGGGTAGGTAGGTAGGTTTAGAAGATTACTTTTGCCTAAAAATATAGAAATATAAATAATAAAAACGAAAGAAAGTGGCTGCGATGCCATCCATGATCCGTACTTTCATAGTTTGTCGGTAGGTAAAGGGGTTCTCCAAAACGGCCCCCAAGCACTAAATCGACAGCTGCGCTCTTTAATTTACTCCTCCTACCCAATAACCTAACTAGGTACCTAGTACCTATGAATAAGTACCTCTACCTCAGCAAAATGACGCTTGCAATAAACAGGGTTCTGGCCCATTCCGCCTGACAGGTGACATTCCCAGGCGATCCGAGGGATTTACATCTTACCTCCTTTTTGTCTATATATATAGGTACTATACTACTCCGTATACTATACTAACTATATGAACCGACCCTGAAGCGAGCCGTTAGTTAGCGCATCCAACCAACCAGTTATAGGGTAACCGTTTACTGTTTTGGTAGGAGGGTGCTACTGGCAACAAAAGTACGCTTTGCTCTTCCGGTGCTCGTCCCCATTGTTGGTACTCCCTTTGCTTCCCCTGATCAGCGCCATGTGTTCTTAACTAGACGGTTGGGCTGGGCTTGGTTTGGGATTATTGCTGGTCTGTATTGTTGCGATTATACTAGGCTTATACCTCCATGGTATTATATGTTGAATAGTCTAGGTACTCTATAGATAGACAAGTACAAAATACATAAACCAGGTTCAAAATAATACATACTTATTCTATGATATTTGACTAGAGTACAGCACACGGAGAACATATCCGACACCCCCAATGGAGGGAAATGAACAGACAGATGATACCGAACGCACGCAAGGACTCCCAGAATCAAGGAATAAACCAAGGGAAGAGAAGAGACTAATTTCATGCGAGTGACGTGATGTATCCGACGATCAGGAGCCTCACTTTTGTTCGGGCGTGTGAGTGGTCGCTTTGTGGTCTTTGCTTGTATTGTTATTGTTTTTACCGGGCGTGTCGTTCTTATTATGGTTATTACTGTTATCGTTTGTTGCCATTATGATGATACTTATGGGTTTTATAGCTATATTCGATACTATGACCAATCTACGTATTCTTTTAGGTCCGTCCCCTGTCGTCTTGCGGGTGTGCTGGCACGGAGTACGGAGTAGTCGAGGAGCACAATCAGGAGCAGGAGTAAATGGAATAAGACAGTATAGCGACAGGAATGGGCACAGGAACAGGAGCAGAAATAATGACCAGAACAACCTTCCAGCATCAATAATAATATCCTGTAGCATTGGGCTTACAGTTATCGTCCGTCCTACCTACCTACCTACCTACTGTTCTACCGACTTACCGAGTGAAGAGTGAATATTCGTTGTACCTCCTGCACCTCGGCAGGCAGGTAGGTAGTAGGCACCCACGGTCCCCAACAGAGTGAACAGAAAACAATAGATACATCCAATCGACCACCCACCCCCTCACATCTCATCTACACATCGAGGACGGAGGAGGTTCGGTTAGGCATGCAACTGCGCATGCATGGCTGTATGTCTAGTCTATATGTATGCATATCAATACGTAAAATATATGTATATAAACATACAGATCGAACCGACAGCAGTCATGTCCACCCTGCGGGGAAGTAACTGGACTAGACTGGACTGGACTGGACTTCTCTGCAGGTGAGAGAAGAATTGGGCCAGGAAAGGAGAGAATAGACTGCGTGGTCAACTAGCTGTTCTATACATTGTGTTATGGTTGAGGTGAGAGAGAGAGAGAGAGAGAGATCTGTTCAGAGCTATCTTGATATACCTCCTACATTGTACAGTCCAGGGAGGGAAGACCATCTTGGAATGAGGATGTGGAAGATAGAGATAGAGATACATATATCTCGGTCCAGAACATAGCACAGGCGGGAAAAAAAAGGAATGCAATGTATAGTGGACAGCAAGGCTATGGCTTGTACGATATTGTTATATACCTGTGCAGCTGATAAGACCAGAATGAATATCTTTATGTAACCATAACATCAACCATCGTCCACTCTATTGAATTTGTTGATTGAAACCATGAAACAATCTAGCTCACTCGCTGCTGTCCATTCTATTATCTAGAAGTTGGAGAAGTAGAAAAACACGCCAAAGCGCAGATGCAAGAAAGATAGATAGAAAGATGCAGATGCAATGTATGTTTCCAACCGAGTAATACTATACTATGTACGTTTCTTCAAAGGGATGTATGGCTCCCGCTATCCACGGTGAGACGGAAATGGAGAGATCAATTCGTCTGCCGCAAAAGCTGGTGGAAAATGGTCCAGATACCGTGCAGTGCCTCGACGCGCTCCTGCGCGTTGAACAGATCGTGCCACTTGGTGCGGCGCAGTTTCAGCGCGTACCACGGCTGGTCCGGTGTGTCTGACTCGGGCGGGAAGTTGCTCTCGCCTGATGTTAGGATTTCCAGGTAGCGGCGGTGGACGCGGAGGTGGAGGATGGCGACGTGGTGGTTGATGGATGAGAGCATGTATATCTAGTTTACGGTTAGCATGGGAGTCTACAAAGGTGATGATGTGGGTAAGAGAGAGGTACATCGTCGAAAGGACTTTCCGGCTCCTTTCCAATCTGGATATACCGCATCCGCCGATCCCACAGACTCGGACCCGGCTGGACCACCTTCCACCGCTCGGCGTTGCTGAGCTTCCGGGCGGTGCGGCTCCGACCGGTCGCCACGAAAGGATGTTCAAACTTGGAGCGTTTACGCGCGTTCCCCGGGTCGGGCGTCTTGGACTCTTCGCTGCTGCTGCACTGGGCCTTTGCGCTATCGCCCACCGCATCGTTGACCGCACCACCCCACCGGGGCACCGTCGTCCACCACTGCCCCTCGCCGGGGCGCACGTCGGTCAGGCCCTCGCGGCCGCGTTCCTGCGCCGCCAGCAGCATGCCTCCAATCTCGCGGAACAGATCGCAGACTTCGGCGGTGCCTGTGCCGTATGCCTCCTGCGGCCCGCGGAACGCCGTGTCGGGACGGCACTGCGCGGTAAACACCGGTCCCTCCATGACGCCGCTGCGGGCGAGCTGCCGGTCCTTGGGCGATCGGGCGGCGCCAAAGGTCTGTCGGACGGGAAACAACAGCGCTTTGGTTGCTAACCGGGGCGGCATCATGGGCAGCGCCACTTGGCATCCGAATGGCCAGGCGGCCATCTCCGTCAGCGCGCGCACGGTCTCGTCACGGATTTCCTCGGGCATCTCGTGTCCGGCCCCCGTGCGACGGCCCTTGTACTTCTTGACGGTCTTGGGTCCGTTTTCTTGGGGCGCGGGGCCCCCGTCTCCGTTGCTGTTGACGGTGGTGGCGGCCGACGACGCGTCAACCTCCATGGCCGTCTGCGGGGCGTCTGGTTCCGTCTGCATCGGATCCGCGACGTCGTCCTTGGGCGTGGCGGGGCGCTCGATGTATTCATCCAGACTGGTATCCCAGTAATGGGACATGTGTTCCAGGCCAATCCAGAACTTCCTGGTCTGGGTGACGCGCACCCGTTCCCGACTGTCGCGCGGCTCCATCCGGGACACCTCGCGGAAGGCATCATCGTTGTCATACATCAACTCCTTTTCCAGCACATCGTATCTATCCTTGGGCGGGTAGGGGTTCCCGTTGTCCATGAGGATCGGGGATCCATCGGGGAGGCAGCGGCTGGCGGGGTCAGCGGCCTCTGGGGTCCAGGGCAAGGGGGGTTGTGATACGACGCGGCCGGTGATGTCGGCGGTCGGGACGTCCGGCTCCACCGAGACGTTGAAAGGCTGGAAGCGCTCGGGGGTGATGTCTTGGGGCCGTCGGATGGAGGCTAGGGCTTGGTAGATATCCTTGACGTGGAGCTCCGCATCGGGATCTGGATTGTAGGAAGGACGGTGGGCGGGGAAGTCCAGCGGGGTGGGAGCGGTTGGGGGTTGGCGTTCGGCGTCAGGTTCTGCGACCACCGGGGGGACGCCTGTTGAAGTTAGCTAGCGGTCAGGTTGGTTTCGTTCAAGCGAGCCTGTGGCAGGGAATGGAGTTCCCGGTGTTTGGATGTCAAGACCGAGTCAGGGGAAGCGGCGCGTGGGGTTCGTATGACCCGCACGTGCCCAACCATCTGGATGCGACAGTCGCGACGGTGGACGATCTCATATGATCATTGCTCATACGATCGCTATTCAGAGGATAATTGAGAGACAGGGGCCAGAGGGAGATCTTACCCATTGCGCTACTCCAGCCAAACATGATGTCAGGGTGCTAACGATACAGAATAGAGACCGTGGGATGGGGCTACTGGGAACAGCAAAAGAAGGGTAAAGAACAGAACGAAATTAATGACACGAAGAGGTATATAATAATGAGGAGATGCTTTTAAGGGTAAATCAATTCTAGATGGATGCTGGGGATGGTAGAAAAGTATGGTAGAGAGCGCACGAGAGCCAGAGGAACGGTTGGTGGCGGTGGGGAAGCTGGAGCATTCCCGAATGGACACCCTGAACCAACAGGATCTGGTTCCAACAAGCTGGGGCGAACCAGAGATTGGATCAGGGGGGGACAAGGTAGATAGGAGGAGAGAGAGAGAGAGAGTGTGTGTGTGTGTGTGTGAGAGAAAGAAAGAGAGAAAGAAAGAGAGAGAGAAAGAGAAAGAGAGAGAGAAAGAGAAAGAGAGATGAGGGGTTCTTAGACAGCGTTCATTTGATACTAGCACCGTAGCTCCCTCGACTAGTCTGGCGGTTGTTCGTCCTTTGCTGCTCTGGCCATCCCCATTATATCTTGATGCTGACAGTTTGTTTGGTTAGAGATACCCCTAGGACCACTACTCACCACGATTCAACCTATACCATGAGCCCCAGTCGATATACGGTTGAAGACTGATCCTGTCTCTAGTCCCGTTCGCATGTCAACTACAACCATACGTAAGGGTCTCCACTCCAATGGGCGCGCAAAGGTCCAAAAGTCCCTCGCTGGGACCCCGTGCACCAATGACGATCTGGTCAATCCATCCGACCTCAGTGGTATGAAGGTCGGATCCACCGTGGATTCAGGAGGCTGTCGGTGTTCTGCTGGTGGCCAATGAGAGGGTGGATGTGACGGCGCCGATCATGTGATATCACATGACATCGATGTCGGTGTCACCTGACAGATCACCGGATATAGTCACATGACTGCAACCACCTGACAGTCACCTGATCCCACCTGATCGATAATCACCTGATATCTAGTCACATGATATCCAATCACGTGCGATCGTCTCTCTCCCTCCCAATCCGGCTAGTCTCCCCGGACTTCCCCATCTCTCTCTTACTTTAGTCTCTCTCTCTCTCTCTCTCTATACTCTCTAGTTCCCTTTCCTCTTTAGTCTTTCTCTACTCCGTCCTCATTCTCTTCGCTTAACCCATAGATCGACAATACATCGAACTAAACATTCATCACCCTCCTGGTCCATGTTCCCCCCGCATCATCATATAAGTTTTTCCCCCAACCATCGTCAAACGAACTCCTCTCCCTCCACTTTCCCCCCTTACGCTTCCAGTGGTTGGTGCTCTGACCCCCGTGCGGGATATCCAATGCCGAGAGGGCCTTCGCTGCACAGGATCCCCTTCTGTTTCACCAGTCTCTTCCTATAGGTCCCCTCGGTTCCTATCCCCTGCTTCGTTCCTCAACCCACATGAGGTCCTTTCCCAGGAACCATGGCTAAATGTAACCACTCCGATGTGTGCCTCGTTCGCTACGGCGGACAATGGGCGCCTCCCAGCTGATTGAAGGACTTCCTCCGGTTGACTCCCACCCCCTCTATCCCCTTCTTCTCCGTCTTCTGTCCTCTTCTTCCTTCTTTCTTTTCTTTCCTTTCACTTCTCCCTGTGGCGATACTATCTGTCTCTCTTTGTTAAAAGAATCAATTGTTGGTTTGCCTGTCGACATCCGAAAGGATCTGACTACCGGCCTCGTGCCTCACCATCCCACCCTGAAACAGGCTATTTCGCCACGGACGGACGCTTCTGACACACATTGTCATGGCCGGTCCTTCTCCCTGTAGACGCTCTATCCAATAAGAAAAGAAATTTTCTCCCCTAGCCCTGTCACCCGTTGGTCCCGTGGGTTCAGGACTCCCAGATTTCTTCGGGTTCTTTGACAATCCACCTCGCTGGTGGACTTGGACTGCAATCCAGACGGTGACAGTTTGTCCTTCAGCCGTGTTTAATATCCAACTCGTGCCCGTCTGCGGTTTCTCCCTCCCTCACTGGACGGACTTTCGATGGAACATTGTTGTCCTGAAATCGATCGTGCCACCGGATCGACCAAACCGACCGCCGCCTCCTAGGAGCCTGCGGGCTGGGCGACATGTCGAAGTCCAGTCCGTCCATTATCTTCCACCAGGGCTTGCGCTGCACAAAAGTCCCCAGAAGGTCCGCCGCAGTCACCTCGTCCACCAACTTATCCACCACGTCAATCGCTCTCCCGGATCCGACGACCTCCGTGGACTCATCATCATCATCATCATCATCCGTCTCTTCGACCTCCACTACGTCGCACGCAACGGTCCCATCGGACCCAGAGACCACGGAGATCACAGAGACCACAGAGACGCCATCCCCCCCACCATCGGGCGTTGATCCGGTCACCACCCATCTCTCCCAGCCCGTGGAAGGGCGTCACACGGCCACCGATGAACTGACCTCATCGGACGACCGAGGGTCCCAGACAACGCAAGCATCTACCTTCCTAGCCATCACCGCGCCCCCGGTGACCTCCGCCGTTGGACCGCCTCTAGCAACCGATTCGGCTACCTTGAGCGCACCGGGCAGTCCGCCGGCCGCCACCTCCGATGGCGGTTCGGCACAGGGCCTGCCCACCCCATCCAACAACGACAACGACGCCGTTCAAGACTCACTCCGGACCCTTCTGGGGAGTGTTCTCGGCGGAGTCGGCTTCGTCCTTCTCGTGTTCCTGATCTGCCTCCTGCTCTATCGCTATCGACGTCGGAAAACGCGAGGCCTGTGGTTAGATGGCAGCGGCGAAAAGCGCCTCCTCCACCCCCGGGAGTCGGCAGACTCGTCGACCAGCTTACGCCATGGATACACCCACTTCATGCCCAATTCCTCCACCCCCTCCCTCTACCACCACTTCCTCGGCACTCTGATGAGCCCAGGATACGTCAACTCCCGACCCCACATCCCCTCCCGCCATTCCGATCCTTTCTCCGACGCCGGTGAGATGCAATCGACGCGGGGGAGTTTCAACAGCCTGACCGATCTCCTCCACGACCCGTTCATCGACCAGCTGCAGTCCCCGATCATGCCCGCCGCGCGCAAGGATCGGTCGTCCCATCGCACCGCCTCGTCGTACCTGGACCCAGCGCAGCTCGAGAGCCTCCAACGACCAGGAATCCCCCACAGCGCCAGCGAAACCTCGATCCCAAACAGCCTCGGCAGCACCATTATCCTCCCGGGGCCGCACAGCGCAGGCAGCAGCCTCCGCCGCTTCAGCTACCACATCGGCATGACCGACGCCCCCACCACCACCACCACCACCACCACCACTCCCACCGCCGCCCCGTCACCCGCGTCAGCACCCGCAGCGACCCTTTTGATTTAGAGGTTCCCGCCAATGTGATGCACCGGCGCAGCTCGGGGGTGCTCCCGGGACTGGCTGTATGATTACACTCCAAGGGGACTGGACATTTTGTTTACTCTTGTCCACGAGATATGTGACATGACCATGAGCTATGAGAGCATGCATTGGACCTGCATGGGGCGGTAGGGTGGGAGCGAGGGAGCGCGGGAACGCGGGAATAGGATGTCCCTGTTATATCATTCCAATCTACCTGTAGCATGACGCTCTGCGTCAATGTATTATAAATGTTTAGTTTTCGGGGTATGCCATCAACAAGCCCTTCTATCTTATCTTACCATTGTTGCCTATGCTGTAAACAATTACTCTGTAAACAACGTAAGCAACTAAATCATGCTCTATGCCTTGAAACATCAGTGATGTGATCAAACAGATAGATAGGTGGACAGGAGGTAGGAACAGTAAGACATAGCAATTCCCACCATAAATGATTTTATCTTTTTTACTAATGTTGTTAAAATTTCATATACTCAATTCCTTTATTAATCACACTACCTTCCTTCCCTTCACTAGAGTTGAATCTGCATATGTATGTTGTGGCGACGCGGGTGGCATACTGTATATATATTTAGTCCCTTGGCCGGACCCGTCCGTTAGTTTATTCTATATATTGTGGACACATTTGATGATTTACTAGATAGTACCCTAACAACAAACTAAATAATAATTATGATAAAACTAGAATAAAAAATAACGAGAATGTGACAATATAAGTGATCAAATAAGTAGGTTGAAGATTGTTCTGGGAAAGAAGGACAAGAAGGAATCGGTAACTACCTAGTCTTGTCTACCGTGGTCTATCTACGTAGATAGGCTTCATGCTTTTACTGAACTGATTGGTTTACACATACTATATGTATATAGATGCATAGGATTCAATGCAATTCAATATCGCATGTTTAGCAGTGGCGTTTTGGAGGTATTAGCTATAGATAGATAGATCGATAGGTGGACATCTCTTGATCGAAAAGAGCGAAAGCAGCTATAATCGAGACATACAGGAAACAAACCATATGGATGAAGTCATGTATAATATCGATCGAATCTCAATCTCAGAGATATACTTGGTAGCAATAAACTACTGCACAAATATAGACCCACATTGATATTGTTCTTGTTCAAATTACAGATAAATCCCCAACCAACCGTAATGTGATTGATATTCAGTAACGTTACGACATTAAGGACCTGACACGAAACATTTTTGCTTTCTTTCCTGTCCCTTGATTCCTTTTGAACGATGAGATGAGCTGAACTGGGAAGAAAGGGAAATCCGGTAAACGTTGGTTGGTTGGTTGGTTGCTGGTTGTGCAAGAATAAGATAAGGAATAAGAGAGGATGGAGAGGTTGAAGACGAAAAAGATATCAAGTTTCATATCACACAAAGCGCCATGCCATTGGTTTTGCTTTAATAAATGGTTCTCTCTTTTTTTCCTTTTATTTTTGTTTTCTTTCTTCATAGCCGCCTTCCTCCTCGCTTTCCCCTCCGGTATCAGGGGAAATAAAAAGAGAAAGAAGCTGGTCCTCCGTCATCCTCCCGAGCGCCCGTCGGATCTAGGGTGTCCAGAGGAACAGGAACAAAACCAAACCAAACCATCGCTGGTCCCGGACGAAAATCAAGCCACCGAGTCAGACTTGGAAATGAAACAAAAACAGAGGTTTGGTTCGACCTGGTTTAGATTTCCCGTTGGCTGATCGATCGTTCGATTTCCTCCAGTTGCAACCTCCGCACCGCCGAAAAGGTCATCAAAGGGGATATCTATTCCTCAACCAGAGCGTTACGCTTGGCGTCGAGACGCTCCTGTCGGCGCTCACGGAGAGCCTTGTTCTTGGCACGCTTGGCGTCCATCTCCTCCTTGAGGACACGCTCACGGTGGCGCTCAGCCTTGGCCTTTTGGATCTGTAGGAGGATATCGTCAGTCAACGATTCCAGATTATTCACTTCAAGTCGCTTCCCGCTTCAGTCATGAGCATGGTATCATGTCACCATTGTGACCAGACCAGAAGACAAAAGACCACCTCTTCCATGACCAACGACGGACGACATGCACGCATAAACCAAGGATATCGGGCGAACTTACGTGCTCGACGAGAGCGCGCTTGTGCTTGAAGGTGTTACCCTTGCTCAGGTGGTAGAGCTCGTGGTACAGGTGCTTGTCGATCTTGCCAGCGGCGCGGTAGCGGACGAGCAGACGACGGAGAACACGCATGCGGCGCATCCAGAGGACCTGGCTAAACGAGACATAGCCATCAGCAAACTATCCACCGCAGAAATTTCCACCACATCCCTTCAACTCGGAGGATTGTTCGGCGGCTGGAAGGAGTCGTGATGCATACCTGGGCATACGGGCATCCTTGGTACCCTTACGCTTACCCAGACCACGGTGACGGCCGATGCGGCGGGCGGCGTTGAGCTCACGGGCACTGGCGCGCGAGTGCATGGTCACGGGCTTGCGGATGATGAGGCCATCGCTGACGAGCTTGCGGATGGTCTGACGGGAGTTGGCGTTGGAGATCTCGTTCATCTCATTGGGGTCGAGCCAGATCTTGCGCTTGCCGCAGCCCGCCACGGAGGCGGCCAGGCGCTTCTGGGTGCGAAGGTTGACCCTGCACACGCACAGTCGTCAGTATATCTGAGCGAGAAAAAAGATCATGATGGCCCCCCCGCGTGGTAAATTCCGGGTGGGGAGGGATCAAATTCCATCCAAAGAACATAACTCCTCCGGGGAGGACATCGATGGGGGGTCGGCGATGAAACTCACATCTTGATGTCGGCGTATCGACGGTCGTTGGCGGATGATGTTCGTTGCACTCGTCGACGGGATGGAAAGGCTTGGGGTGAGGAGTTTGAGTCGACGCCCGCTCGATTAGCTAAGCCACTGTGACCGGCTAAGCGAGTCGCTCCACCCTAGGGTTTGTGCCCCATGCCAAGACTGGAGACTTAGTACTGTCATCTATGACAACAATGTCATGAGTGTATAGATCTTGTTGTTTTGTCTGGTTGTTTCTTACTTCTGAACTTCTAGTATCCCTTGAATCTTGGAACTGTTTTACATATCGCCGAGGAAGAACGAGTCACGTCGCTGTCTGACAGTCCTCCGCTTCCGAGATCACATGACGTTATATACATGCCTCAGGCAATAACACCGGCCAGCAGATTCAGGCTCAAACAAGGGCCAAGAGTGGGTCAGGACGCGATGCGATGATCTAGATAGATAACCCGATCAAGTAGATATCAAACGAGTACAGTATAACAGGGTGTCTAACCAAAAAAAACATATCAACTTTTCAATATAATCATAAATAAGAAAAATCATCGTCGACCCATGAGATCAAAAAAAGGTATCTACATCATCCAACATTCACCACTCATTCATCAAACGAGGACTCTCCCATGTCGACCTTCCCAATGCTCCACAATTCCTTCTCATCCTCCACTTCATCCACCGACAGTCCGAGACCGCCTTGGCCGCCTTCGGCTTCCTTGCGTTCGCGGGCTTGGCTGGCGAGACGGATCGCAACGCGCTTGAAGTAGTCGGACATGCTGCGCTTGGGACCAGGGGGAAGCTCGGATCCAGGGCCGGCCATGTACTTGTCGAACACCGCCGTCTCGGACTCGACCACCGAGAAGATGGTCAGGAAGGCTGCTTCCGCGGCCAGCTTGACGGGGATGACTGGGTCGCGAACGCTGGCGAAGATGGGCGGGGCAAGCAGGTGCAGATGGGGACGGGTCAACTCCGGATGGAGTCGGCTGACCGTGCGGATCACCACCAGTGTCAGTCGGCGGGTGTCAGAGGCCGTGCCGGGCTGGATGCATGGGGCCAGCGCCTCGAAGAGAGTCTTGTTCGTTTCGAAGGTCCGGTGTTCATCGTCCGTCAGTAGATACTTGCCCGCAGCAAGGACTGCGTTGTCGGAGATGAAGGGCTGTTGCGCAAGTTAGAACCACTTATTTCGTATGTATTGGACCAGGTCGATTACTTACGTCCTTGTTGGTCACAGCCTGGCAGATGACCGATAGCGTTTCCGCGGCAAAGTGTTCGGTCAGGGACGTCGGGGACTCGACAAGCAAGCCGTTGAGCCCCAGAATAGACGCATGAGAGAAGTTCGACGTCAGGACTCGGCTCCTGGGAGAAATATTAGCAACAATACAACAAACATCCATCGAGACGAGCTTACTTGATAAGTGGGCCGGCAGTAGCCGGGGGAAGAACCTTGACCAGTGCACCCAGGAGTTTGGCATTGGTCATGGAAACACCGTCTATTTTCAATGTCAGTATATGGGCAAGCAGACCGCAAGGTCCCGGGAAGTCTTACCAGTCTTGTCGCTCGCATCATCGCCAATGAGCGCGAGAATGGAGTTCTTGGACGCTTCGCTCATGTTGGCGCCAGCCTTGCCAACCACTTCCTGAAGGGCCTTCATCATGGCGTTCTTCACGCCGATATCCGCGGTCTTCGTACCGGTAATAAGCTCTAATCACGATATCAGTATCAACCCAATCGTCCCATGTAACGATAGACCCAGCACATACCGGCAATTAGAGGATCAACTCTGGGCGTCAGCGTGATCAAGATTCCAAGACCCTTGGCAGCCCTGTTACGCAGGGTCTCGCTAGACGTATCGGCAAGACCACGAGCAAAGGTTCGTTGCAGCTGCGGGAGGAAAGGCTTGACAGCCATTGGGATCTTCTCCAAGAGCTTGTTGAGCGTGAAGAAGATGGCGCCTATTCGAGCCAGTCAGTCTGATGAACCGATCATAACATAGATATGCAGGGATGGATAAGCGTGGAGAAAGACGAAACAACGTACACTTAAGATCCGTCGACCGTTCGGATACCACACGGATGAGGGGACCAGTAATTTGAGTCACGAACATCTTCAGCGAGTTCGCGTTGGTACGGTCGACGATATCGCCGATGGCAAGAGCCGCCTGCGTACGCTGGTCGATGCTGCCATTGAGAAGACCCTGCAGGAAGATCGGCAGAATGGCATTGATGCCCTTGGGCAGACTGAAACCTGCCAGGTCCGCTCCTGGTACTCCCACACTCCGAAGCACCTGTCGGGTGGGGGCAACTAGCACTTCCATTTCCTCCTTGCGCAGATGGGAGGTGAGTCCGCTGAGAGCAGTCCAGGCGGCCTTCACGACTTCCTTGTCGCTGTCGTCGAAGGAAATCAGGAAGGCGCGGATCAAGTCTTGATGGTATCTGGAGTAGTCGATTCCGGCATCAGAGAAGAACTTGTTGAGGTGCAAGGCGGCACGGGCACGACGACGGTGATCATCGTGCTTCATCAAGGTCAGCATGCCGTTCATCATGGCGTTGAGTCCATCGTATTCATCAATAGACACCAAGACAGTATCTAGCGCGTTGGTCAATTCCTCCCGATGTTCCTCGTCGGTAGTAGACAGGATATTGTCCATCAAAGCATTGATGATCGTAGGCAGCTTGCGCGAGATGGCGGAGCCTGCCACCTGGGACAACGAGGCGAGGGCCTTGGCGTTGAAGGTGGAAATCGGAGAAACGAGAAGAGTCGGGATGAGGTTGGGAAGGATGATGTTGGCGCGCGTCTGCTCGGTGAGAAGCGTCAAGAGTGCCGACAACGCCTGCTCGGCATCCTGGTCGTTTCTCAGGAGATGAAGCAGATAAGGAAGGACCTGGTCAACAGCCCTCTTACCCAAGATTTGCTGCAGCGCGTCAAACGCTTCAGCCGCGGCCTCACGCACATCCTCGCTCGAATCCACAAGAGCCACCCGAACGGTCGAGATAAGCACCTTCTCGAAATCCTCGAGCGCGTCGGGCGTCGCCGAAGTGATAAGCTCCCTCAGAGCAATGCAAATACCTTGTCTGACATCCACATCCGGAGACGATTGAAGGCCCTCTTCGAGGGTAGGCAGCAGAGTCGAGAGGACAGACTCTCCAGCCTTCTTGATGAGATCTCCAAGAGCGTTGCTGGCAATGACCTTGTGCTCCATGTTCGAGGATCCAAGGCGCCGGATGATGAACTGCGACAGAGTGGGCACCATCTCCTTGAGCGTTCTGGGAGAAGCAACAAGCGATTTCCAAACGGCCATGGCTGCGCTCCTGACAAGACCCGAAGTATCGCAGCGGCAGATGAACAGAGCGGACAAGACCTTGTTTCGCTTCTCTTCTCCAAGGACTTCGAGCAGAGACTGGCCGGCCTGGTGGGCCTCCTCCGCCTCCTCTTCAGCATCGGCCGCAGCCGTAATACCAGTAAGACTGAACAGCAGATCGCCAACCAACTCAACCGAGCTGAGACGGATACGGTAGCTGTCGTCGGCAAGACCACGCTCCAGCTCGGGAAGGAGAAGATCGATAGCCTTGGAGGAGAAGTTCTTGACCAGCAGACGACCAGCTTTGAGGGACGTCTCGCGAATCGAGTCAACGTCATCAGCCAATCCTGCGAGGATGGGAGGAATGATCTTGCTGAGGTAGGCAGAGAAGCTGTTTCCGAAACAAGCAGGAAGGAAGATGAAGAGAGTCATGAAGCCTTCGCGAACAGCCGCCTTCGAGCTGGACACATTCTGCAAGATGGTGGGCAGCGTCTCCTCGAGTCTGGTGGTACCCAGGCCTGCCAGAACCTCGGAGAGGGCCTGGGCGGATCCCAGTCTGTCACCAGCGCCAGTATCAGATTTGAGAGTGGCCATCAGGTTGGGGATCAGATCAGGCAGAGCATCCTCTCCAAGCTTCTCGATAAGTGAGCCAAGGGCTCTGGATGCGGTAGCACGGGTTGTCGGCACCGGATCGATGATAGCCAGCTGCAAGCCAGAGACAACGATCGGCAGGTGCGAAATAAGATCCTTGCGCTCGGTAAGATGAGCCAAGCTTCCAATGATCTGAGCAGATTTCCGCTTCGTATTCGAGCGGTCACCGAGGCCACGCTCAAGAATGCGAACGACAAGAGCGAGAGAGGGTGCATCCAGATAGTGAACAAACGACACCTTGATAAGCGAGTCGAGAGCCTCGTCCGTATACTTAGTCGGGTCGCTCAGAGCCTTCAGAAGCACACCAACCAGGCTCTTCACTTCGGGATTGCTGATGACCTCACCGAACCGCTGCAAACTGCGGTTTGCGGCGTTGCGCACCTCCTTGTGGGTATCGTTGAGGACGACCGTGAGAGGGGGAATGATGGCTGGCAGACTTTGTGCCAGCTGCTGAGGATCAAGGTAAGCCATGGCTCCTAGCAAGTCGCAAGCTCCCTTCTGACTGCGCCACTGCGTATCGTCAAGACCGTCGAGGAGTGTAGGGAGAATTTGCTTCACACCGTACGAGCTGAGACTCGAAAAGCAAGCCTTGGCTGCATCAAGACAGGCGTCACGGACGTCAGCATTGACATCTCCAAAACTGGCCAGAAGCTGCGGCACAATCTTGATGACGTAGGGCTCGAAAATGCGGCCGAGAATAGTGGCAAACAGTTCAAATGCCAGCAGGGCGCCTTGTCTTTGATGGGGCTCTTTCTTGTTCTCCGTAGCGTCTTGGAGATGGGCCAAGATCCGGAATTCTCTCAAAGTAGAGATACCCCGGCCACTGACAATGCCAGCAAGCCCATAGGCGGCACCGCGTTGAGTAGCATACTTCTTCGAGTGGAGGAGCTGATCCAACATCTCCTGAACGTACGAACCGCTTTGAGGACCAGAAAGCCTGATGAGAGGCGGCAGGCATTCGGAAACAGCGGACTGAACCGACTCGGAGGGAGTGGGCAAGGTAGCAAGCAGTCTCTTGATGACGATTTGCAGCCGCGGGTCATCCGCCTTGAGATGCTGCGCGAGAGAACCGTAAAGGACTACCACAGCTTCATTAAGCAGATCAGACGTCTCGCTTCCCTTGTCTGAGGTTTCCAAAGTCGTTTCCAAGAGCTTCATCAGCTCTTCGACCTTTTCTTGGCCGCGGGCCGCAATGACAGACTTGCCACTCTCGGCCATCTGCGCTCTCACCACCGAACTTCTGTCAATCAGCGGGCCTCTCTCGATCAAGAACCGAATGAATGAAACGATCTGCTCGCCCTCGAATTTATTGGTCATAGCACCAAAGGCAAGAGCAACACCGCTCCGGGGCACCCAGTGATCTGTCATGTCGGCCTTGAGCGGCATTCCGTACTTGTCTTTGCCGGGGTCCTTGGGCCTAACATCTTCCGCGTAGTTTGCCTGTAATTCGGAGACAATATCGGTGAAGACAGAGGGGTTGAAGTCAATGGCGTGCGCCAGCGCGCGTGCAGCAGCGCCTCGGAGCTGGGGGTCCTGGGAAGAAAGGTAGGGAATGATCTTTGCGTAAGAAGACTCGTCAACCTCCAGAGCATTATCTTCCCAGATAGTATCGGCGATCTCGGCATTCTCTTCGACATGGTCATGGCACTCGAGCCAGATGTGCTCGGAGAAATCAAGATCGGTCAGGTCGATTTCATCCTCGATGACTTGCAATACTGCCGTCCGAACAGATACGTCGGGGACGATCGAGCTCTTCAGTAGCACGTCAAGTTCATTCTTGGAGATGTTGGGAGAGATCGAGCGACAGAAATCGGATAGGGTGTCCTTGATGAGCTTGTAGTGCTGGGTGTACTTCTGCATCGATTTGAGCAGTGTATCAAGGACCTCCTCGCGGGGGAGACGCTCGTCGGAAACTATAGACCCCTGTTAGAACCGGAAGATTCCTGGCACAGAACGGTAGCTATATTTACTCACATGAGCTAGAATGGAAAGAGATGATCTCGATCGCAAGTAGCACCTGCTCTCCTTCCTCCTCTCCTTTTTGTTCCTCAATTCCATTACGTTCGAGGATCAGGAAAAGCAGGGGAAGAGCGTAGGCTAGCGAGGACAGATCAAGGGGACGTTGCTCGGAAGCAAATCGAAGACGGTAAAGGATCCTTGTCAGCAGTTCTGTGCGAGAGTTAGCAGGTGGCCGTTAATGAACGCATGGCAACATTCACCCCCAAGCGGCTCCAGCTCCATTTCACGTGGCAACTGCGTTTTGCCAATTCCACGTAGAGTCGCAATCCCGACCCAAGATCGCAAGGGACCCAGGCGGGTGGACAGCTTTTCGGCACACTTGATGTACGCTTTGGACACAGCGTCTCCCACAAGTAAGCCTGCACCGGCCTGAACCAGAGACAGCAGAGAGTTAACCGCAGGGCTGATCCAACCATCGGCATCAAGCGCCGGCCCATTGGCGAGACCCTGGATGATCCCAGTACCCCGTTCGATCCGCTTAACCTCCTGCAGGACCTCCTCGCGGATCTTGGACTCTTTAGCGAGCTGGGCCTTCACTTTGCCTTGGTCTTCAGGACTGAGTTTCTTCTGCGTCTGACCCTTCTTCTGGGCCAACTGCGCTCGCAGCTCTTCCTCCCACTTGAGGATATCGTAGTCCTTGGTGTTCTTGTCAAAGGTAGACTTGCTCGACTTGGTGCTAAGGACATCGACGAACATGGTCCCCTCGGGAGTACGGGCAATGGCCACATCGGTCGCAGAAAAATTGGACAGACGCGAGGCATCTAGGTCTTCCCGGATCTGAGAAACAAGGCGAGGGACCATCGTGTCCGGCGCCACAAATGCTAAATCGCCAGCCGCGCCCCATAGCGCAGCATCGATGTCGGGCACCTTGCTCTGGACGGAGTTTTCTTGTAACCCGGTCAGTTGCTTCATACACTCCTCGGCAAGCTCACGGACAAGGTCGCCCGGGTCCGTGCCGGTCCTCAGACACAAGGAAATCCAGGATGCATTCGGGATCAGCTCCGGCCGGCAGAGGACAAGGAGTCGAACCAGCTGGTGCTTCAAGACGGGGATGGCATTCTCCGATGTCGGTAGACTAGGCGCAGGGGGGCAGATCGCCTTCGCGACCAAGTTGAGGTATTTCTCACACCCCGGTCCCGCAGAAACAGGGGCCGACTCCCTCTCTCCAGTCCTGGCGGAGAGAATCCAAGCCCACAGAGCATCAACGATGATATGGCTTATGTCTTCTATATTGCTCTTATGCACATCGGATAGTGTACGCGCGGATTCGTCCCGGAAGTTCGTGTGGAGCCCCGGGACAGTGAGAGCATAAATGAACGCCTGACCCCAAGCAATCTTCGCGGAATCCTCCGCACTTCCAAATTTCGACCCGGCTGCTACGGCGGCAAGTGCCCTGACAACCCACTGGATCTCTACCTGGGAGGTCAACTTTGTGTAAGCCTTCGGGTTCAGGAGGAAAGACGGCTTCGGGTTTAGGGCCATGGACCGGGAAACCAAGTCCTCCCAGGCAGCCTTATCAAAGCCCGCCAGCGCGGATCCGCGTTCTGTCAGGGCCAGATACACGTACGCCGTCGACAAGGAACCTCCCTGGGCTGATGGTAGGGGGTTAGCAAAGACCTCGTTGAACAGTTCCTTCATCTTGGCAAGAAATTTGGTGACAAGAGGCTCCACCTCGGGCTGGCCCCAGGCGGCAGGACCGGCATCCCACAGCGTCTCTCCGACATTGAGCTGCCACAACTTGCGGAATGGGACCCGTTTATCAGCCGAACCCTTGACAATGGCACTGACGACATCATCGCTCGCCTTCACCTTGGACTGGATGAGGAATCCAAGGTGCTTGCAGAATGATTTGATCTCCTGCTCTAATGTGGCTTCATTAGATTCCTTTGCGAACACCGGGACAAACCCTTGGACTACCTCCTTGGAAAGGTCGGCCGACGGGGAGATGGCGGAAAGCGCTTGAGCATATATCGCCCGCTGCTCCGGATTCGTAATCTTCTGGGTCTTCAGCGGACCAATCACCTCGGTTGTGATTTTGAGAAGCAGGCTCTCGACCTTGGACTTTGCGAGAAGCGATTCGAACGATTGAATGGCGCCTTGTCTGATGGCGGGGTTGTTCGACTTCATGCTTGACAACAGGTGCTTCAACAGGCGAGTGTGCAGAACTTCAGACAAGTCGATACTCTCGGGCAGCGAGGCGCATAGCGACGGGACTAGTCCACTCAAGACCACCTCCGGGGACCGCAAGATCGATTTTTCAAGGGGCGGGATGATTTCCGACGTGATATCCTCATAAGTAACGAACGACTCGAAGAAATCGGTGAGGGCATTGGCGATATGCGATGGCGGCGCGGACTTCGACCCCACCAGCTCCTTGATGTAGAAGGAGATGATGGCCTTCTTTTCCCCCTCCAGAACGGGCTTCCTATCCGGGAGACGGGCGCTGACCCCAGAGATGACACCGAGGAACGGTGCGTTTTTCTGCCCCGTGGCCGAGTCGCTGGTCAACCGTTGGACGGACTGGCGAATCGCATCCTCCCCCCAAACGTTCGACGAGAAGACCGCCCGCAGGGCACGCCGGGTCACCCTCAGCGCCGATTGCCGCAATGCGGGCTTAGGACCGGCTCCCAGGCAGGTTTCCAGCGCCTTCGCATCCACGACGATCAAGTCCAGGATAGTCGCAAGCGGGATTCCAGAGTCATCCCGGAGGATCTGCAACAGGACGGAGCACCATTCGAGTAGGACAAAAGCCGAGGTCGACGCTAGGCCCGGTTTGGCGGCTTCGGCCTGTAGGCTTTGGGTGAGGTGTTTGAGCTCGTCAGTCGGAATGGGGCCCTGGAGCAGCAGGCGGAGACACTGTTGGACGGCATGACGAGAGGGTCGGTCGATATAGAGCGGATATGTCTTGAATAAAATCGCAATAAGGGATCCGCGTAGTTCGGGGGATAATTCAGCACCTATCCACCACAACCCAGTCAGCATATAGGGTCCTTCATCTCGGGCTCTAGAGGGGAGAGGGGTCGACACTGACCGATTCGATCGCGGAGTTCCTGAAGAGCCACCGTTCTACGAGCAGTTGAACTCGAGAAGATCACGAGACGTAGACTCTCCAGGTCTCCGGATAGTACCTGATCCCATGGTAAATCGTCCATCATTATGTCCAGGACAGGAGCATGTCGGGCGCAAGACAAAAACGAAGGGAAAGGAATGAGAGAGGTTGACTCGATTGGGTTTGGTTGACCTGATGTTGTCATAAAAGTTTTCGCCGGGCGGGTTGTGGGGAACCTAAGGCCAGAAGAAGCTCCCGCCTTTTGTGTGGTCTTGTCCTTTCCCCTCCTCCGTCCAAGCCATCTCGCATTTTGATTCAAGGTCTTGGACCCTGTACCCATGGCGAACCTCCCTCTGCACCACCGATTCTTGTGTTTTCCATTCATCTCTCCTCAACCCTCCTTCGTTTGCGTCATTCCGGGATTTTCGTCGCTGGATTCCGGTGGTTGAGGAAGTCATTGAATTTTCTCCGATTCCCGTCTCTATTCCCCGCCTTTGGGACGAATAAAGCCTTCTCCGACAAGCCATGCCCCCGAATAATAAGAAGAAGAAGAAGCCCGCCGCCAATCCGGCTCGAGGCTTTGCTACGGTCTCTATTCCGTCCAAACCCAAGTCGACGCCGACCGAGTCGACCGCCCCGACGTCGACCGCAGAGTCGAAATCCGTCTCCGAGAGTGATCGTCCGACCCCCGCAGAGGCAACGCAATCGGTGGCGGAGAAGAAGCCAGAGGATCACTCGCTGCAGAACTACTCGCCCGAGGAGCTGGAGAAACACTTGGAGGATGCGGAGCTGCAAATCTTGGTGGAGAAATATGCGTCGAAGTGTAAAAATGACGCCGCCCGGCAGGTCACCAAGGTGGAGACCGAACGGCGGATTTTCCGTCAACAGGCGGTTCCATTGAATCTGTTGGAGTGGCTCCCGGCGGATATTGTGAGTTCCGTCCTTCGACTGGCCGAGATGGAAGAGTCCGAACTCAGTCCGGGGTCGGGACGCGATTCGAATGCTACGAAGAAGCCCGTCTCGGAAGAGGAGCTGTATATGAGGTTGTGGAGCTTGAGGGCGACGCTCCTCCGGCTTGGATTTCCCCAGGAGAAAGTCGAAGAAGCGTTGAAACATCTCCTGCAGTACTATTCCAATAACTTCATCTCGACAAACCGGGAAATGGTTTGCAATTTTGACGAGGCTCTGGACTGGCTCGCCATGCACTGTGAGCCGCGTGAACTACCGTCATATACGCAGACAAATTCCCAATCGCGCAGTGACGCCGACCGAAATATCTCCTGGATCGCCGGTAAACCTTCACAGATGGCTTCTCGTGGAAGAATATGAGCTGACCTCTTAGACCGCGAGCAAGAAAACACCTCCGCGCCGAAACCGTCCCAAAACAGCGGCAAACCACCAAAGCCAAAAGACGACGTGAAGCTGCCACTTCCTTCTGATCCTTACGAGTCGGATGTCTCCCTCGATCCGGACACTCTGCTCCCGAAGTACTTGGAGTTACAGACTCGACTATATAATCTTCGACCGGAGGTCTTCGACAAGCCGAAGAAAGGGAAGAAGGGGGCATCGGGAAGCCTTGGGGCGGGTGCGGACGGCCCTCAAATAGCAAGCATCCAGCGCCAAATCGCAAGCATCCTGAACGACGTACTGTTTGATCGTGCGGAGGCGGAGTATCGGTGGCAGGAGAAGCTCGACGATCTCAGGAAGGAAGCGTCGTTCCTCCGGCGCAGTGCTCCCGAGGCAAAGAATACTCCCAAAGAAACCGAAACCAACGAGCAGAAGGAAGAAAAGGCCATCGAACCGGGCAATGCATCACCGGCAGCGGAGGATAACGAGGCAGCTGGGGATCTCCTGGGCGATATGTTTCAAGGGGAGGAGGAGCCAGTGTTGGAACTTGGTGTGATTACAGAAGAGCTCAACAACGCGGCTGTCACATCGCGTGATTTTGGCAAGTGGACTGGTCTGAGTCCTCGGCGTGTTCTGGAGGAGACATGCAAGGCAAGGTTAGGGATCTGGCCCATCTTCTTTCTGGCAGAATAGGCTGACAGGTATACGACTTTAGGGACACCGGGTGCAAAATCATCTACAAAGACTTTTCTTCGTCATCGCATCTGAACCGGATGGCGGTCGAAGTAAGATGGTCTAAACCGCAGGACCTACCTTTCCCCTTCGTCTGGGACACGACTACAGTCAATTCGAACTCATACGCCACCTTTGTCTCCATGGATTCTATTGCAACACCGACTTCCCAGCAAGCGGAGTCGTTCGTCTCGACGCTTGCTTTGTTCGTCCTGTTTCCTCAAAGCTCCAAAGAAGGCAAGGCATACCTGCGCATTCCGGCGGTATGGCGAGATCTCTGGACCGAGTTCTCCACCGCAAAGAAGACGCAGGAAGACGAGGCGGACAAGGCTACCATACGCACGCTGAAAGGACTTGTCCAGGAGAACCACGGTGCACTCGAAGACGATATCGTGCTGGCGGCTAACTTCCGAAAGAGGAATGGAACCCCTAGAAAGGGCCAGTCCCCAGTAAGAGCGACCAGCAAAGAAAACGCTGGTTTCGATCCGCTATTGAAGAAGATCTGGGATGATAAGGCATCGACTCATTCGTTCCAGCTCATGATGCAGGGCAGAATGAACCTTCCGATCTGGAGCTTCAAGGACGAGATTGTGCATATGCTAGACACCCACCACGCGCTGATCATTTGCAGTGAGACGGGAAGCGGAAAGAGTACGCAGATTCCGTCTTTCATCCTCGAGCACGAGATGCAACAGGGTCGTCCGTGCAAGATCTATGTTACCGAGCCACGGAGGATCTCGGCCATTTCGTTGGCTCGCCGAGTCAGTGAGGAGTTGGGGGAGAGCAAGAATGACGTGGGAACGGCCCGGTCTTTCATTGGATTTGCGGTCCGGCTGGAGAGCAAGGTCAGCCAATCCACACGGCTGGTATATGCGTATGTTTTCCTGTGCCCATTTCCAAACGCACTCGACTAATTTGCGGCAGAACGACCGGAGTGGTAGTGAGAATGTTAGAGCGGCCTGATGACTTCCTAGACATTACCCATGTGGTTCTCGATGAGGTGCACGAGCGGACCATCGACAGCGATTTCTTGCTCGTTGTCCTCCGGCGGTTGATGCAGAAGAGGCCTGATTTGAAGTTAATTCTCATGTCCGCCACTCTCGACGCCCAGCGCTTCTCGACTTACCTTGGCGGTGTTCCTGTGCTGAACATCCCGGGACGGACATTCCCGGTCGAGATGAAATACTTGGAGGATGCCATCGAAATGACCAACTATCGCTTGTCGGAAGAGGATGCCAACACCACTGTCGATGACGAGGTTGACGAGATGACGCCGGAAAACGTCCAGGGAGACCAGACGGGTGGCGCACTGGCAACGCTCGAAGGATATTCCAAGCAGACCCGGGAGACAGTCTTGAATTTCGACGAATACCGCATGGACTACCAACTGATCAAGCGACTGTTGATCAAGATCGCTACTGCGCCTGAAATGACACATTACAGCAAAGCCATCCTGGTGTTCATGCCCGGTATGGCGGAAATTCGCCGGCTCAACGACGATTTGCTTGGGGAGCCAACCTTCCAAAGAAATTGGATCATACATGCTTTGCATTCCTCAATTGCTAGCGAGGACCAGGAGAAGGCCTTCAATGTGCCGCCTGAAGGCACTCGGAAGATTGTGATTGCCACGAACATCGCCGAAACTGGTATGTATCTCTATCGCCATGGGATTCCATGTCGCTGACCAAGATAGGTATTACCATTCCCGACATCACTGCCGTTGTTGATACCGGCAAAGAGAAGACTATGCGGTAAGTTACAAAAAATGATGTCCCTATGGACACCGCTAACATGGGATCAGGTTTGATGAGAGGCGGCAGTTGTCACGGTTGGTTGAGGCGTTCATCTCGCGGGCCAACGCGAAGCAACGGCGTGGACGAGCCGGGCGTGTTCAGAACGGAATCTGCTTCCACCTGTTTACTCGACACAGGCATGACAGGGTGGTACGTGCTGTTGACCGAACTTGTTGGTCCATAACGCTGACTTCCACAGCTTCCTGAACAACAAACTCCCGAAATGCTCCGGCTGTCTCTCCAGGATCTGGTCCTCCGCGTCAAGATCTGCAAACTCGGAGACGTGGAACAGACGCTTCTTGAAGCTCTGGACCCACCGTCGTCGAAGAACATCCGCCGGGCGATCGATGCGTTGAAGGAAGTTAAGGCGCTGACCAACGGGGAGAACCTGACCCCATTGGGCTCGCAGCTTGCCAAACTGCCCCTGGACGTCTTCCTCGGAAAGTTGATCGTGCACGGGGCGTTTTTCAAGTGCCTGGACGCATCGCTAAGCATTGCTGCCATTCTCTCTTCAAAGTCACCATTCGTCAACACCATGGGCTCCAACTCGCAGAAGGACCTTGCACGGCTTTCCTTCCGGCGGGGCGACTCCGACCTGCTCACTGTGTATAATGCATACTGCGTGTGGAAACGCGTCCGGAGCACAGCCGGGGGGAACGAGTACTCTTTCTGCCGCAAGAGCTTCCTCAACTCGCAGACGCTGTTGAACATCGAAGACGTCAAGATGCAGCTCGTCGTTTCCATCGCAGACGCAGGACTGCTGAAGCTAGACGCAAGCCAGAAGGCTACCTTGAACAGGTTAGTTGGGGGAATCCCTCCTGTCGACGCCACTGAGGGGGAATTGTTGTAACTAACATGACCAGATCGCGCTACGGCGGCCGACAACGCCAATTCTTCACCATCCCAGAGGAATACGACGTGAACAGCGCAAACGACACGATCGTCAACTCGGTAATCGCCTGGAGCTTCTACCCGAAGCTGCTCACGCGCGAGGGCAAGGGCTGGCGCAACGTGTCGAACAACCAGACTGTGACGCTGCACCCGACATCAGTGAACAAGCAGTCAGACTCATCGCTGAAGTGGATATCATACTACCACATCATGCAGGGGCGAAACCGGAACTACAACGCGTTTGAGACGAGCGCGGTGGACGATTTCGCCATAGCTTTGCTGTGTGGGGAGGTTGAATTCAAGGTTTGTCCCTGCCCCCCCAAAATGCACACATTTCCATATGATATTAACTCCAAATAGATGTACTCAGGCGTAATCTCCATCGACGCAAACCGCATCCGCTTCTCCGTCCGAGACTGGAAATCCATGCTCGCACTGAAGGTCCTCAGCGCGCGCATGCGCGAGATCCTAGCCGGGACGTTCCGCGATCCGCACAAGGTGCTGTCTTATAAACAGCGGCAGTGGATCGACATCTGGCAGCAGATATTCACACAGGCTGCGAAGCGGAATCCATAGATTTTTTCTTTCTTCTTCTGCATATCTCGTTTCATATCATGTCATATTTCTTTGTTGTCATGTAGATATGATCATATTTGGGGATTTAGGATTGGATGGGACAGGATAGACATGGGCTTGGGAGGGAGGAAGGAGTGATTTGATGGGGTTGGATCTTGGTTGATTGATTGGGTTGGTCATACATAGCTTTTTGCAGATATCGTGTGGTACTTGGATATATGAAGGTATATATTCTACAGTCTTGTATTTCTTTTCCATACCCTGGTAAATATTGAAGCGCCACATAATATATATCACCGCGTCCATCTACGAGAACCTAGGTGTGTACACACCTATACACACACGTACATATATACCTAGTATATACTCCATATATATGTTTATCTATATGAAATCCACATGGAATGATAAAAAAATAAGAAAGAACGTTACTCAACCACACAAATGCCGTGCCGTGTGTACCATCCATCCACCATCCATTAATCATGCCATAGACTGCACAACACAGAACTTGAAGAACGACATTGTTGCAAGATTGAGAGTGTCACAATCACAATCACAGAGACATGGGGGTGATAGGTACGTGGTAACGGAAGAAAATGCTACGGCCGCCACCACTATACTATTACTACCGACTACTACAACTACTGCTGCACTATTGGTACGAGAGCAGAATGAGAGAAGAGATGAGAAAAGGTGAAATATCTCTCAATATTAGTACATTATTTGCCTACATAGGAGGGAGGTATCTAGGTACCCAGAGCCAGAGATACAAAGCAGGATTGAGTGTTTCACAGACGAGATATTCCCATCCATCCATTCATTAACCATTATCCATCGCTCATCATCCAACCCCCTCAACTCGAGGTAGTCTCTTCCCCTCCTCAGAATTCAAAAAAACCAGAGGAAGATAGATAGGTAGGCAGACAGATAGGCAGTAAGTAAGGAGAAACCAGCGTCAGACAAGTCCCCACGCCGTCCTACCTCCCACCGAAGCGAATCTATCATTCGCCACAGATAGTTAGGTAGGCAGGAAGTAGTGTTGGGGCTGGCTGGCTGAAGCAGGCTGAAGCAGGCTGAGCAGAGGCTGGGCGAGGGAGCGGTCAGTAGGAAGGGAGGAAGACAGGACGCGAGGGTTGATTGATCCTTTTTTCCTCAGAATTGATTCAAATCATTTGATTTGATTAAACCATTTACGATGATCTTTATTTCAGGTAACTTCGAAGCGAACGTTATCATTGTCATCGCCACTCAACGGTCCTTCCCATCAAACAGCCGAGGGGGAAAAATAAACGAGGCGGTGATATCAGTTTGATTAATTAATTAGATCTATATCCACATGAGACAGAGACAACATGTACTCCGTACCGATCGAGCGAGCAGACGAGGCATGGGTGCAGGAGAGCTGCTGATACTATTGTTCTGCACGTCTAGAGGTGCATATATTCGTATATACGTACATACATACATACAGAGGAGGCGGGCGCCGGACGCCGTACGTCTACAGCATGCAGAATAAGCGATGGACGTACATACATACATACATACTATACGATAGTTCCATCCTCGATCAGACCGACGGGTGAACCGCGCGTCGCTGCATGGCGATCATCTCTGCCCATCTCCACTATGGTTTTTGATATTTAAGTCGTATATTTGATAGTGTTGGTGTGTTATAAGGATTGTATTCTAGTTATAATCCTCGGATTATAGCTAGGGATTCTAAGAGGAGAATCAGGTAAAATACTACTACAGATAATAATAGTAATAGATAGAATAATCAATAATTATGACCAGAAGATCCTCGCATATGCACCACGGGACGCTGCAGCTGAAACTTAGTCGCATCCCGTCAAGCCATCTGAGGTTGTTGCGGTCAGACCGTTTGTCTATCGATCATGTTGGAGAAACGATGGGAGGCTCCTCAGTTGAGCCGTGTAATTTCCAACGAGAGAATACGTAATGGGACATTCTTTCTCTTACCTTTAACTGTAAAGTGAGAAAGAAAAGAAATCGAGAAGGAGGAGAGGAAAAGAAAGGAAGAAAGAAAGGAAGAAGAAACAGGGCGGCCCCGGTTGGTGGCTACGTGGTCGTTCCCACCGCCAGTCGATCCATCCCCCTCCTCCTCCTCTTCCTCCTCCTCCCCATCCCCTCCACTTCGTCCACCAATGAGTAGCATTATCTCAAGGATGAGAGTTGGGAAGAGAGGTCGAGAGAGGTCGAAGACTGGGTTCCCTGTGCTGAGTGGCAGAGGTCCGTGATCCGACTAGTGATTGTTGAGTCTTCGGATGTCTGTCTGCTATCCCTCCAGATTGGGATGTTCCATACGGGATTCCTCTTCTGTCCTGTCGACATTATCATCACATTGTCTGGATAAGCGCCTATGATCGTGAAAGAGACTCCTTCCTTTTCCAATGACGAACCAGAATGACAGACACGGACTATGCCGAGATTAGCACAGTCTAGCAAATAGCCAGTAAGATACTACTATTAACGTCTGAGTAGTGATGATGCCATCCGCTATCTCAAAACGGAAAGACCACCATCCATCATCCTAGAGCCTAGAGGCCCGTCCGATCGTGCAGTCGATCTCGATGCACGGGGTAACGACGGAACCTGCAATGTAAGGTTAATGACCTGCGTGCAGCTCTAGCCATTCATCAGAGATCCTCTGTCCGTCACCCTCCACGGATGATGATTTGACACTGAATCCGAGAGGCGCTGACGGGGGGTTAGAGAAAGAGAGGGGGGCCTGACTATCACGGGCGACTAACTTGGTAGTCCTCTTCTTCTCCCCACTCAGCCCAACTCAATTGGTCCACGATGCTTCCACACCCTAGGTAAGCTGGCTTTTTGTCGCCCTTAGCAAGAATCCAGTCTACTTCCACCCCTGTCTCCTACCAGGATGGAACGGGCGAGAATCGGTACGAGGTTCGTTCTTTGGATACGCATTGAGAAGTTGACTTCTTTATCAGACAAGAAGGGGCGACAGGAAGAGCCAAACACGGATGGGTTCGCATGCGGTGGACAGCAGATTGGCGTTTCAGCTGGCTTTAGCGTCGGATCAGTTCCTGGATATTGAGGTTCTCATCGCATGTCTTATCTTGTTTGTTGAGTGTTTTTGATGGATGATTCTAGGTGGGACTGCAGTCCGCTGGCAGAGTCTCACAAAACCAACTTCTGACTATCTTTCCATCCAGACCGTCAGGAGTGGAGAGGGAGAATGAGGGGAAAGAGAGGAATGAGGCCGGAAAATTGTCAGTGTCGCACATGGTTCCAGCGGGAGATGCGGGCGGGTTGCACAACACGCCCGGTTTCTCGTGTATATATCTCATATTATCATAATATTATCATCATTATAATCAACATGTCATGTGGTGAGTGAGAGTGATGATACCGGGGAGGAGAATACCGGAGTCAAGGAGATTAAATCCTCGGGAGATGTGCTGCAGGACCCGATACGATGATGCAGGTACATTCTCTTTCTCCGACTACTTTTCTTTCTTCCCTCCTTTCCCTTCTTTTAGTTTACCCTATGCAAGACGTTGGTCGGAATCTCCATGAGTCAGTCCAGTCTACTGACCAGAATTGAAGAATCATCCAATCCGCCCCACTCCGTCACAGGGAAAGAAGGAAAGATTGACAACGGGGTTTGAAAGACAGTTAGTTCTCTCCACTCGAATGGAGTGAACCAACCGGAAGTGATTACCCCCAGTCAGCATTGCAAGCGCATCCTCGTCCGACCCGGACCAGATGATGATTCCATTCCATGGTGGTCCGTTGTCCATCAACCGTCGAGCTAACACGGTCCGCTCCTGTTAGTGGCGCTGGGCGGTTGCTAGTGGGATGGTTAGTGGAGATGTTTTAGTATTATTTATTTATTGATCTTTTATTTCAATTATTTACTATAATTGTATTTATAATGAAAATATAATAAGATCTATATTAAGGGGTTTGGAAGATTCCCTTTCGAGCACGTCGATGTTGGTGATTTCAGTCTCATCTGGCTGTCGTGTAGCCATCCTTTCCTGTCTTTGCTTTCCTTTCTTTTTCTTACTGTCTTTCCCCCCACTGAAGGATGGACGTGCCCCGCAAGATCTCCTGGATTGGATGGATGATGGACGTATGTACGACGGCTGCGGGTGTCGGCCCGTCGGTAGCGGACTGGTCTATCCTGCGTCACTCCATCTGATATTTGTCTGGTTGGTGTGACCGGTGGACACTTGGTTTTCTAGTCAGTGGTTTACTCCGCCGTAGTTAGTAGAAGAATCATAAAAAAATACAACCCACAGTGGGAATGGGGGTGATGTAGATCATAATCTCTCTGTTCGAGTGTCCCACTGGACGGTGGATAGTGGACTGTCCGTGCCGCAATGGATCATCGTTTATTAGGGATCTTTCTTTGAGAGCAGATGGTCCGTCCAATACTAGTCTGGCGGGTATTGATGGAGGAGTTACCCGAGCTGGTAAGGTAAGCTTCTCTTCTCTTTCTTCTCGACTCGTTAGCTTGGTTTGGGGGTTAGTCTCGGAGACAGAAGAAAGAAACACGGACCGCTCCGTGCATTGTGCTGTGCGGTGCTGTGCTTGTGTCCGTGCTCTGCTTTACTTTGTCTGTGCTTATCCTGCCAGATAGACGTGCAGTCTGGGGGACATTGGCCGTTCGTCGAGTCGACATGCTGACAGTATGTTAGGTACAATCCTGTCTATGTACATATATCTATATATGTGTGTGTGTGTATGCAGAATCATAAGAGTACATCATGTACTCCATACTCCCATTCAAACCACAGAACCAAGCACAAGTAGAGGCAGCATGTCAGTTCATGCGTAGGTTGATCCCAGCACAGCAAGGTGAGCTTATGTAGATCAACGACCAGGGTCCGGTCTGACTGGATGATGTGCATGACTTGGGAAGAGGGGGAGGGGTTGTGCAAATTACCCGATTGACCATTGCCCACGGAGTCGGTCTTCAACCATGGATGGATCCTGGACTTGTCTGGGTCTACTGACTAGTGAGTACTCACTAGTCAGAGCTCGAGCTCTACTGGTTTCAGTCTGTCTACCTACTTAGTACCTACCTAGTAGTGGATGACGAGGTAGGGTACAAGGGTGACGGCTACACGAGAGACTGGACAAGGGATGTACGGATACTCCGTATACACTCACGTCTGTTGATGGGGGATGCTGCGGGATATCCTAATCCGGAGAAAGGTGGCATCTTTCTGTTCTTTTCTTCTCTTTCTTTATTTTTTGAATTTCGGCATTTCTACGGAGGACTAAAGTTCTATTTGTCAGGTGTGTCTCCCTGTATGGGAAGGAGGATAATGCATCCGTGCCCGGACGCCGAGGACAACAGGAGAGCCCAGACCGTGTCAACTGAAGAATGCGCTTGCCGCCAATAATCTGATCTGGTGTGTCTCCGTCCTCTGTCTGTGTCCTCTGATCCTGTAAGTGGGTGTATATCAGGGTCCGTGCCCGATCTAGTCGTGTCTAGTTGCCCGTCAGTGTCCGTCCAGTCTAGCCTTGGACTCTGGAAAGAGAGACTCACGGACACAATCGACAGACTGAGAAGGAGAGAGAGAGAGAGAGAGAGAGAAAGTGGGGTTAGGCAATCAAGGTGGGGTATTGTGTGTTGAACTAGATCGTTAGTCGACTCCACCTTCACGCAAGGGGTTCACTTGCGAGGGAGAGGTTCAATTGCTGCATCTTCTTACAGGAAGAAGGTTCCTGGGCCTATCATTTCCCTGTTGCATTCCCCTCTTCTCTCTCTTCTTTCCTCCGTCAGCCGAGCATGAACAGCTGGTCTAGGGTTATATCATTTGTTGATTTTATTTTTTGGCTTACTATCACTCTTTTGTTTTTGGTTTATACAATGTTGACTACCAGTCTATCTCTGTTACAGAACAAGCGGTGAGGCCTTGGTTTCTTGTCGCCCTTGCGCCAGGCCATTCACACCGATCAACGTGACTTCTATTCTCTATTCTATTTTCTTCTTTATTCTATCTATAAAGTAATGAATAAAACAAACAGCCTGATCAGTGCTCAGTCCAGTCTCACCGTATCCATCACACTACCTAGATCGACCTCGATGTATGCCATCTGTCCAACCCTCCAATCCACATTACATCACTGTCCACACGAGTCTCCATCGTGTCGAGTTGGCATTATTGGCATTGTTACATCAAATAACCCTCCTGTCTGGACTTCTTTTGCTCAGCAAATCAACTCAATGAAGAATGAAGTCAATTTGTCGTCCCACATCGGGTAAACCCTGGCTGACGCCTGGTATCAATGACCGAGTATCCGTAACTTGAATCGACCTCATCTCCATCCATCCACTCCGTAGATAGTTAATTTGCCCAAGCCCACAGGTGTCAATGCTTGATTGACGGCGCATTGGTCGACGGCCGAAGGATTCGATCGACGTAATTACAACTGGAAAAAAGAAACCAAAAGAAAAGGAAATCAATTACAACTCACCATTAGCGTTATTTTCTTTTTTCTGTCTCATCGTTGCTGCCTCATCTTCGACCGATCCGGTAATTAACACCATATGCATCACATTTCCCACCAGATGAAGGGTCCCATCCGAACTGGATTGGTCGGGGCTGACCCTCCCCCCTCCTTCACGGAGAATTAAATTCCTACCCTCGTACAATCAGCCTACGGCTCCTGTACCTACCGACCCAGCTACCGGTTGTACTGTTTGAGGCAGACGAAGATCGGGGCCCGGTCTGTGCCGTGGACGTGGACGTGGACATGAGCTCGCCTCTCGCTCCGGCATGGCTGATGACTACCAGGCTGTTTTCCTGACCGACTCTGTTCGGGGTTGATGTATCCAATGTTGATTCCTCAACGGGAGAAGCCGATGGAACATCTTTTTCTTCTTCTTCTGCCTTTCTTTTTTTTTTTTTTTTTCTTCTCTCGTGACAATCGTCATTTCCTAGACATTCTGGCCACCTGTCTGTTAGTGGAGTCAACTGCCATTGACTTACGGCCGAATGAACCCAGACCGATCATAGTAGCGATGTCTATCTACTCCGTATCTAGTACTATATCCACCTGTCAAGACTAAAAGACAAACCAGTACGGAGAAACAACAACCGTCCCCAGTCTCAGATCGAATGATGACAAGACGCCGCGCGTATCATATCATTGGGCTAGGAATAGGATAAATCTATCAACACATTCAACCCATTCAACCCTCCGATCTACACTTACCACTCGATCAATAGTCGAGGCATAAGTTCTAGACACTAAATTGGACACCAGGACACCTGGACAAGACACTAACCAACGGAAATAGAATTGTCTGTAAATTTACCCAGTTGTCGAAAACCCCAGTCATATTAGATAAAAATAATAATCAAGATAATTATAATAATGGAAATCACTGCTGTCGCCCACGACGCCACCACCGACATTCGTGGTGCTCTCTGATCCAACGGATTATCCCTGCTCTCTGCACGAATCCCTGCCTCCTCGTCTTCATCCTGGCTCGTTTTTCTTCTGCTGATGGTTTGGTGTGACATGGGTGGATTCGCTTGCTTGCATATATTATTTTTGTTTAGTTTTATTAAGGTGGTGATTATTATATTATTTTATATTATAATTTATAATTATAATTATGATCCTCGCTGTGATTTCCTGACGATATACCCGACACGATCGGCCGTTCATGATGGAAGAATAGCGAGTATTAGTAAAAACGAAGAAACCACGCAGAAGCCCAAGTATACCACAAATAACGGACCAATCTGTCTCATCAAGATAAAGATGTGTCTATCATCGGAATGGCAGGAAAGAATGTCAAGGGAGGAAAAAGACAAAGGGATGACTTGTCAGCGGCCTTAGGTATGTACGGTGGTCCCGCCCTAACGCCCTCCAGATCGTCCCGAAGCCCTAAATCCGTACATACAATACGTATCTTATGAGACTCATGTCAATTGGTAGGAATGTCCAAGACCAGTTGATTCAAGCCAGCCAACAGCCAATTATCACCCTCCTCGTCACCGGAGGTTGAAACTCCACTTGGGCTGGAGGCTATCGTCGAGGGCGTTCTCTAGTCAGTCTGTTCCATCTGTTTTGGGGGGGAGGTTGGGTGAAGGGTCGGAGTCAGATTGACTGTGTGATCTGCCAACCAGACCGAAATATGAAGGGAGGTCAATCAAGGGTAGGAAGTGTGATGTGTATTTTGATTTATTTATTTATTAATAAATATTATTCAAAGGAAAAGAAGATTGTTTGACTTCTCCCTTGTTCCGTCACCGCCAATTCTCCCTTTCCCATCGTAGATGAGACGGTATACCTGACGGGTTGGGTTGTTTCGGCGGTTCGTTGGCGAACGCTTCCCGCTCGCTCGTACATCTTCCATGATCCACTGCGCCGTTTTAGAGTGCGTGATCTTGCAGCTTGAACTCCATTGTTTCTTTTATTTCTCTAATTTAATGTTGATAATAAGAATAAATGTTTCCATCCCTTCTGACTTTTCTTCCTTTTCTTCCTTTTCTTTTTTCAATATCTTAATTAATATCTCATTTTATCTCCTTCCTTTTCCATCACCCCTCTAACAAACCATGAACACGCCAAGCAAAAAGAGGAATGTAGAATTAAAAACCCAACCATCAATTTCAAATCTCCTCCTTAGCGCAAGTCTGAATCCCCAAGCGTTATTTTTCTTCCACCCGGCTAGGATGCGTATCCATATTTCGCACATACATACAACCAGACATACATTAATACGTACATGGGCTAAGGACGGACGGACGGTACGGTACCTAAGCTAACGTTGCAGCTCTGCTCTGCTCCCTCGGTACCCATCCAGTACCTATGAATAAGCGTATGTATGTATGTATGTATGCGAGGTTTATCGAAGCTGCGTACCACTCGTGCACAACATTTCCTCCTTCGAGAGTGTGAGGTGAGATGGGTTCCGTGGCTCGGGACTTGGTATGCGACAAATCCCGTGGTTGATGGAGGGAGGTATTGTTTGGCTGAATTGGACTGTTAGGCTGTTCGTTAGCTGGCGGGAAATAAATGAGCGTGTCTTTGGTTCGTGGTGTGGGACCCGTGCTCATCATCGTGGAGACGGATGGGCTAGCTGTTCGCATTGGTTTGGTTTGGTTTGGTTTGGGTTGGACTTGAATTGGAATTGAGATTGGGATAACGCGCCTGTTAGCCGTTATTATTTTTCCATTACTTCTGATTTTAGGAAATTGGAGATCATCATTTTCTTGTTGAATTAATTTCACACTATATTTACTATGATTGTGATGGAAAAAGAGAACTGATCGTCCTTCATCAATAAAAAAGAATAGAAAAATAGGAATAAATACAGGTCCGTGTAGCCTCACCGGTGGACTCACCAGCCTTGGCGTTCAACACCGGACTCGGTCTGGAGAGTCAGAGAATGGAATTAAAAAATAGAATTAGTCCTCTGTGTTAGAACGTAGAAGAGAAGGAAGATGTTACCTTGATAGAATACACTATTGATCGTCCATCGATCCAGCATCATCCCAGCGCGCAGGACGATCAAATGACTTACAGCAATGCGATCGGTTCCCAACAGTTTAATATACTCTCTGGTTTACCCCTCTGCCTAGTGGAAGAATCATATTATGATCCTGGTCTTAGTTGGTAATCTGGTAATGAATTACATATTAAGATATTGAGAGGTTTTCGGATGTCTCCTAATCAGATTGGTCCTCTCTGTCTCTCTGAGTCTCTCCTTGACGCCCGGCTTTATTCATTGTACAGGTAGGTAGTATATCCTGCAGAACTCGAACTGTTTCTACCTTGTGTCTGTCTGTCTTCTGTCTATCTTCTGTCTGTTGTCAATCACCCGCTGTCACATCCCTTGAACCATCCATCAACCAGGTAGGTACGATGTCTCCTCTACCTCTCAATAATGCATATCATGATCCTTTCTCTCTACTGTACTCCGTACTCGGTATTCTATAATTGAATATGGAATAAACTTCCCACCCTCCTTCCTGTATTTCCTGGTTTCCCCTCTCCATCCCCAACGGACCAATCCTACCCCCCCAGCGCGTCGGTTGGATCGTCACGGCCCTAACCCAAACGGTGGTCCCTGCCCGCGTCCAGCCTAGAGACCAACCAAGCCTTAGCTCATCCGGGCGCGCTGGTCCTTGCTTCGTGGCGGTTCTGCTGCTGCTCCTCTCCCTCCTGCTGCTGCGACAATCTTGCTGTCGGAGCTTGTCATTGAGAAGAGGTGGCAGTCTTCTGGACCCTGCCAGCAATGGTTGAAGCGGCCACCGCAAGACCAGCAGCTCCTCTAGCTCTCCGCTTTTGCACAGGTTCGAAGCACGGTCGTTTTTTTATTCATTATTTTATGATTATATTATTTATCTTTATTCTCATTATTTATTTGAATTTATTATCTTATTTCAGTGGGAAAAGAATAAAAAAAGAAAATTCACTTGTCTGGAGTTGCCGGATCCACAACTGGGACGGTTGGATTATTATTCTTCTTACTCTTTCTTTGGATTGTTTTTTTCTTATTTGGATTTAATCTTTTTGATTTATTGGATTTCTTCCTCTGACATCTTTGAATTCTTTTATTTTAATTTTATTCTTCTTTGGGATTTTCATTTCTATTCTATTTCGATTTGATTTTCATTTTTATTCAATTTATTCGATTTATTTCCCCTCCATTTTCCATTCCTGATTTCTATGATTTGATTTGATTGATTCCTTCGAACGAGCCAGGACAGGTCCACGACTGAGTACTTAGTTATAGTGACAGTCCATCCGGTGGTGATCCACTGTTGAAAAGTCCACTCTTCTTCCCTCTTGACCTTTCCTTCAACCTCCCCCAAGCTTCTCTCTTTCTTTTCCCCTTCCAGCGACCATTCGGAACCCATTGACACGGGACCCAGAAAACGGACCCGGCCGGGACCAGTTCCAAGATTTCATAGATAAAGGACGACCCAAAAGGATAAAAAGAAAAACAATTAACCAGCCAAAAAAAAAAACCACCGGACATCCCGCCGCCCATCAAAGCATCAGAAACATTACGGCGTCCAACCGCCCAGTTTGCCTTGCAGCTTCTCTTACATTCCCACGCAGTAGGTTTCAAAAAGAAGGTGATCGAGAGTTACAAACCACTTCCAACCACACGTGCCGGTATGTGATTTTTCTTCTTCTTTTTTGTTCTATTTTCTATCCTCTTGTTTTGTGGTTTCTACCAGAGAACCAACCCCCATCGGTCATTTCTGTCCATGAGGTTGGATTGTATACACTCCACGTACCCAGACATTCCTGCTGTATCCCCTACCCACTTAGTCTCCTCCCGACAGCTTTCTTGTTCTGGAATTGTCCCTCGCGTCATGTCCCCTTCGATTGTTTTTCCTTGAGAGTTCCATCACCCGTCAACTGGATCAAGGGAGAGGGAGAGGGAGAGGGAGGGGAGGGGAGGTGGAGAGAGAGGTTGTCGAAGCCGACCAGCCTCCCAATAAAATGCGGGAAAGCAGTTGAACCTTTCGGCCGGGCTCTCTCGATCTTTTCTCCTCTCTGTGTCTACTGTTTGCTGTGCTGTGCTGTTCCTATCTCATCCCTTGGTTGAGATCCTCGTTCCCAACCTTCCCCTCCTCGGCCGATCCGTCATCCGTTCATTCGCCATCCATGGATCAGAGCTCCGTCTGACTACACTATACTCCCCACCTCGATCTTGATTCTTGCCTACCATCAAGGAGGAATTGACCAGAAAGAAAAGGGAAAAAGAAAGGAAAAGAAAAAGACAAGAGAATAGAAAGAAAAAAAAAGCAAAAAAAGAAAGAAAAACAGGAAAAGAAAACGCGTTTGGTATATCTTCCATTTCCCATAGACGCATCATTTCTCTCTCCTCTTGGGCTCTTTTCTTTTCTTTTCTCTTTTCATCTTCTTTTCCTTCTTTTCTTCTCTTCTCTTCTCTTCTGACTGTCCCTTTCTCTCCCTTTCGGATCGTTCCTCCTCCTTCCATCTCCCATCCAGTTGTCTCAAGAGAAACCCAACCTGCAAGTCGTTTAGGCTTAGTTTGGGGCCTGCGTTTGCTGTACGCCCCCAGCCTCCACCGCTGGATGATCTGCTGCTGCTGCTGCTCCTGCTCCTGCACCAGCACTGCAATCAATCATCTCTCTCTCTCTCCCTCTTTCGCCCTCGGGTCTGTCTGAGTTCACCTACTTTCGATTTTTATTCCATTTTACTTCCTTTTCCTTTCTCCCCCTTCCTCTCCCCTTAGACCGTTCTATTTTTGCTTGGGGTCCCTGCTTGGGCTCTCCCTCTTCTCCCTTGTCGGCCCGCATTAGCCTCTCTATCCCTTCCGTTTGGCGCCTTCTTATACATACATCCACCGTTCCGTCTGCCTGTTCCCTCTACCTCGATCATCACTCTTCTTACTCTTTTTTCTCCTCTTTGATTTCGACCTTTATTTTTTATTTTATTTTTTCGTTTTTGTTCTGCATGACCTTTGATGACCTGGAACGTATCACTCACGCCCGCTTTGCTTGCTTTTGCAGATTAGACGCCTCTTGCCCCCTCCAGTGACGCCATTTGCTTGATTTTCTCCAACGACCTGACACGACCTGTTACGATTTGCGACGAGTCGGACCGCCTCTCCGTCACACTCTGCGCTGCCCTCTCGACAACCCTCCACCCCGATCGCATCTACAAATCCCCCAAAGCAGTCGACGTTTGATGCTGGACTATCACGTCGTCCCTGCTTCTTCTCCCCCCCACTTTTTACGACCTGAAACGATCCCCATGATTTCGTGCTTTTGATTCGGTTGAGCGATTTTGTTGACCAGCCGCAAGCGCCCGGTTCACCTGGATTTCATGGTGTCCTTTGCCACGACCAAGATCTTCACTATCTGGATGTTAAAGTTTGGTGCATGCTCTCTGCATAGCGATTTGTCTTGATCCAGTTGCCTAGTCATCTTCGAGCGTTTAACGGTTACGAATCTCCACGAGCTTGCCACGATTGCACTTTTGCTTTGAATTTTCTCTGCCGTCTGATTATCATCGAGTTTCTTATCTCTATTTACGAATCCTCTACAGTTTCTCCGAACATCACCTGAATTACCTGCTATCCATCTGGATCGCATGACCTAAAGGCAACACTTCCGCCTTCACTCACCCAATTACTGGTACGTTGGACGCATTCCGAGTCCGACGTCCACCGCTCCCTCTTGCTACGATTCTTAGAGCTGTTCCCCGCCAACCGAAAAGCTGGAGCTGCCGTCGATTTCGCAGGTCCACACCAGAGGTCCTGCCGATCTTCCTTGGTATAACCACCACGCCGCGGAGAGACCGCTGTTGTCTGGTGATAAACTCCCCGCGCTGAGTTTACCGACAGCCTCGCAGCCGCCTGTCTCGGCCCAGTCCTACCGGACGAGCTGGGAAGACCCCGGTTCCAACAACGTGAGCGCACGCACAAGCCTGTCAGGATCCGCGCCTGTCGTCAACGAACCCCGAAGCCCGCCGCCGTGTGCCGATCTCTCGGCTGGTGGTCAGGGCCGACTCTCCTTGGATTCCTCCGCGCCGCAGGAGTACGCCATCTCGCAAACCCCCGTCGGTGACAGCTACTATCCGAACCCGACCCCGCTCGGCAGCATGAACCAAACGCAGCCCTACATGGATGTTCACTCGTCACATCTGTCGTCCGCCCAGGCGTACGGGTCGCAGGCCGCCACCGCCGGTGGCATGCCGCACTATCATCAGTACCACCAGCAACCGTCGGTGCTGCAGCCGGCCTCGACCACCTACGGACCGGCCAGTTCATACACGCAGTATGCCTACCCGCATAGTGTGGCCTCGTCTCAACCGGGTCCCCCGAGCTCCATGAGCAGCCAGGTTCCCCCTCAATTACTCCCTCTTCCGGGTAGGTTGGATTAACCCCCAGGGCCAATGTTGCCACCAGGGAAATTCATTCTGATGATTATCATAGGAGTCGCAAGCCACGCGGTGGCACCGCCTGGTTACCCAAGCCACTCGGGCCCTCCGATTCAAGGCTATGTCACCGACACCACAGGCCAGGGGGCTCCCCCGGGGGCCAAGCCGCGCGTGACGGCCACCCTGTGGGAAGATGAAGGCAGTCTCTGCTATCAGGTGGAGGCCAAGGGTGTCTGTGTTGCCCGACGTGAAGGTAGGCCGTTCATCGCAGGAGAATACCCACGTATATCGTGGCCGGGGTGTGAATGTGCTGACGGTTCCCTCAGACAACCATATGATCAACGGCACCAAGCTGCTCAACGTCGCCGGCATGACGAGAGGCCGTCGGGATGGGATCCTGAAGAGCGAGAAGATCCGTCATGTTGTCAAGATCGGGCCGATGCACCTCAAGGGGGTGTGGATCCCGTTCGAACGGGCGCTGGAATTCGCCAACAAGGAGAAGATCACCGACCTGTTGTATCCGTTGTTCGTTCACAACATCGGCGGGCTTCTCTACCACCCGACGAACCAGACGCGCACGAACCTGGTGGTGCAAGAATCACAGCAGCGACGGTTGGAAGGGCCAGCCGCCCGGGCTTCCCAGGGCCCCCAGCCGCCGTTGCACCATCATCACTCGCTTCAAACCCCCGTTCCGTCTCACATGCCGCAGCCTCACACCGTTTCCTCTCAGCACGGCGGTCGCCCATCGCTGGACCGTGGCCACACCGTCCTTACACCCCCCGCCAGTGCCTCGGGCGTTATTGGCCTTCCGAACCAAGGGAGCTCTTACGAATGGGGCAACCAGGGCATGAATTCCGGCGTCCCCCACTCCCAGCCGTTGTCCATCGATACGACGCTCAGCAACGGCCGGTCTATCTCCACGCCGGCGACCACCCCGCCGGGGTCGAACCTGGGGGGCATGCCGTCCTTCCAGGGCCAGCCCGGGTATGACAGCGCCAAATCGTACTACTCCGCGGCGCCCCCGTCCCACGCCCAGTATGCTCCGCACCAGCCCATTGCCCAGCCGGCGATGTCTCCCTATGGCCAGATGCCCAGCGGGTACCTCAAGAACGACATGGGCCCGCCGTCGGGCCGTGCCTCGGGCGGACAGCCGGAACCAGAGCCGGCTGATGTCAAGCCCGAGCGGTACTCGCAGACCAACGGGCACATCGGCGGGGAACCGGTCCCCGAGCACGAATCCGACTACGTCCAGCAGGACAATTCGGGCTACCACGCCAGCCGGGGGTCGTACACGTACACCACGAACCCATCCCTGGGCAGCCTGACGGGCGACCACCCCCAAATGACTCCGGAATTGACCGGCTCCCCGTCGCAGCAGAACGGCTCGGGGCGGATGACTCCTAGGACTAGCGGAGCTCCTCCGCAGTGGGCGTCGGGCTACAATACGCCTCCTCGGCCAGCGGCAGCCAGCAGCCTGTATAACATCGTCAGCGACACCCGAGGAACCTCAGCCAATGGAACTTCCCTCGACAACTACTCGGTCGCCTCCAATCCCGCACCAAGCTATTCCACGGGACTCAACACCTCTTTGGGATCGAACAAGCGGATGCGCGAAGACGACGATGTCGACCGCATCCCGCGACCGGACAGCCGTGGCACCGAGTACGACGGCAAGCGCCGGAAGACGATCACCGAGTCGCCGGTCGGTGGTCCCGTCGGCAGCCTTCCCCCAGGATTGCAACCCATGAAAGCGGGAGGTGTGATGTCTCGCCGGAGATAGTCTACCCAAAATCATCAAGATAAGGAGAGGAAAAAAGGAGAAAAAAATTATAATAAAAAAAAAGCGAAAAAAAGAAAGAAACAAATCACACAAAACAACAAAAATTTCTTTTCGTTTTGATAAAAGAGAGGTGAAAGACAACCTCCAGGAGGTAGAGCAGCTTGCATGGTCGATATGCAGCACGATTTTCTTTGGTTTTTCTTTTTTGATTTTCATTTCATATGTCTTGCATTGTTTCCCATAGACGACGCATTCCCGCGGGTCTCGGCATGCAGATAGGCAGGATGTTCGCGACCGGTCTGCCGGTCCGCAACAGCATGCTATGCCGGTTGATAGCCTCGCGTGCCTTAATGCTGAACACATGTTGGATCTGATCTAACATGGGCACCATTTATGCATGGGTATGACTCGGATTTGGATATTCGAGTCTATGATCATTTAATGTTGGAGCGTTTCATCTGGTCACCGGTGTCAACCCGGTCGGGCTTTCCTTTTATTGGATTGATTGAAGGGATGGTCAGCGTTTGGTGCTATTGGGTCATCTTGCGGGTTGTTGCGTGATTTGCGAGAGAAATGGATGGATGGATGGATGGATGGATTGGATAGGACTTATATTTAACGACTATGATGTGACGAATTTCCTATGACGAGATTTATTATATCGTTGTGGCTTTTCTCATTTGATTTTTTTACTTTTTACTTTTTATTTACTTTGGTGCTATCTCATCTCTACTTATTTATGCTTTCAACCCAATACTGTGTGTGGTTGGGATTGAGTATGTATGGATTGCATTAAAATTCATGGGATTTATAATACTTCGGCTTTAGTAGAGTATGCTTCTGTATGTAGAAGCAGATCAGCATGATAGACAAGGATTATGCATCCACGAGATGGACTCATCTCAGACATACAACCTACATACATAATACCTTGTCAAGTAGAACTGCATCAACAGGGCATGGAATGCACATCTGTACTGGCATGTCTGTACTCTGTACCCTGCATCCAGGTCGATCATAAGTAGTCCGTTATTGCCAAGTCAACCCTCGATGTATAGTACTTGAGTAAACATAACGATGTATATTAGTTATGTGCCTCAGGCATGTAATGATGATGATGATGATGATAATGATGACATAATAAAACCAACTGTATCCAAGCGGATTCGCCCAAACGGGAAAAACATCAACAGTCTACCGTGAGTTGACTGACTCTGATCAACGTTCCATGGTTGAGTTTGACAAATCAACCACGTTACTCACCAAACTCAACCCCAGACAGAAAGGCGGCGGCGGCAGCAGCAGCAGCAGCAGCAGCAGCAGCATCGACAACAACCAGCCCACCAACAATTAAACCAAACCAAACCGAACCGAAGAAAACCAACCAACCCAACCCAACCCGTCAAAGAAGCAAATCCTGCAGGGAAAAAGAAAACAAAAGATCTACAAAAGATCTACAAAAGATCTACAGGGACAGATCTCGAAGAGAACGAAAGATGCCCCCGATAAGAAAACACCACCACCAACAACAGGTGACATTTAACAACCACCGCATCTTCGATCCCTGGAATTCCTCCTCGACGGGCCATCAAAGGGGTGAGACGTCGACTGGGACGGCGTGGAGGCGGACGAGGGAGGAGAAGCTTGCGGCGCAGTTTTCTTCTTCTTCCTCCACCTCTTCTTCTTCTGCGCCTTCTTATGCGCCTTCTGCTGGGGGGGAAACGGGGGGTAATGGTGGGGAATGGGTGTGGATGAATGATCATCCTGCTTTGGGAAGTGGAAATGGGATGGATAAGGAGAGTGGGCAGAGGGATATTAGGGATATGTTTTCTGTTGGGAAGGGGTCTTCTTCCAGGCCTTTATTGAATGGTGATGGTAAGAAGGAGTCTTGCTTATTACCTTCTAACGACACCACCACCACAACCACTACCAACTCTATCAAGACACAAAACCAACCTCAAATCCACAACACCCCTCAAACCCAAACCCACAATACCCAACCCAACGAAAGCAGCGAACCCAGCATCTCAAGAGAAACCGAAGAGAGAAAAAGAGGGATATTCTCAAACCTCACAATCCACCTCAACGCCCCCTCCTCCCCCCTCATCTCCGACCACGCCCTCCGCCATCTCCTCGTCGCGCACGGAGCCTCCCTCGCCCTGTCTGTGTCGAGGCGCGTGACGCATATTATCGTGGGCAGGCCGAATACTTCTTCTTCTTCTCCTGCTGGTACGGGTATATCTGGCGCCGGAGGAGGCTTGTCTGCGACTAAGTTACAGAGAGAGATTGCGAAGGCGGGGTGTAGGGGGTTTAGGGTTGTTGGTGTTGAGTGGTTTGTTCCCTTTCTTTTCTTTTCCCCTTTCCCTCCCTTATATTTCTGAGAGAGAGAGAGGGAGATCTGTTTTGATTTTGATAGACTGATGATGATGTCTAGGGTCCTGGAAAGTATTAAAGCGGGAAAGAGACTCTCTGAAGCGAGGTTCGCGATGAATGTTGCTGGGAGGGGGCAGAGGAGTGTGTTGGCTTTTGTTTGATTTTGTTTTCTTTTTCTTCTAATTTTTTCTTTTCTTCTTTGATTTATTTGTTGCATTTGGGCGGTGGTGTTGGTATATGGTGTTGGTGTTGTGTTGTTAATATTGTGATACCCCTTGTTATATGCTTTCTTCCACTCAGTTTACACTAGTATACACCCAGTTTACACTTAGTTCATCCTGCCACGAGTAACTTAAATCCCCATACTTATATCCTCTAATATATACATTATCATAACTCATTCACATCATACATCATCAGGTATCCTACCCCACTACTTCCCATCCTCATACCGTCTCCACCCCCGCCCATCCTCCTCCTCCCGCCGATAAACCCCCCCAGCCGGATACGGATCATGATCCGGCCCATCATAAGGCGCCTCATCCGGCAACGGCGGCAGCGGATTCACCCGTAGTCGCTGCGGTCTATCAATAGATGTCGTCGGTCGGTGACGGTATTCTGGTGACCAGTCGTCGCTCTCGTTGGAGTCTGTTCTGTCGAGTTTCTCGATATATGTCTCCTCCCGCGAGTCACCACGTACTAAACCCAGTCGCTCTTCTTCCGAGTCTTTGGGTTCCTGGTGGTGGCGGCGGAGGAAGCCGCGGGGCGAGGAGGATTTAGGGGATAGGGCGTCTTGGGGATCGGTGCTGCTGCTGCTGCCGCCTTTGAGGCGGTGGAGCATGTTGAATGAGAATTGGCGTTTTGTGTGGGGGGAGGGGTCTGGTTCGCTTGTTATTGTTGTGGTGGTGGAGGCGCCGCGGTAGCTGGTGTCGAGTGTTGGTTTCTCGTTCTCCTTTTCCTCTTGGATGGGCTGCCACGGGTGGTGGACGATGCTGGACGTGCGCGTGCGCGCGCGGATCTCCTCGAGGAAGGAGTTCCCGCTGTGGGTGGTGCTCGGGCGGTCGTCTTCGTCTGGGAATCGCGACATGCCTAGTGGTGGGAGGGGGCTTTTGAGAGACGGTGTGCGCGTGCTCGTCGTTCGGAAGGTGGCGGATCGAGCCATGGTCGGTCCGTCGCCGAGGACGGTCTTGCGCCGGCGCAGGCCGTCCCACTCTATTACCTCGTTCTCGGCGGGTTGCTTTTGGTCTTCGTGCCGGTCGCGGAAGTATCGTCTTGCTTCTTCGGCTTCCATGGTGCGTCTCTGGGTTGAAAACCGTCGGACGATGGCGGCTGCGCCGCGGATGGAGTCTGCCTTTGGCTCTGATTCGGGCTCTTCTTGTGTGACGACTTCGCGGATCTGGTTGAGGTCGCCTTTGAAGACTGCTGCGTCGGGGACGTCTTTGGCGGATTTGGACACTTGGAGGAGGACCACGCCGGCGCAGATCTGTAGGAACCCTAGGACGACGGTCGCGATCTCCATGCCGGATCCCTTGAAGCCTTGGAAGAGGATGGCGGAGGTAGCGATCGTGGCGCTCGTGAAGAAGACGTAGTAGGTGGGGGTGACCAGGGCGGCGTTGAAGATGTTTAGGGCTTTCTGCTGAGGTTAGAATGGTGGTTAGAAGGGAGGAAGGAAGGATGAGGACGTACGTTCAGGTAGATAATCTCCGTCAACAACGTAGCGATGACGAACACCAGCAGCACGTAGAGGAACCACTCCTTGAACTGCGACTCGCCGTTGATCTGCGCCAGGATGGCCGCGCCCAAACCCTGCGTCGCGACGACGCTCAACCCACCCACCAAACTGCAGATGCTGATGTAGACGAACATGCTCTTCTTGCCGTATCGCGGCCCCACCCACAGCGCCGTGAAGGCCGACCCGACCACGATGATCCCCGCGTAGGTCAGAAACCCAGGCGCGATAACAAAGTGCTTCATATCCTGGATATTACGGACAGACGACTGCTCGGGGGCATTCAGCGCGATCACAACCGACCCAAGAATGCACGTAAAGCATCCCACCTTCCCCACAAAACTCAACCGCTCCTTCAGAAAAATAGCAGACAAGATAGTCGTAACAACGACAGACAGCGCCCCCAACGGCGTCACAAGGATCGCGTCCACAAAAGCGTAAGCGACAAAGTTACAGATCTCGCCGACGATCATGAGCGTCATGCCCAGCCACCACCAGAAGTTCTTGAGATACCCGTACCCCTCGCCCGCCTCCTCATTGTATTTGACGTTGGCCTTGAGCAGGCCGACTTTCTTGATCACGAACGAGACGCCGATGAAGAGGCCGGATGCGACGGCGAGGCTGATGCCGATGGCTTTGTAGGAGGCGGGGCGGCCGCTTTCTTCGCCGGAGCGGGCCTCGAGGGCCGCGTGGGCCATCGAACTGGGGAAATTCATCGGTGTCGCATGAACTGCCGGTGTCTGTATACTGTATATGTGTATCAAGGTCGATCAAGTAATTTCGAGTATGTGGTTATAAAGTTCGAGACAGACAGCGAGGCATGAGACAGGCGATCGAGAGCACGGCGAAGAGAAATGCAGGATAACCGCCGCGTGGTTTCAGGAATGTCGGAGATCTTTTAAGCTCGGCGGCTCGACACGTGGGGGGAGAAAAGGGGGAATGACAGTTTCTAAATTGTCCCCTACTTAATACACGTAGATTGACCGGTTAATTTACGAAGGAGACATCCTGATCAAATAAATGAACTCATATTATTGATAGAAAGAGGCAGGCCAAGAAATGCAGAAGGCTGGAAGATTGTCGGACCCACCGCCGATCCCACGCATCGAGATCCTCTAGACCGTATCGTAATTTTCGAGGCTGATCAGTGGTGAGATTAATTCTTCTCAATCTGGTCAGCTAATTCATCTGAATATTATATTGCCACAATCCTGTCATTTCCTTTGTGTTGATTCCTGAACCGGTGGGTATCTCTGTCATTCTCCCACGTCCTGACAATCAGAACCGTGGAACTAACAACGCAATAAAGGAGAGAAAAATAAAAATAGAAACGGAACAAAAGACAGAAAGGATTAAGAAGGGAAGCATAAAGAAAAGAAACATGTCCACATTGCTCATTATACAAGTCTCCAAATACATACAGGCATTCCACAAAGCCCCCGCGCTATGAAAGAAAGGAATCAAAATGGTCATGTTCCGTCATGAGTCAATCCATCGTGGCATGTTTGATAGAAAGAAAGAAAGAAAGAAGAGTAATGATCATCGCACGTGGTAACTGGGTTTGCGCTGTCGGTTCACCACCGGCGGCGGTTCATCCACCGGGTACGGCGGCCGAATCTTTCCATTCGACCCACGTCCGGGACTCTTCCGCACCTCGAGCGGCATGGGCATCGGGATCCCGCCCAGTTCACTGGGCTGGCTGGCGTCGGGATACGGAATCGGCGTCTTGGGAGGCACCGGGGGTGGCATCCCCCCATATTCCGAACTCACCCGCGGCGACGGATACGGCTGCTGTCGCGACCCCGGTCGGCTGGCATCGCTGGGGGCCAGGCTCCCCCCATCGCTCCCCGACCTGCGGCTATGGGAGATTCCGACCGTATCCTGTGGGGTGGGATGGACCGGCAGATAGTCCTCTCCCGGCGGCGGCGGCGGCGGTCCCGAAGGCGCCATCGGTACAAAGTCGCCGGGCAACTCGGCCGGCAATTCCACGGCGTCGGGATAGGAGGTCTGGGGCGGCGAGACGGAGACGGCCGGGCGCGAGAAGAGTCCCATCTCCTCCTGGGGCGTGGCCAGGTACTCGTTCTCGGGCTCGGCCTCCCGGGCGGCTAGGCGACGGTGCATGCGCTCGATTTTGGCAAACTTGACGCCCGCGTCCAGGATTTGCCGCTTGACATCCGGTTTGGTCAGATACCGTCGCGTGTTGGTGCTGATGTCGACCAGTCGGTTCCACTCGTTCATGCCGAATTCGCCCACGCCCACTTCCACGTTCAGCCGGTAGTAGTTGTCCTTGCTCACGTTGCGCTTCGCGAGATGGTCGCGCAGCATTTCCATGTGGATATCCTCACACCCCTCGATCTTGTTGATCAGCCGTCGACGGGCCTCGGCAAAGGTGCCCAGGGCGTCGCCGAAGAAATCCTCCCACCACTCGTGTTGTCGGTTGTTGGTGCCCGACGGACGACGACCCGTACCGATACTGACGAAGACGCCAATCTCGCGACCCGGCCACTCGTTCACGGCCGCCTCATCCAGGACCTGCGGGGAGGGGTTGTAGGTGCCGACGCCCTCATCGATGAAGACGTGCTGGCCGATCTGGATCGGTTTGAAGGCGAGCCCGGTGGCTGCGGTGGCGCGACCGGCCTGCCAGACCGTGCAGTTGAACTCGGGCGGGGGTTCTCTCCGGGAGTCGTAGGACCGCAGGAGGACGGTGGAGTTGCTTCGCGTGGTGCCTTTGTACAACGCCGTGACCGCACTATACCGACGGTTTATGGTTAGTTGGCAGTGACGATGAGGGCTTTAGAGGGGGTTGCGACTCACGTTTTGGTTCGATATTCTCGGTTGTCGTACAGCAAGGCATCGGGATTACCCCAGCGGAGTCCGTTGATGAAGGTGGAACCCCGGTGGCTGGTTGGGGTGGACGGATGGGAGTTGCTGGAGGTGCTGAAACTGGCGCGACTCACCGATCGTTGGAGGACGGAGTTGGGGCTGTAGGGGGCACTGGCCATAGAGTGGCGGTTCGACGCGGGGCTGGTCTGGTCGTTCCCCTCGGCCTCGAAGACGGTGTGTTCACGGACGCACTCGCGAATGGCTTCCTCCAACCGGGACGCTTTGAACAAGGTCGAGCGATAGGGGATTCCCGCGATGGTCTTGTCCGTCTCGAAGACTCGGCGGGTCATGCGCACGTAAACTTCCTTGCAAGTTTCGAGGTCGAGGCGTAACCGACCCAGCATGAGGGCGATCAGACCGCCAGTGCCGGTGCCGGCGATGAGGTCAAAGTAGTCGCATGGTTTGGGGATCTCTTCGCGACGGGGCGCTTTACCCTCACATTCGACGTAGACCCGGTACATGAGTTCTTGTAGAATGATGAGCATGGAGTAACCTCGAACGCCGCCACCGTCTAAAAAGGGAAAACAAAATCGACTTGTCAGCTTTCATCTCACGTGGGGGGGCCGGGAGGGGGAGGCGCAAGTATGCCTATCTAGGAAACCTACCTAGCGACAGGATCCGCAAAGGCGGACCCTTGGTGGTGTCCTTGCGGCGCAAGTTCACCGAGTCCATGGTGTTTGGATCGCCTCGAGGGCGGGCAACTGCCTAATATAGGTCGGGGCCTGATCGGGGCAGTAATAGCGGGGTTCAGGGTATTGACAGAGGTAAGATTTGGAAGTGAGGGGGGAAGATGTCAGAGAGGTCGTGAGAGACAGAAGAAAGAATGGAAGAATGAAAGAAGAAGGGTTCTTTCTCTTTTTTCCCTTTTAGTTCGCGCGACAAGGATGATGACGAAAGGGTCAGGAAGATCGAGGAAAAGAAGGAATGAAGAAGAAGTCAATCAGTCTAAGGTGAACTAGCCGAACGGATGACTACACCCTTAGGTACTTAGTGAAGCCGGGTAGGGCGGACAAATCCGAGTCTAAGATTCTGTCTTTTGATTTAATTTCACTATTCTTCTTGGATAATTGGAACTATCTGAGGATGTGATTTGATGAAAGCAAAGATAATTCCTTCAACCTTGGATTTCCTGCTGGAAGGTGGGTCTGACTGTGGCGGTGGAAGTTCTGACTTTGTCTCCCCGTTGGGCTGCGTCATTGAGGCGGTGCTACCTCTGTCCGGTCGATGGTTGGTTGATTCTCTCTGAATACGAATTACGATGATGCACATCAGTCAGGACAGGAGTCATGTTGGAGGATTGACATTCCCAACAGTCGAAAGTCTGAAGAGGCTGGAGAGGTGAACCGGTGGGTGGTTTATTGTCAACTGTGGATCCCACGTTGACATCCATGGGTCTGTCCAGGAACAATCAGTCGGACAGAAATAGAACAAGCAAACAAAGTCCATGTGCGATATCCTGGAGTACATATATACAGTCTTTGAGATCGCAGTGGTTTGAGAATCGAGGACATCAGCATGATCAGCTCGCGCCACCGTTCCACGGTTGATCAGAACTTCCATATCTTACAATATCCTATCTCGCGCGAAAACTCAGTTCGGTCGGCTGCGCCTCTTCTCCAGATCGAAGGAAAATACGGAGTACGGAGGAATCAGCCTAATATGACAATCGATCAAACTGTTTGTGAGGCTGGTAGGCTGGAAGCCACACGGATGGAGCACAATAGAGCCACTGGAGCACAATGAAGACCCGGAGACATCATTTGCATCGATCTTATCCAGGAGATACATCCAATGATACAAAACTTGTTTATCTCAGTCCCCGTCTCCCCCAAGTGGGTCCCACTGAAGGCTCTGTCTGTCCTGCTTGTTCGAGGGATGGCAAAAGCAAGGAGCCTAATGCTAGGGATCCCTCGGGCAGAAATTGTCACGAGCCCCTTAGTCGGGACGTGCCCTCAGTCCTCTCCTAAGTCTTCTTCGACGGAGTACCCCATATTAATACCCGGAATGTGTCTAGAAAAACATTCTTGACCACGAGGCTGTCACCGGAAAGGAAAGTATTCCACCACAATGGCGATCAAGAGGACGTTGAAAGTCTAGACTGTCAGATGGACCCAAGTCGGACGCAAAACAGCAGCTGGATTCACCGACCCGCGAGATACAGGAGAGAAAAACCAAGACCGACGACCTCGTTAGTGCTGAGGACTATACCTGACTTAGTATAGTCATCTTATTATTGTCTCACTTGTCCTGGTCCTTGTTCTGGTGCTTTGTGCCTTGCAGTCGCACGGCACGACCGATGAGTTTTTCTGCACCTCGCCAGTCGCAATTTGAGTTGTTGAACAACGGACTCAAGAGGCTATCTCGATTATGGAGAAAACGTAGATATTTACTTTGGTGTACTCTGTATAATGCAGTTGAATCTCCTCGACCATGCACACGTATGGGAAGGGATTTCACCTGCAGGACAATTCATTATGCAGAGGGAAAAGGGGGGTGCGTGGGGAAGATAAACGAGTGCGTGTATATTGTAATACCCACAGTATACAACCCCCAGAGATGTAAAGGAATGGTAAATCCACAGTAATCTGGTATCACCACGAAATGACGATCATCGCGACGGCCGAACCAGCAGTTGCAGGAAGTCCGTGTTTCTCAATGATTGGAGTGGAAATCCAGCTAATCAAACTAATAATTCTCGAGACTAACGACGGACTAATCAAAATCAAAACTAAAAACAAAACTCAGAAGAACTAAAGGATGGGGGATCTCAGAGAAGTTTAGCCCAGGTACCCCGTCCGACCCTATATCCTCTCTTCTCTCCCCTCCTTTTCCTTCCTCTTCTTCTTCTTCTCTTTTCCTCTTCATCACCGTCGTTTTTACCTTCTGTCAATCAGCTACACTCCCCGGTCTTTGTGCCGAGTACATTCTTTCTTTACCACTCGTGGTTGATTCCAGTCGTTCTTTCTACCAACTTACCACTTACACTTACGCTTCACGTTCCGATTTCTCGCTTTCTATCTATAATAATTCACTTATCACGAAATATTATACCTTCAACATGCGTCTCTCTTTCGCCGCTGTCTTTGCCGCCGTCGTGGCCGGTGTTGTCGCCACTGAGCCCGCCGAGGATGTTTCCACCGTCATGGTCACCGAAACCACCACCTACTGCCCGTCCAGCTCCGCCGCCGCCGTCACCAGCACGCCTGCTGTATGTATATCATACCCTATACTTGGTTCCAGTATACTAACAGATCAACCAGTCCGAGGAGATCACCACGAGCAACGGCCTCCCCTACACCGTCACCCGCCCCATGATCACCTCCACCATCACCCACTGCAACAAGTGGTATGTCCATCCCCATTCATATTATATATAAAGGACGAAACTAACATAATACAGCTCCAGCACCGCTACCCCCAGCCCCAGCAAGACCCCCATCAAGTACCCCATCCTCCCCCCCTCCTCGACCCCCTGTCGTCCACCCCCGGCGTCAACCCCACCGGCTCCGCCACCACCCCCGCCGCTCCCATCTTCACCGGTGGTGCCTCGCGCGCCGCCGCGGGCGCCGGCGCCGGTCTGGCCACCGTCTTCGGTCTCGTCGCTTATCTGCTCTAAGCCTCTGCTCCTTTAGTGGATGTGGATGTGAATTGCAGTATATGACCTCGTTCCGTTGATTTTGATTGCCTTGGGTTGATTCTTGTGTTGTTGTTTCGCTGCGAGTATGGGTCTCGATTTTATTTATTTGTTGGATTATTTAATGGGTTGCTGTTGTTGCTGTTGCTATTTGTTGCTGGGTGATGATGATTGATCGTCTGATTGACGCTTTCTCTGACCGTCCCTTCCCCTATGACTTGCTCATTATGGGGAAGGAAAGAAAGAAAAGAGAGGAGAAAAGAAAAGAGAAATCACTTATCCTATACGCGACTCCGATACCACTACTACCTACCTACTACTTACTACTTACTACTTACTATTTTCCTACTTACATATTTATTACTTTTACGATCTTCGACATATCCCTCTTGTTTTTATTTATTTATTTATATATCGAGTTCTATATATACACTACTACTACTACTACTACTACTACTACTACTACTACCACATCGCACTTGATCACTTCTTCGTCGAGGGTTTCTAACTTCATAGTTTGTCCATAGGTATATTGGTTAAATTCAACTCGCATCTGCGACTGCGTTTAAGTTTTAAGTCTTCAATTATTCATGCATACATGATTCCATAGTTCCATTGGTTCCTTGGTACCGGAGGTTCATGAACTGATAGTATTTCTTATTCAATACTTGAGTTAACTTTATCCAAACTCAGAGATTAGCCTCTACCATAGATATCTACATTCCTTTCTCGTCCTATATTTTTTTCTAAAGCTTCGCCGTACTAGTCTTCTTCCTCTCAAAAAACTCCCTCACCAACCCCCTCGCAACCTCCACCACCTCCCCATCCTCAACAGTAGGCGGCACCCCAACAGGCGCATCGTACTCCCCCCGCACGCCATTCTCAACCAACTCGCGCAGTACCCTCCGCAGAGTCTTCCCGCTGCGCGTCTTGGGGATCATGCCCCTACCCTGGATGATTCCTCCCAAGGAGGCGATCGCCCCGATCTGCTCGCGCACGAGCCCGTTCACCTCGCGGAAGAGTTCTGGCGAGGGTGTTGCGGGGAGAGGGCCCGTGCCGCTTCGGGGCTGGATGAATGCGAAGGGGAGGTGGCCTTTTAGGGCGTCGGGTATGCCGACTACGCTAGCTTCGCCGATGGAGGGGTGGGAGAGGATGGCTTGTTCGATTGCTCCTGTTGGTGTATACTGGTCAGATTGTGGTTGATGGTGAAGATGGGGAGGATAAGTAGGATTGGTGGGATGGAAGTGAAAAGGGAGAAAGCATACCAGTGCTGAACCGATGCGCAGCTACATTGATGATATCGTCAGACCGCGCCATGATATGAATATACCCGTCGTCGTCGATCATGCCCGCATCGCCCGTGTCGATCCATCGTCCGTCAAATCGCTTGAGATAGCTTCGGTAGAACCGCTCGTCGTCATTGAACAGCCCTGTAAACGCGGACGGTGCCAGCGGTACCGCCATGACAATGTTGCCCATGGTCCCTTTTGGCAGTTCCTCCCCCTCGTCGCTCACAATCCGGACGTCGAACCCGGGCATGGGCAGACCCGCCGACCCCGGTCGGATCGCCAGTGGTTTGACCGGATTGTCTTCGACGGTCTGTCGCTGCGCGACACCCAGAGCGCTTCTCAGCGCCAGCCCCGAGATCGGAGATCCTGACTCGGACGACCACCAGTTGTCGATGACTAGAGCCCCCGGGGCCGCGTACTGGGTCAGGAGATCCTGGTAGAGCCGCACGATACTGGGCTCGCTGCGCTCGCCGGCGAGGAAGAGTGCCCTCAGGTGTCGGAGACCTCCGCGACGCGCGACCGCCTCGAAGAAGCGATTCTCGGGGTCCTCTTTCCGGATAGCCCGCATGGCGGTCGGGGCTGTGAACAGCGCGTTGGCCTTGTGCTCCTCGACGATGCGCCAGAATGTGCCCGGGTCGGGGGTGCCCACGGGCTTCCCTTCGAAGAGGACGGTCGTGGCCCCGACGAGGAGAGGCGCATAGAGGATGTACGAGTGGCCGACGACCCATCCGATATCCGAGGCGCAGAACATGACATCGCCCGGCCCTTTAATATCAAACAGATACTGGATGGAAAGGTGCAGGCCAACGGCATGGCCGCCGGCTTCGCGAACCACACCCTTGGGTAGCCCCGTGGTCCCGCTCGTGTAGATCACGTACAGCGCATCGGTGCTCTTGACGGGAACCGGCCCTGCCCTGATGCCGCGCATTCGCGCACTCTTCATCAACCGCTGCCAGTTCCGTTGGCCCCCTCGCTTGTCGGGCTGATTCCAGCGGTGCTCATCCCTCTGCCAGATGAGGATCTTCTCCGGCTTGAAACTGCTAGCTTCCACGGCACCCTCCACCAACGGGCGATAGGGGATGGGGCCCTTGGATCCTTCAATACCGCAGGAAGCCGTCAATATAGCGCGGGGCTTGGCCGCCTCGATGCGCTGCGCCAGCGATTTGGGCGCGAAGCCGCCAAAGACGGCCGCGTGGATGGCGCCCAGACGAGTGATAGCCAAGGCAGCGATGAGAGTAGCCGGGATCATAGGCACTATTCAGTCAGTCACGCTTCCATCCCTAGTCAAACACGATGTGGTATCGGAGGTCCTACTGTAAATAATAACCACATCCCCCCTCCGCACCCCCTCCTCCCTCAAAACGCCCGCCAAAACCTCCACCTCATCCAGCAACTGCCGATAAGTATACCTCTCCTTAGACCCCGTAACCGGCGAATCCCACACGATGGCAACATTTTCCCCGCGCCCGTCCCGCACGTGGCGGTCCACGCAGTTGTACGTCGTCGAGATCTCCCCATCCGGGAACCACGCCCAATGGTCGTGCCGGACCCCACTGGGGAGGGTCTTGGAGTGGCGACCGATGGCACATGACGGTTTCTGGTGCCAGTCGAGCTGGTCGGCATGGTGAGACCAGAAGCGCTCGGGATCCTGCAGGGAGGAGTGGTGGACTGCGTGTTGGGGGTGGGGGGGCATCATGTGGTGTGTAGTCCGGTCCGTCCACTGGACTAGGGAAGATGGTATGTATGTGTGTATGTATGACGAGGGGAAGATACCAATTTGGTTTGATCCAGTCAAAGGATGGTCAAGGGATGAACCCGACGAGAGAAACGAGGGGGCTTTCAGAAAAGAAACCAAGACGAGGGGGTATGAGACATGCGGGGAAGGGATCCACCCGTCGTTCTTCTTCCTTTCCTCCGTGCCCAGTCACTGCTGTTCTGCCTCTTAACCTAGTTACCCTGTTGTGAAAATCCCTTTGTCATCTTCCAGAGTGTTTGTTTGTTGGACAGATCAACCTCTAGTGGAACGCGGGGGAGAGAAGAGGCAAACGGACAAACCGAGGTAAGGGGTCTCTAGAGAAAGAACCGGGAGCTTTCCCCGCACGTCGATCGAAGCATGGACCACTTGCTTTCTACCCAGTTCCCTGCGACATGATACATGATACATGTCCTATCGGTTTGTTCAAGGTTCATTTCTGCATTGTGGTTATGTTCTTGACGAACTAGTAGGGAACTACCTATGCAGGTCTTGCATGCTTGATCGTGGATTGGGACACGCGTGACTGATTCTTCCACAGATACATTCGGTCAGGGAAGTGAAAACGGACTGGCTGGATCGTGTCAATCACCATCAAGACTGGTTGGGGTTGAAATATTGATTGTATTCTATGGCTTTTGGTGGAAAAGAAAGAATATAAAAGTAAGATACATAGAAATATCAAAAAAATCCTAACTGGATAGCCGACCTCTTTTATTGTTCTTTTGGTTTACTTGCAAATGCATCCGAAAATCAACAACTCAAAGCTCAGCCGTAGGGTATCATATCGCAATGCCTGCTAAACTGTCGACTGTCGTTCGCTGGTCCCTGAGGTCGAAAGCCAGACCGTCGTTCCATCAACTCACTTTTTTGGTTCGGCTTTTCTGCTACCTCGTTCTTTCCGTTGGCTGTTCTTTTCTTCCATCTCATTTCCCTTCTCTCTCCCTAGACTATCCCGTCCGAAGGTCCGTGTGACCACCATGCTCGATAATGGTCATCAGAAATTTCTCTGATAGAGTCGTGACGGGTGTCGAAATGGGTTGAACCAGGGAAACAAACAAAAACAACCAAACAAGGCAAAAAGAATCAAAAGAGCCAACACGACTGCAATCCCCGCGAGACGTTCTATAGCCTCCGAAAGCTCTAAGGTCTCCAGCCCTCGAAACAGGAAGAGCCCAAGACAAAAGGGAAAATAAAGATATAAAAAAAAAAAAAAAATATAACAAGAGTAAAAAAAAAGAATAAACACCCAAGAAACTTGAAAATAAAAAAGGGGAATGGAAAATAGTAGATCGCCTCCCACAGGTCATTCATGGTATAAATCATACATCGACCTCGTTCAAATAACCACCACTGCATCCAGCAGGTGGTAGGATGGGACGGGCGACACGTCAAGAAAAAGTAGGGTAATAATAATAATAATAATAATCCAAAGTAGAACTTGGCGTCTGTAAAGGAAGTAGTGTTGCGCAACCGGGTACCGAGCCAGAGGAGCACCAGGGTGGCCTGCGATCAATATGGACAGTGAATTTATTCGCGCGAAGCAAGCTCGCACGAGGGCTCAGGGAAGGGATGTTGAAAAGAGAACGAGTGACGAATGAGACCGATCACAAGGGCGATATGGCCCTTGTCCCCGGGATGACGGGCCAGAGACGTGCAGGAGAGGTCTAATATGACTCGGCCGTCGAATTAAGCCAGGGAAAATCGGAGCGGAGCCCCCACCTCAGAGGATGTTGCAGAACCTGCGTTTCCCTTGACGATCGGGTCGGAACGATTTGGGGTACTCGGCGCCGCTATCTCCACGCATCGGACCCATTCCGGTCTGCCGTCGGTCCTGGGACTTGGACCCTTGCTGCTGTTGACGTTGTTGCCGCAGCATCCGGACCACATCGTAGAAGGCCTTCTCGACATTGACGCAGTTCTTGGCGGACGCTTCGACGAAGTCGCAGCCCAGGTCTTTGGCCAGGGCCTGCCCCTCCTGGGCGGAGACGGCACGCTCAACAGCCTTGTCGCTTTTGTTGCCGACCAACATCACGGGGACCGGCAACGCTGGGCCCGACGGCGCGTGGATGGGGGAGCCCAGATAGCTGGCCCCGGACGGCGATCCGGAGTTGGCGGATTCCTTGACCATCTTGATCTGATTGTAAAACTTTTGTATCCGAGAAAAGGATGCCCGCGAAGTGATGCTGTAGACAAGGACGAAGCCTTCGCCGTCGCGGATCCACTGGTCCCTCAATGCGGTGTATTCCTCCTGTCCGGCGGTATCCAGAACTTCCAGCATGCAAGACTGGCCATCGATCACCACTTGCTTCCGGTACGAATCCTCAATCGTCGGGTCGTATGTTTCGACAAAGTGATTCAAGCAAAGCTAATCGGAGATCCACTGTTAGTCACCGCATGGTCGCTAACAATTGGAGAGGAAAACTGAAGAGCTAACCTGAATTGTGAGTGCGGTCTTGCCGACACCTCCATCCCCAAGCACCACCAACTTGTACAACGTCATTTTTCCGGCCATTATGAAGTAAATTTAGTTCCAGTCGGGAACCAAGTGAGGGGAAGGAACGAGGTGAAAAAAAGGAAAAGAAAAGAAAAGAGAAAGAAAAAAAAAAGAGAAAAAAAAAAAGAGTAAGAGGATAAAAAGGAGGTCGCGAGAGTATCGACGTGTGCGAGGTGTGTGTCCAAGTGGCGCCAGTCGTCGTGGATGAGAAGGGGGGGGGAGTAAAAAAAAAGAGGAAGAAGTTCGAGGATGAGAATATGATGGGAAAGGGTGAAGAAAAGAGCAGACGACAAAGTATGGAATGCTCCACGGTTGAGCACGGACGCGGGAACGGAGTGGTGCGAAACAACTGGGGAGTCCAAAGAACGGCTATTTTGGTAGTGCGCCATTAGCCACCGGAATAATCATCGTTGCTTTTAGGCCGTGGTCCAACGCCCTCCGAAAACAGTCCCTATTCGCCGACAGAACTGGTACGTACCTTTCGATTTTGACAGACTTTGTCGAGTCACAGTATTATGGAGAAGGATGATGCACAGTGGTCAAGAGAAAACAATTCCGTTAAACTCTCGGACTCGACCCGGGGCGGATGCGCGGCCAACACTTGCAGAACAAATGGGTCAACCCGACAGAGTGCAATAATAGATGGGCTCACCCGTGGTTCCGTGCAACAACAGGAGAGGGGAAAATCAGATAAAACTGGATGTCTGGCGTGTGCGTTGCCCAAAACTTCGGTTCAGGATTCAGAGGTTTGCCTCAAACAGTTTGCGCCACGTGAGGGGGTAATATAAGCCGGAGAAACGATCGCCAGTAGAGAGAGTCCCAGTAGTCACGATGCAAACGAGGGTTGTATGATATATCCAGGAGTGGACAAGAAGGGGACAAGAAGGTATAGTATCTATGCCGTATGTTCCGGATGGTAGGAAGTATAGGAGTGGAGAGGGAGTGGAAGTGGGAGAAGTATGGGAGTAAACTTTGCGTGTTCACAGTTCGTATGGGAGGGTCGTATGGATAGTTGTATGGAGAGTTGTAGGAAGGGATGTATGGTATTCGCCGTACGGACGGGTAACGATGGAAAGACCCAGAAAAAAAAAAAAAATCAAAGTCTCTAATCTTTGGGACGTTTGACAAGCGAAGAGGGGGAGGGGAAGAGACTACCGAACCAAGAAGAGGAAAAAAAGGCTTGGCTAGGAAGACAAGGAGGGGCTGAACCAGAGAAAAGATCGAGGAGATGAAACAGCCCGAGCAAAGCAAATTAAACCTAGGGAGGAGCAAACGGATCAAGAAGGATGGGGTCTCGGTGCACGTACAGGAGGAAGACGGGGATAGATAGAAAGATAGAGGAGAGTGCAAGGGTAGGGGTATAATAGTAGTCAGAGAAGGGGACTTGAAAGAATTAAATCAGAAAGAAAAAGGAAGAAAAAAGAAAATATGGTGTCAAGAATATTGAACTCATAATAAAATAATTATAGAAATAACTATAGAAATTTTTATATTTCCAGATACTAGAAGATTATAGGAATAATGCGGAATGGGGCAGCGGAGTCGATGATTCAACCTTTGTTCAACTCGGTTTAGTTTAGGAGAGAATCCAATCCGTATGGAGGATGGAACCTTGAAGTCTCCATTGCTGTCCTCTGTTATCCTCCGAATCCGTTGGTTGGCTCCAGAGGGAATCAGTCGCTTTTTCGAGGACGACAGGTGGTACAACTAGTAGTATAGTGTGATCACTGGGCAGACAGCCAGGTTGGTGGAAGAGTCGAAAGAACAAACCACATCAATAGTAGTGATAGCTGGTGGTAGCTAGGGGGTAGCTACCGATCAACTAGTTGGATCCACCGAGAGCTTGAGGTTGGAAGTATCTTGAATTTCAGAAATGACATGGAAATAGACGTTAGACCAACAAAATGATGCATAATAAAATGATCATATTGATAATTGATAGATAAATAAATAAACAATCATAACCAAAAGGAAGAAGTAAGAATGTGAAGAGGGGAAGGAAGAGAGAGTTGGAATTGGCAGGGGAAACGAGAGAGGGTCTTCCGGGGGCTGGACTTTGACTTGTTGGACCCGCTTCAACTGAGCCTGGACGGGATGTTTGTGCGTTGGGTTTTTCTTCCCAGTTGCCCCTTTTCTTTGGTTCCATTTGGTCATATTATTAATCCTCGTTTTGACTCCTACATTGACAACTCGGATGATGGAAGCATTGGGAAACAAGGAATGCATGATCAGGATGAACTTGGGATAATAAATTTTGCTCATCCTAATAGAGACTCGCAATGCAATACAATCGACGTCACCCATCTGTCAAGTGTCAACTGGCTGTCTCTAGCATTCCCCTTTCAACGCGGTTTACCCGGAAGGCAACAACTACCGGAGTTACGGAATTACTAGAAGTATCCCTAGTATCAATTCTCCCAGAGTCGATTCAATGGTGGATTGGCTGGCATTGTGCCAAGTCATTATAGCAGTATAAGCAATCAGTCCAGTCAAGAATAGCTACTAGGTAGCCAAGGTAGCTCCTCTCCCGTGCCACTCGATCCTAATAATCAGGGATCATGCTCCAACGGAGTGCTCTGTGCTCTTCACCACGAGAAAAATAGATAGACCGTCTTGGGGAGGGACAGAGGATGATACTCAAAGCATGAGGATCAGCGATAGTCCTTCGGAGTAACTATTGACCAGTAAATATGACAGATTTACTCGGATTTCTTCACCCCTGCGGAGTAGCATGTCATGTTCATCCACGGGTCTAGAGTACAACGGTCCTTGGTTGGAGGCGAAGCGAGTCGTGTTCATTCGGTAGCGAACAGAAGCTCCGAAAGCTCGGCTCTTCCTCTACACAGTAGTCGGCACCGTGCATCTTACCATGTACAAAGTACGTACACATAGTATGATTCCTAGGCCATGTCGAAGGATGTCTCTAGAGTTTGACATATACCCCACTCAACACTGAACACCGAATCATTACATCATCCTCAGGCTTCAGCCCTCAATGAGCTCCACTGTTTTGTCTGTCCAAAACTTCTAGTCTTCTACCCACTGGCGAGGAGTCGGGACTGGCGACTCCAAACGGGGAACAACATGGAACTTCCGCGACGTTTGGGGGCCATGCTAAAATGAGTCTTCCTGATCTTCGGGATACTTGACGCCGCCGGTGTGGTTAGTTTGATAATCTGATCCTGATCAACTCCATATCCCTTGGGGTCGGAGTCTGTGCTGGTTTGAGACATTGATGATGTAATACCATGTGGCAGTAGACCCTTGCTTCCTTGCTGATCGAATTGATGGTTGTAGCAAGCACGGTATGCATGGATCCTTCTACTACTTTGGTCCCTTGACTATCCCATCTTACCCTGAGAGATAAATTTCATTTCACATGTCAAACGTTCTATACTTGCCTACCTACGGTACTAACCTTTATGACAGCTTACGATCATCATCAACCGCCCGGGTGGGGAGGTCTTTTCGGCCCCTTTCTACATTCTCCAACGGAGACTAGGGAAGTAGGTCGGTACTTTTTCTTCCCTTCCCCTTCGTCCCTTCGTCTCCTCTCCTCGTCTCCGCCCCTCGCCTCGTTCCCTTCTTCCCATCACCAAAGTAGAAAGATCTGTAACAACCTAAAGATAATCTGACAGCGGAGACTATTCCCCGGCCCTTGTCTTGAATAATCGATTCCTAATCAAGGACTGTCCCCTGGCGTGCGGACCGAGCCCTCTTCCAAGTCTCGATGCATGCGGCCTTTTGGTTGGGACAGATGCCGGGCCGGTCCATGGCGGGTACGGAAGTTCCACGGGAGCTAACGGGGATATACTGTACCAGGTACTACAGCTCTGCCAGCTGGACTATAGGTTTGTAAGGATCGGAGCATTGTTGATTTAAACCCTTCGGTCCGATTTCGGCCGGTTGGGGACTTACTGAGTTACTGACAGTTTCTACTCCGTACCTAGCGATCTATTAGGTATGGATGTGCCCTATCCCTACCGCATATTATCGGAGTGACTACCCTAGTATGCCATGATCTTCCAAGTTCTAATGGGAATGGGACAACCCTTGGGTCAGCTATGAGTATTCCTCATCATGTCTTCCACTTTTTAGTCCCTGTCTCCGTATCCATTGGTGTCGTGTGTGATCGCAGGGGGGTCCATCCTCCGCCAAGTACAGCTTACATACCCTCTAGCCCTCTAGTCACCTACTGCCTATGTATCGTTCTGTCTCCACTTTTCATATTGTCATGGTTATTATTTTATGCCTCTAATCCCACGTGTCTGACGGTCCGAAGCCTAGGCTAAGTCGGCTACCGGACCGACTAATAACGCACGGTGACTGAAATTTTCATCTATTTATTCCCTTTAATTCATTCGGTTCCTTCTTTTCATAATTTCTATTGATCTCATTCACCAATTCAGCAGGAAGTCGGCTCGCTAGCTCGCTCTAGTGACCCGAATACCACACTGTGGATTTTATATTAACATTGTCCCATCACAATCAAACTGACTCTCATGCAACCTTCCGGAGGAGTCCACGGAATTAGATACCATGCCGCTCGATATTTTCTTCTTCTTCCTTGAGAAGCCTTGTTAGGCTGTTTCGACTTTTCACCTAGTACCTTCCCTTTTGTTGTTTTTTTGCTTTCTTTTTTCCCTTCCTCCTCTTCATTCCTTTTACTTTGTAACCCCTTTTCTATCTACGGCTCGTGTATATGATACCAACGGTACAGGAAGTAGAGTAGAGTAGCATAGCGAAGCAAGTATATACGGCACTGATACCGACACCCGCATTGCATATCTCGCCCGCTCGCGCATAAGCCCGGCACATCTCCCATCTTGCATGACATAGCATAGCCTGCATGGCATGGCATGCCACGCCCGAGGCTCAATGTCTCAAACGTAGTACACACTTACCGAAGACAAAAAAAGAACCAAAGAAAAAAAATTTCGGAAAGAGAAAAAAAAAACCCAGTCATGAATATGACAGACAGACAGGGGAAATAATGGCCGCCGTGGATCCACCCACTAATTGACTATCGGTACGGGCTTCAACTTCAAGCCTAGGACTAGTTAGGGGGGGGGGGGTCTCTCTACTCCGTTCCCCGTCGGGAAATTGCGGATCACTTACTAACTGTAACTTGCCCCCTTCTTGGTTTCTTTCGGGTTGGAGGATTGGAGAGGACTTACCTTACTTTACTTAGGTGCTTTCCTGAGGAAGGATCGTAAGGTTGGTAGGGAAAGGAGACAGACGGGGTCTGTTTGGGCTAGTGCGCTGTTGGATACTCTCTTGTAGACTAGATTGGATGTAGGGCTTGGAGTGAGTGATCATTCTGGGACTGACTTAACATACCCTATTTTGATCTTCCTCCGTCCTTCTAGTAAAAGAGACCCTCTAGTACATAGTTTGGCTTATATAAATTTGCATGGAAAATCAACCTCGTACCTGGAGAGGAAGAAACGAATGCATTGGAGCATCTAACAGCATGCTGAGGAGAGGCGGCCTGTTGTAGATCTTGTTGGGTATATCAGTAGGTTAAGCCCTATATCAATCGTTGGTCAACGTTTTGGCGTAGCGGTCATGATATTGTGTCTCAAATGCTGAACGTCATCATCATCAGTACCCATGCCGCAACATATGTATTCATTAATTGCATCAATGTCTGATTTCTGCATACTCTCCCGGGCGATCTTGCGGCGTTTATCTTTGCAAGGGGATCAAAGATACGCCGAGACTCTGATGCAGCACACTCTTAACAAGGCGATGAACCAGAACACTGCGATCTGTAAGTACAATACAATACTGAGGCTTGGGACCTTTAACTCTACCTTCACCCGTTTTTTCTGGCAAGGTACACAAGCAAGCCATTTTCCGGCGCTTCTGCACCTTTTTCTCGGTCCCGTGGGGGTCTTGATATAGATCCCAGAGCCTGCGGGGAGCAACGGCGCAGTGAAGCTCGAGTATTTCTGGACATACATACATACTCAAAAGATGCTGGCAATTCCTTAGAGGCAAGGCTTCGTGGAATTGAAACAGTCCATATAAAATTCAGGGTGCTCGATCTTCTATGATTAGATCATGGCTTACGATTTGTTTCTTTTGCCCACTTCTGTTCACTAGGGTCAGGATCAAGGTCGGACAAAGTATCCGTACCAAGAAGCCTATTTCATATAAGCTAGTTAGTATGCAACTATCCCATTGACGTCGGCAGCTGGCAAACCGCCTCTTTAATGCTGTTGTATTCACAATCATACACGACAAATTTGATGTCTTCCGCAATTTGATACCAAACCCAAGGTCCATACGATATATCAAGTGGTCTTCCTCTTTGCAACCAAGAGACGCGATCCTGATCTATTGGTGCTGCTGGAGCCGGATAGCGATTGAGTATACCTGGGCAGCAGGACTGCTTTACACATCGCTTCCCATGACCGGTTTCCGGAGGCCGTGGACATCTTACTGTAGGCGGGTGCATCGGCATCTGGAGATGATCGCGGCCATACGCCGAGGGACCACGCACGACTTAGTGGAGACTATGAGGTATTGTACTAAGGTTATTCGGCGATGTATACACTTGTGTGTCAAGACAATTGTGCAAGGCATCGCATATAAGTCCGTTTCATGAAGAAACCCACACTCTGAATATTCTTCCAAAAGCCTCTCTGACCAACTTTTCAACGATACGATCACAAAAAGTAACAGAAGTGACCACGTCACTTGGGACAAAAGCCTTGCAAGGAGTCTCGTGTGTTGCTCTGTAGTCAAGCCATCTGCTACGGATCTTCAGCTCTTGGGTTTTATTCTCCACATCAAACAGCATGCAAAACAAGCCTCCAGGCCTCTCTGTATGTTCCTCGCAAATAGTGTCAATGAGGGCTCGCAGACGTCCGCATTCTAAAATCTATCTGCTAGTTCTTCTCTAGGAGACCTGATTAAGCTTTTGGAGCATATGCCAGAGTGTCAGGTCAACCGACTGGCTCTTTTCGGAGGCTTTGTTTGATGATTTCTATGCTCTGTATGGTACCAGTTTCAAATGGGCGCTTCCATGTCAGGCCTTCCTGGGACCAAGTTTCTCACTGTAGTAGAAAACTTTTCCAGATCAAGGATCTTGTAGAATCTTCAAGCAGATGCTCTGCGGGCTCAACGTCTAGTAAGCGAGGGAAGTTTCGGAGAAGATTCACGTAAATGGGAAGCAGGACGGTCTCTTCTGTTTCAATTGCAGAATCCTAGATCCGCCTCACGAGATCTACCTCTTCCGAGTCATCCGTTAGTCGCTGTCTGTCGCGATTTACTCTGCCTTTGGAGAAGTTATAGCCCAATTGGAATGATTTTCAAGTCCGAAGTAGACGATAGAAGAAGTGAAGGTTTCAAAGAATTACATCTTTCCCGCCTTGCATCAAAACAAGAACAGCCAATTGTTAAACATCTACATAACTACATAACCCATCAAGTTTAGTCACCCAAGTAGAATGTTGGATGGCACGTAGAAAATAGACTACACTCCGTTGGAATGTGCATCTGGTCGTGACCAAAAGAGAAGAATAGATACATTGGAAGACCAGCGGCGCGCATGAAATGATTGGGCTGTCTTTTCCTGTGATCCCATCCAATATTCAATCAAATCCGCAGAAAGACAATAACAACGGGGTTCTGAAGAATCTGCATATCGCTTAAGGTGAGGGAGGGGTTAACATATTGCCAAGTAAGATCGGAGGGTGGATATAGTGGACCGGAGCTATATGGTCCAACCACTTAGTAGATGAAGCCTGAATCTATATAAGGAGCGAAAGGGGCCTAAATATAGCACGATAGTTAAGCGACATATACAGTAATATGTGTGCAAATCACCAATTCTATGGCCGTATGTACTCCGTAGACTCATCTGAGGTCAACTAGGCCTGACTCGAGGTGTTGAGGATGGTGGAAACGAATGACATCATGCAGCGAGGCATATGTCTGGCTGACATAATCAACCATATATACGTGATGTTCCTTGATCCCCTGATTTATCAATTCTTGTTCAATCTCTTGATAGAAAGTTAGATTATAGCTTTGACTGCCTTGATATTGCGTCTTGGTTTAATTTACATTGCCCAACGTCCGAGTACATTTGCAATTGGCTGAGAGACATGGGCTTTTTCATTGGCCAACAGATCTCATTTCCGAAAGCGCAGAAACGATGATGTCACCTATCCATCCCATGCCTTGATGGGTTCCATCATTCACTTGGCATTTGCAGATAAAGCTGTAGCCTGCGACGATGCCGTGCGCTGTCTCGCATTCCTTTAAGTCGCCCAATTCTTCCTCCTCTGACACAACCAAGTTGCTGGATTTTCGGTCACCACCATAATCAGCAGACAAGTATCTACACAGCATGGATCAGACCTACAAACCCACGCCATCGGCGCCCGTCATACGCCTGATGGTCCTCGAGACCGACAAGCCTCACCCAGACACATACTCGGCGCGCGGCTCCTTTGGCCAGATTGTCCACTCGCACTTTGCCATAGCCGGACGCGCCCATCGTCCGCCCCTGGGCGTGGAGACGGACCAAGTCTTTGTCGTGTCCGAACAAGGCGGCCGCGTCCCCACCTTCGAAGAATTCGACGGCTTCGACGGGCTGCTCATCACGGGCAGCATGTACGACGCGCACGCGAACAACCAATGGATCCTGGACCTGCTGGAGCTCCTCAGGGCTCTCTGGATCAAACGCCCGGACTTCCACTTCGTGGGCGTCTGCTTCGGCCACCAGCTCCTCGCCCGCCTCCTCGGCGGCTCGGTCGGGCCCGCCCCCTCGCAAGACTGGGAACTGGGTCACTGCCGCATCATGCTCACGCCTGTCGGCCAGCGTCTCTTTGGCACGCGCGAGGACCACGTCCACTTGCACCAGATGCACCAGGACCAGGTGCTCACGCTGCCCACGTCTGCGTCTGCAGGCCACGACCTGCTCCCCCCGGACACCGAGGTGCTGTGCTGGGGGCGCAGCGAGCATACACCTGTCCAGGGACTGTACATCCCGGACCGGCTGTTTACGACTCAAGCGCATCTGGCGTTTGACCAGGACATGGTGAAACGACAGATCCAGATGAGGGTGGATCGCGGCGGGATCAAGGACCTTGAGCATGCGGGCCAGGCGGCCGAGACGGCACATCTGGAGCATGATGGCGTTGAAGTTGCCAAAGCCATACTGCGGTTGTTTATGGACGACAAGGATGAACCATCTTAGGTTTGAGGAGATAGATTGACGGTGTCGATGACTGTATATATGAACAAGAAAGCGGAAATTGCGGGACACGGGTAACAGCGTGGACCTTGACTTATATCATGCATCATGGTCCCGTGGAAGCAAGTAAATGCAAAATAGAATTTTTATGAAAAGAGAAGAGGATTGTTTGTAATGACAGCTACTTGATCCTGGTACAGCATGCTATATCTGTGTTGAATTACTCCAATTGACATGTATGTTTCCTGGTACTCGATAGGAGCGACGGTTTGGAATATATCCTCCCGTTTCTACTCCCCGCTTCGCTTGAGAGACATTGATGTCATATTTGTGATCATATCAGGTAAAACTAACTAGTACATAGTCATCAGTTCGTAACTGGAACTGACAGAAGAAGATTGGGCGTCCTGGCTTCACAGAGCTCTTGGACGAAACTGTAGCCGGCTAATTGCGTCCAGAGCCTCCACGGGGCCCGGAAGATGAAGAACATCGAATCTGTATCGTAGACAGCATCAAGCGACAGCCCGATATCATCTGGGAGCTCTTTGAACCATTGTAGTAAGTCTGCCATGGCCTCCATTGATAGGCTATTCGCCAAGCGCAAGCCGAACACCACCTTCGTCGCTGGTCCCGGTAGAAATGTGGTGAGTCCAGTTTCGTGTCCCGGAAATGCAAGCCGCAGGGAGTGGCTTCCTACGAGAAGTTCATGGACGGGCTTCTTCTGTGGAGACTTCTCCCTGAGGTCCGAGACCAGTTCGGCGAAGTCCACGCTTTGCGCTCCCGCTTGTTTTCGTGCTCTCAGCTCATTTAACAGCTTTTCAGTCAGTGACGCTGTGTTTTCGGCACTTAAAGCTGACTCGGTGCTCTCGTCTACCGCTGCGAGGACCTGAACCACTCTCTTGGCGGGGGTATACCGGCGAGATTCAAGATAGCTATAGCAAGAATCCAAGATGAATAGAACATCTATCCTGTCCGAGTCGTCAATGGGTGAACCCGAATCAACTATATAGACAAAGTCTCTTTCCCAACGTGCAGGCTGGTGGCCTTGTGAATCGGTGAAATATAAAGTGTCATTCTTTGTGAACCCGTGTCCAGTATAATGAACCAGTAAGAGCACACTTCCGTTACTGTCCATTTTCGGCTTGATAAGAGCCTTTAATTTGTCTTGGATATCCCACCCTGGTACATTTTGGCTCTGATTTAGCTTGATTTCCTCAGCCAGGGCTAGTCCAAGTGTTGTGAGGATGTTCTGGAAGTTTTTAACATCTTTGTGCGCCGTGGTGTGGTCAGCCTCCCAGTAAAAGGATACGGCGACTGAGTGATCATATCTGCGGTAGTGCCGGTCGACAAGTGCCTCCAGGAGCGGTCGGAAGTTTTCAGTGGTTAGATAGTTGCTAGATGAAGAGGCAGATGCTGACATCTTGATCCTGTAAGTTGAACTACTGATATAGCTGGTCAGTTGTGTACCTTGACAGATACTGTTCAATATTTTGGTGCAGTGGCTGGGATAAATAAAGGTAGTAGATTGAGATGAGAAAGATGAGATTGGATTGACAGGATGTAATTTGAAATGAAGCAGTAAGAGGTAGCTAGCTGGTTGGAATAGGAGAAGAGGGAGTGAGAGGAGTTGGACCAGTACCTTAGGCAACAAAGCGGCATGGTCATGCCATGATCCCATCAGTCACAATGACACATTCGTGGCGTGAATGTTAAGGGAATAAGATAATTTCCTCATAGCAACAGAAATCAGAGTAACTAAGGTACTTGGTACTCAGTTCTGTCAATCTCTTTTTCTCTCTCCTTAAAGAAAGAGAAAGTAATCAAAAATAAAGCCAGTAGTAGGAGCGCGCTTGAGTTGTCTTGACCACTGACTGTTCTATGTTTGCGCTGATGGGTCAATCAACCACTTTAGACTGTCATAAACTCTAGATACTGCTACTTGATCTTATTCTACTAGTCAAGCATCACCAGGTGAAGATAGAATGTGCCTTTCGAGGACAATCATACTTCACTCGTAACAGGGATTCCCAACCGCTTTGCAACTTCCACAAACCCATCCGAGTCTTGATCTATCCACAAATCCACATACCCCTCCCGTCGAGCCTGCTCCGGATCCAGAGTCTCCTCCTGGGGCCGCTCAACATAAATCGTCTGGAACCCCAAGTCCTTTGCGGCCTTCAAATCATCCAGATGCGCAGCCACCATTGCACACTGATTGGGCTGCGTTCCAAACCGGCTTGCCGCTCCCAGATACACTTTAGGCGAGGGCTTGTACGCCCCGAAGTGCTCTGCGCTGGCGATATCGGTAAATGGCAGAGACGCGTGTCTCACCAAATCCTCCAGCAGTGACACATTGCCGTTGGACAGCGTGCAGGTCTTGAACTTGCTGCTGAGCAGAGCCAGCCCCTGCACGGTGTCCGCCCACGGATCCAGCCGATGCCAGCTGAGCGCTAGCTCCCGCTTTTCGCCGTCCGTGAAGAGTCCTCCCAGACGGCGGCGCTGGAGGATGTCGCACAGGGACTCGTAGTGGTGCTGGTCGACCAGCATGAAACCTGACGATGGGTCGAAGTTGTGCGTGAAGTGGTTGTAGGACTCGCGCCATTCTTCGGCGATGGCTAGCCAGTCTTGGTAGGTCAATGCTGATGCTCGCTCGCGCTCGTCTGGTGAAAGTGACTCGCGGGCTTCATTCAGCGCTTCTGTGGCTGCTCCTTGAAGAATCCTTGTGACGGCGTCTCTCCAGGATAGGGTGGTGCCGAATACGTCGAAGAGGAGCACTTGGAGAGGCGGATTGTTCGACATGGTAGGTTCTAGTCCTCGTGGCTGATGGACAGTTCCTGCATAGCTATCGTTATTATAATGCCTTCATGTTGGTCCTGAAAGCGCAGTACTCACTCAACTCAGGGTTAGATCTAAGGAAGTGTAGTGAGCGTATATCTAGAAACCAAACAGGTCACGAAAATTCGAATCCGACACAGTTTATCTGATCATGTACCATGAGAGCGATGGCAGTCCTCTCATTGAGCATCTTTCTCCAACATCACTGGAATATATACCCCTCAGTAGCCGCTAATTATTAGTCAGAGAGGGGCTCCAAAGCTCGTGATCGTGATGGAATCAAGCGAAAAGGAAGCGATAAGCAGTAATATCTAGTGTTTCAACTTCGTCCAGACTGCGTGACTCATGTCGATCAAGTTGGGATGGACCGGGAAATTCCGAATCTCACCCGGTCAGCAATCCTGTCTTTCAGCTAGAGTCTGTATATCGGCTTAGCCTTCTCTTGGCATCAGATGGGTGAACTATAGGAAACTCCTTTGTGTGCCCTCACCGTGTGGCTGTCTTTGTCCTTGTTTATGATCTTGCTTCCCTCGTTTTTAGCGACGACGTAAGTAAGGAATTTGCTTGATGTTGAACCAGTCATCCATCTCGTGGCATAGCAATCCGTGATTCATACACCATGTTCAATGGCCAAACACCAAACCACTCGTGTCATGCGTGCTATCGACCAGCACAAGATATCAAGTACTAGCTAAGTCGAACTCAAGGAAATAGTATAACTGTATCTTTTGGCCTGCATGCAGAAGCGCAGGTGGCTATTTGTTTATTATCGCACATATCTGATGGTAGCTAGACTTGATTTTCTGCAATGATCATGCAGACGAACAGCCACCCGCCGTAATCCTTTCGATATGCAAGTTATCTGCACTTCGTCTTGCATGTGCTCTAAAGACTTATGTTTTGAGAGCATGCATTAGAGTGCAGGCGATGGGGGCGGAGCAGAAGCAGGTTCCGACCGATGCAGGATTAGACTTCTGATGCCGCAAGCCCGGCAGATGCTTCGGTTGGCTCCTGCATAGGGATGTCACTCGAGGATATCTACAACCCAAAAAATGCTTGAACCCTAGTGGCTATTGATCGTCGCATTTGTATAGTCAGACATACTCTCTCTAGTCTTGGGAAAACCAGATTTCCCGTGAGTGTAGAGATTGAAGAGGCATTCCAGACTGGATTTGAATTCTGCACGTACCACTAGTAGGGCACTGTCGGTAGACCACTCGCGATGTCTTCCGTCTATATCCTGCTCTAATTAAAGTAGCGTGCGTGACATATTATAATAGAATCTCACCGAGGGGTTGGAAATGTGGATAAATCATGATCCCATTAGATTGGCTGACTTGTCGAGACACCTTGGGTTTTGTCAGTAGCTCTATCTACGGTGCGGTATTAAGGATCGAGTCGGGTACAGAAGGTAATCTGAGAAAAAAAAATTGCAATGAGTAGGGAAGCAAGAGAAGCCATAACAAGCATTATTATGAGGCTGTAGATTTCGGGCAAGAGAGCGAGCTTGTCAAGAATCAACAGGCCTAGTGTAAAGGCCAGCCAGCGGTCAGCTACCTTGAAATAGCTCCATGTTCTTGTCAACTTGGTACCTTAGAACCATCCACCCAGTCATTCAGTATGTCGTTGGCAGTCTTTTGATTTGCGTACAGTCTTCGATTTCCACCTACAAGTGAAATCACATACTAAATCATTAGTGTCTAGCCAGCACTATCAGATTAGCCTTTGATGAGACCTGATTTCATTCAATGCCGAGAATGAGGAGTTCAGTATGACGACCTTGGAGCATTGGATATAGAATCTAGCACCATGGCGTCAAAATCACGAGTATCTGGCATACCCCTTGAGAGTAGCCATGCTAGACAAACATAGTTCGTCTTCCACATGGCAAACGGAGGTTTTCTGCAGCAAACTGATCTAACTCGAGATAGGCTGCAATCAAACTTCCACTGGACGTCTGCATGTCCAAAACACGCCACTGATCTTGAGGCTTGACTTCATGTGCAGTCTCGGGTTACTTCAAATTGCGATGGGAAAGTAGCAAGCACCGAAGTATCGTTGGATGAAGTTTGTATAGACAACTCCGCCAGGACATGCAAGAATGGGCACCCTAGTCGATAAACGTTAACTGGCAGCAACGGTTTGACATCTTGTCGGGAGATGACAGCGGCTTTTGTCTTATGATCCCCTTGTCTGCCCCGAGTTGTTGTTTCATGGAGTGGTGTTGAATGTTTCCTAGCCCTAAGTCTCATAGGTATAGAAATGTTTCACTCCATGGTAATTACTATTTGCTATACTATCAACGTTAACTACAGGGTAGGGGAAACAGTCAGTAGATTCTTTCTATCTCATTTTTTTGAGAAATTACCCATCTGAACCTAGTTGTTTTTTTCTTATCAGAGTAGCTCAATCTGAGTAGACATAGATATATAGTGTAGTTTTTCACAAGCTACTCAGTCAGAAAAAATAATTGCTAGACAATAGCCACGCACAGCTTATACCCTTTTAGCCATATAATCCATCGAGTACTTCCTTATCAAGCGACGATAAAAATAGGAGTCAGCAGGCCCGTGTGATAATCCTTTCGATCCATCACATCACATCACAGCACCCTGCATGCTTCAGTGGTCGCCTGGCCGTTAGTTGCCCTCTGAATTGACCCCCAAGCCACTCTGCGGTTCCATTGGCAATACTGACAGCTGCAGTCCCGCTGATCCGTAAACGGTGCGGCCCCGGCTCTGCCACTAGTTTCGTATGCACCATTTTCTGTGGCGAGACAGTCATCACTGGTCTTGGTGATAGAAACTTGTCCGTTTATGGGGATGTCCGACACTTCCGCGACAGAACATCGTGACCTGTCAAGTGACCGCGACAAAGTGGACTCTTTGACTACGCCGTCGTTGTCACATCGGTTGCCTTTTCTTTGCTTCTTCTCCTTTTGGATTCCCTTTTCTTTTTCTTTCCCCGGTTTCTTTTTTCTCGATTGAGGATGGCCATCTCGGGGAATGGCGATATCACCGTAGAGTGGCAGTGTCGTCGTATAGCCAATATCCCAATGAGTATTGGCAAAGTACGAAGCATTTCTATCGCAGCCAAGACACCCGGGGAAACGGCTTCCAGTATCGTTCACCCGCCACCGCCACCGCCTGGCTCTGCTTATGCAGCATGCAGCAACCTATCCTTGCCTTCCCACACGCTCGGGTTTCCTGACTGTACGATCAATGGCAATTGCGTCCACCTCAGAACTTAGTTATATGATAGAGGACAATTATTTGGTAACGCGACCGCTCGAAAAGAACTTAACGATATTTTCCATGATTTCATCGAGACACTTCCTCAGAGCAAACCCAAGTCAAGAACGGGTCAGGGTCAGACTCTGTACCTGACGGAGGACTCATTAGCGGGAATAATGAGTGGAGACCCAGCGGTCTTGACTTTGGGGCGGAACCTGAATTCAGCCATCCACTATCCAGTCATCAAATCCAAGGATCGCGCTCGGGTCGTCCCTTTGTTTACGTCTTGCCAAAAAGAGTGTTGAGACCTCGTGTATATCGTCCCCGACGGCTGGGTTCTCGTCGGCAAACGCATCCGGTCGAATCGAAATGATTTCCGGTCACTGAATCGAGGGCTGCGTTCCTAGTCGACGGCAATGCCGAGATCGACCGTCTGAGCCATGAGTCAGGGAGACCTCGTTTGCGCTGCCTTTTATTGCCCACATCACGCACTATCAGCTGGTCGCGAGTCCACGACGAGGGCGCCTCGGATTCGGACGAGTCGCATCTTGCTGACTGTAGAGACGAGTGGAGATCGAAGTCGACGGATGACCAGACCAGCTCCGGAGCACTGCCTCTTAAGATTTCCAGCGGATTGACATGGTCGGTGATCGTTGAATTTGGACTATCCTTTTCTCCGGTTGAGTACGGAGTATTACTATGGTTACTGATCTGGTGTCCCTATTTGAAACACGGACCAGGGGCTCTCAACGAACTTGGAAATTAACTCTTGACGATCGCACTCCAGAGCCACAGCTCGACCCTGGATGATCGTATGACTATAATATAGGAATTAATCTTATCTCAGTGAAAGTGGAAGAGGGAACAGACAGGATGAACAGGGGTCAGGAAGAGAGATGCTCCTGGACTCCAAGACATCTGTGCATATTCATTTGACTGATTTGATTTCTTGAAGCAGATATTGCGCTTCATGCTTGTGACACATTCATTATTGGTTAATTCTCCGGAGGATCCAATCATTCATGCATTTTATCATGGTGGGTCTGGTCTTTTTGAGCTCGAGCTTGAGCTCCCCCTTTAGTACTAAGGACTAACTAACTAACTGAGAGCCACTCCAGGTACTTTGCGCGGATCTCCCAATCATCGCAACCTTTGACTTCCTTTGCCCTTCTCTCTCTGTCCCCCTTTTTCTTCAATTTCTCCTATACCGGCCCAACCCAACCGATCATTTCCGTGTTTCAGATATCTCTCTTTGATCTCTTCCCGGTGCATTGTCAGTTCCCGGTTTGATTGTGGCTTTTGGCTTTGATACTGCGTCCCCGTTGCCCTTAATTTGTACCTTCAATGCCGTCTGGATTCCAATGTTTCATTTCATTTTAATAACGTTTAATCTAAATTTCTCTCTAGTACCTTTTTTGGTTCATTTTTGACTTCCTCTATTTTATTTGTATTTTCTTTTTCATTTTTGCCCCCTCAATCCTCCGACGTAATTGCTACTATTGGTCCACTAGCTGTCGTTGCTCACGATGATTTCCCCCCCTCTCCAATAATCCCAGAGCCACTCGTCATCCAGACCACCGCACCCACTTCGGATCGTCTGGTCTGATTCGCGTTTCCCTTCCCGCGTCATGCTGGTAATCGGACCTTTTCTATCCAGACTGAGGTCTGTGGCAGCTCGAGTGGACCACTGAGATGGCTCCTCCTCACTAATCGGGTGCATGTGTCCTTCCTTTGCCCCCCCACCCCCTACTTTGCTCTCCACAACCTTCCCCCTAACGAACACCCCCTGGATGGGCTAACGTGTTAGTGCAGAGCCATGGCTGGTCTTCCTCACGCCGGCCCCATGCCGCAAGGCTAGTCAGTAGTTCGTGATCGGTCATGATTCAACGGCCTTCTCTCCCATTTCGTCGTCCTCTTTTCCCTCCTCGGCGGCCAGATCGTTTGTCTAGACTCGATGTCCCATTGAACTAGTTTCGGAGAGCAGCATCAATGTCAATCGCTCCGTGTCGCGGATCTCAACCGCGTCTCTAATCGCTAGTCCTTACTGCTGGCAGGTGGAACTCCCGACCTCGATCTCCTCATTTCTGCTTGCCACCCCCCGCTTCGTGAACTCCCCCCCTCACGGATTGCCATCTCACGACGCGTCCGGGCGCTTCTTTCTTTGCATCTCCCTTTCTCTGCCCCAAAAAAAAAACACCACCTACTTCATGTCAGTAGTCACTGTGGCGTGCCCCATCCCGTCTCAGGATTCTCCTCTTTCTCCGTCCCGCACCCCGCAAGCAACCATCCGCGTCCTGGCGTGACTGACTGGATCCTCGCAGAATACTTACTGCCGCGTCGAATTGGACCCTCAAAGCTGCTGGTCAGCGCCTTTGACAGGCTCATCAATCTCTCAATTGGCCACCATCGACGCCCCACAAACCAATGGGTACTGCACATACAATAAATTGACTGATAAGCCCGTCGGCATCCATTTCCTGCGACAACCTGGTCCGTTCGCCTGAGGGGCGACGATCTTGAATCATTGTGTGGCTTGGCCATTCGAATGAGCTCAATGATGGCCACAGACGCGGTTCCCCAGAGCCCTCCCACGAGGGCAATTCCTACACCCTCAACCACGCCCCCAACAGACCACCCCGCACAGACTCGAAGAGGCTCGTCTGCGGGCTACTCCTCCTCGAACTATTCTCTTCGGACGGACAACGCCTCCCCTGACCGCCCCAGTGACTACGAAGATATCATGGATGAGGACACGATATCGCCGCTGGATCCTCGGAGGTTCACACCCACACTGCATGCATCGCTGGTCTCGGAGATCCTCGCCCTGCGACGAGACGTGGAAAGCAAAACAAAAGCCATCGATGTACTAGAACGATCCTTGGATGACTCGCGGATCGAGAATGACGACCTCAGCGATCGACTGGCCAAGAGCACCCGGGAGACCCGGTCGCTGAAGCATCAGCTTAACTTGCTGGAGGGCGGATCGTCCTCCGCTCTCACGGAGCTGGCCAAGGAGCGTGATACGGCGCTCGATAACATTGGGGACGTTCGCAAAAAATTAGACCAGGCCCAGAAGAAGGCTCGCGGTCGAGATGAGGAACTCGAACGGTCCTTGAAGCTCTGGGACCGCGAAAGGGAGTCGTGGGAGATGGATCGCCGGGCCCTGGAGCGCAAAGTCCATGTTGTCGAAGGTCGTCTCAAGGTAGTCCTGAATGAAGTGGCGGCAGCACAAGCCGCTGGCTCGTTCCGCTCTACGGCTGCGACGAATGCAGACGAGGCCGCGTCGGCCAAGGAAGAAGCCCTTGCAAAGGACAGCGATTCCGCGAGTATCCTTTCCAGCAGTCAAGGTCCACGCCGGACCAGCGTCACCAGCGTGAGCTCCAACGAGGACGACTACCGGGACTTCCACAACGTCCGGTACTCCGTTGCCAGCCTGGCGAACATCGCACCGGGCAAGTCGGATGGGATGAATCTCGCGGACGAATTGGCCTTTGACGAGGAAGACGAATTCGATCTGGCGGACGATGATATGGCCCCGGAGTCCCCCGAGGCGCTTCCAGAAGAGCGTCCCGCATCCGTTCACTCTCAAATATCCCAGACGATGGGAATGGGGGCCAAGGCACGAAGAATACTTGGCCTCTCGCTGGAAAGTGGAGTGGACGGTCAAGGAATCAAGGTGGACGGTGCCTCCGAGTACACACCCATGAAGGTCTCTACCAAGGCTGTGTATCAGGACACGGGTATCCAATATTCCCCGCCGCCGTCTCCGATGTCACCAGAATTTGAATACCGGTTGTCCCAGAATGACAGGGATGTCTCGGGTCAGACGAAGGACAGCGGCACGTCGACAGTCTCAGCTGACATGGTGTCGACGTCGTGCCAGACCGTTGGTGATATCCCAACTCCTCCACGTACACCCAAGCTCGACGAATTACTCCCCCAACCTTCCGCTCCCGAGCGGGCGATCACGGTGTCTACAGCGGTCCAGACAGAGCAGGAACCTGCCGCAGAGCCGGAGAAACCCAGCCCTGCCCTGCAGGGTGCGGATTCAGACAGTCTTCAAATTCCGATGATTGCAATCCACCCGCCTCATTCAGAGCCTCCTTCACCACGTGGAAGCGTGGTCCTCCCGCCACAGACCAAGAGTGTCTCGTGTCAGGCCAACTTTGGACCCATGGTGAATTATCAGACCGCGGGAATGCAGACGGAGCCTATTCGCATCGACCAGCGGCCCGTCAAGCTACCAGCACGCTTGCTGCCCTCAGCCATACCGGACTTCCCGCCGAGCAAGCACGATCGCGATCCGCCCATTCAACCGTACCGGGCTCCTCCCCCGAGGACCAGACTTCCCAGTGATGTGCAGCCCCCGCCGCTGCCACCCAAGGCTCCGTCACGGAGTAAGCCGCCCGGCCGTGTGCAAGCCTACCCTGGCAACAACGACAACGGGCCCCTGTCCGAGGAATCCAAGACGGGGATGAGGCGACCGCTCCGATCGAGCAGTTTATTCGCCGGATTCGAAGAGTCGAGCGATGAGGGGTCTCCCGAAAGCACGAGGGATATCTTTACCGACGATGCTTTCCTTAACCGGCCAACGGCCACGTATAAACTCAAACGAGGGAAGTTGGTTTCCACCGAAGAACGTTCAACTCTGGACGACCCCGTCTTGCCCGAAGTGGTTGAAGATGAACATCTGCTCGACCCGGATTCTCAACTCTTACATGCCTCGGGTTCCAGTGTGGGAGATGTGGATGGTACCCCCCGACAACGTGCCGGGGCAGTGGCGTCGGGGGTTCGGCAACAGGACATTCGCAGAGCAGCCATGATCTCCAACGGGGCGTCTGCCCATCAGAAGATACGGGCCCGAAGTCCGAGTGAACCGAGCTATGACAGCGCCAGCGCCAGTGGTGCGTCGAGCATTCCGCCTCCCTTCCCGGTTCCGATCCGATTGAGCTCCAGGAAATTCCCTGCCGAAGGAAGCGATGGCCGACAAAGCCCGTCTCCTTCGAACCCCCGAAATTTCTCTGACCGCGGCGGGCGAACGCCCGCTGTCCGCCGACCAATCTTGCGACGAGTGCGGTCGGCAGCTGCCATGTCCCAGACGGATCACACCGAACGACCGAGCAGCCGATCCTCTCCCGCCATGTCCGTCTCGTCACAGGCTCCCGAGAGCCCTCGATACCCACCTCTCCCGTACGACGATATCACAGCGCACCAGGGCAAGTATGGGGGCCGTCGCCAGTCGGTCCGCCGTGCGGCGCCGCACACGCCGGCCCACGAACGAGAGGATTCGGCGGCGACATCGGTCCAGCCAACCAGCGTGGTCGATGCGATAGCTCAGACCATGGTCGGAGAATGGATGTTCAAGTACGTCCGGCGACGCAGATCATTCGGCGTAGTCGGCGAGTCCAAGGACTCCTGGGAGGGCCGAAACGCGGACGAGGTGTCTGCGAGCATCACCAACAGCGGCGTGCGGCACAAACGATGGGTCTGGCTCGCTCCGTATGAGCGAGCTGTGATGTGGAGCAGCAAGCAACCAACAAGTGGGCCGGCGCTGCTCGGGAAGACTGGTAGAAAGTGTACGTTCCGCTTTATAGTGTTGGTACGTGTACATGATCGCTAACGTCCTCGCAGTGATAATCCAGTCTGTCCTCGACGTCAAGGATGACAATCCATTGCCCAAGGGGACCAACGCGCAGAATCAATTCGGCCGATCCATCCTCATTCTGACACCACAACGCGCACTCAAATTCACAGCTATGAGCATCGAACGGCACTACGTGTGGCTGACAGCTCTCTCCTTCCTAAGCCACTCCACAATGGGCGCGCAAGACCTCGCGTCTCTACCCCCCGCCCCACAAGGGGAATTCTCGTCACCGGTGCCCGCCCCAGCCCTCCGCCGGAACCCAATCCGCGACTCCATCAAGATCGCCAAAGGCCGGCCTCGCCCGGGGCCCAAACCAAAGCGGTCCTTCAACCAGCCGGAGCCGGTCCCCGAGCTGCCCCTAGAGCTGGAAACCGCCGAGTCAATAGACGGAGCAGCCGACCCGCCCACAGTGCCTCGCTTCTCCAACCACGCCCGCAAGCGCAGCAATCCCACCACGCGGATGCCCGTCCTCCGCAACTTCTCCAGCCAAGCCACAATGCCCTCGATCACGTCGACGCGAGGCTCCTCAGAGGCACATACCCCATCGCAGGGGCCAGGCGTGAACAGCGGCCGGAGCAGTCTCAGCCACCGCATGTCGGAAGCCAGCACCGGCACAGGGAACTTCTTCGATGCGGTAGGCACCGTCCGCATGGAAGCCTTCATCGACCAGACGGAGTCGAACCGCAACCGCGTGCCCGGTCGACGCAAGCGCAAGACGTCGAGTCCGTGGAGCGCGGGGAACCCGGCTTATCTGGACCTTGATATTCCGGCCCCTATTCCGGCCTTGGCTGTTGAGGAGGGGGATTATGCGCGGAATGATGATCTGTTCCGTGGGTTTTAATTGTATATAGTTCACTCACTTACAACACTCCTTCCTTGTTTTTCAACTTGTTTGTTTTTTTGTTGTGAGATATCCCGGTTTACCTACTCCTTTGCCGATTTGCTTCTACCGATTGCACTGATACCACAGGGAAGTATTTTTCTTTTTCGAGATATTTGTTTGGGTATTATATTAGTTTTATATAGATAATCAGAATACATGAGTGTAATATATGGAATAGAATCCGAACGAGAAGTCCGAAGTAGAACAATACATACATAGATAGATAGACAGATACTCGGATAGGATAAGGAATAACTTTAGTAGCATACAGATTCATCTAGCGATCCAAAAAAGACAATACAATGCTTCTAGTCAAAACACAACGACATCGGTTCTGAAACCATAGTCACTATGCGCATTCTCTATATGTCACATCTTTCACATCGTCTTGTATTTCCCTCCGTTCAAGTGGTTTATCTCAGATCTTTCTTTCGTTTCCTTTCGAAAATAGGTATCTCCCAAAGCGAGTTGTAATAATGTAATAACAGGTTATCATTGATATCCCTCACAGCTTCGCAGCATCCTTGACCTCGCCGATCTTGAGCTTGGGCGAGTACTTCTTCAGCACGGACTCGTTGTGGTACTATTCGTTATCGTCAGCATTGCTCATCAAATACCTATTTGTTTCTTCCTCAAATATCTCCCCCCCCTCCTCCCTCTATCAAAAGACACCAAAAGACACAAAATCAAATTAAGAAGAAGATGGGAAAAGAAAGATACCTTCCAGAACTGCTTCGACGCATCCTTGCCGGCAACGCGCTTCAGGATCTTAGCGCCGCCAGGATGCTCATCCACGAAGTTGGTCACGTCGTAGACGTTGGCGTCGATGATGATGTAGAGGCCTTTGTCGGGGCTGTTGTGCGAGGAGACGTCTGCGGGGGTGAATGTTTTGGACATTTTGGTTGGTTTTTATTTCTTCGTTTGATTGTGTCTTTGGTTGGGTTTGAGGTGGAAGGTAGGTAGGTGTATGTATTGAGGTGATCTAGTGAGGAGGAAAGAAAGGTTCGGTCTAGAGTATTAAACACCTATGATGTTCTGGCTCCACTTGATTGATGATATATCCGGGGTTCAAAGGTTAGGGAGGAGAGGGGACAGCCGAGGTAATTCTCCTGCCGCGGTCAATTGAAATCAACGGGTTGTTATTGGTTTATTCTCTCCCCACTAGTGAACCAGATACATCAATGATATGGTATGTACCTGGTGCCTAAGGTATCTACTATCTAAGGTACTACAAAACACCAAGTAGGTAGACAATGGATATGATTGCACTGTATAGCTAGGTATGTGTTCAATCTCGACTCTTCTCCCCCGTCGCCCCCTGCCCCTTGATCTTCTTTTCCACCCCCAACGTCTCCAGATCCTTCTTCTTGTAATAATGCGGCGCAACCTCCACCAGCCACTCCGCCTGCAGCGGCATATTGCTCCGCATGTACTCCTTGCTCGTCAGCACCAGCTCGAAGTAGATCACCCACCGCGGGTTGACCTCGAACAGTGTACTCGACGGGTGCAGGTACACCGTCTGGCCGTTCTTGACTGTCCGGTAGCTGTCGCCGCCGCGCTGCAGACGCGCTGCGTTCGGGAAGAAGCCCGCTGTGATCGCCTTCTGGATCGGTTGGATATTGGTCGCGCCGCAGGTGCTGATGGAGACTTCGACGCGGTCGCAGAGCTTTGCGAGCTGATCGCGCACGTCGCGCGCTCGTGTTAGGCTGCGCTGTTGCAGGAAGTTTTCTTTGGCCCAGATGAGGCTGAAGTCCGAGTCGACCCATTGGTTCCATACGTTGAGGAGCGTGAGGTGGTCGCCGCCGTCTTTGATGGTGAATCGGTTGCGGGCGCTGTCGGCGTGGATTTTCTTGTCTTTGGGTCGGAAGAAGAGCGCGCTGCCTTCGCCTAGCATCGACACGATGGAGAGGACTTCCTCTACGCAGCCGTACTGGTCGGCGGCTAGGATCGCCTTGGCGAGCATGGGCTCTGTCGGGAATTCGGCCATCTGGCGTCCAATCTTCGTCAGCTCGCCCTTGTCGTTCAGAGACCCCAGGGCGTAGAGCTGCTCCAGCGCTCGGATGATAGTCTCCGCAGGCGGGGGATCCATGAAGTCGAATTCGAGAAGCTGGTCGATCCCGAGCGACTTGAGCATCAGGATGACGCTGCTGAGGTTTGTTCGCTGGATCTCCGGTGTAGTGCTTTCCTCCAGCTCGTTGTGGTACGCCCACTTCGTGTACAGCCGGAAACACTTGCCGGGCCCGACACGACCCGCTCGTCCAGCTCTTTGGTTGGCCGATGCCCGCGAGCAGGGTGTGACCACCAAACTCTCCATTCCCGTCCGCGGATTGAACACGTTCTCCTTGACAAAACCAGGATCGATCACGTAAACAATCCCGTCGATCGTAAGACTCGTCTCGGCGATGTTGGTGGCCAGCACGACTTTGCGCGCCTTCGGGGTGTAGGCTCGAAGATCTTCGTCTGGAGCTCAGAGGGCAGGTTGGCGTAAATCGGGCAGACGATCAATTCTGGTATCTTATTCCCCAGTTTCCGCGCTGTCTCTTGCAGACTCTGCTCGGCTGCCTCGATCTCCTCCTGACCGGTCAAGAACACCAGCACATCGCCAGGACCTTGGGAGATGTGGATCTGGAACACGGTGGTGATGGCGGCAGCTAGATAGTTGGCCTCAGGCTGCGACGTATAGTGGATGTCCACGGGGTACCGACGTCCAGGGATATTGAAGATCGGCGCGTCGTTGAAATACTGCTGGAACTTTTGCGCGTCCATAGTCGCGGATGAGATCAACAGCTTCAGATCAGGGCGCGCCTTGGCGATATCCTTCAGAAGACCGCACGCGATGTCCGTAGGCACCGTCCGCTCGTGCGCCTCGTCGATCATCAGCGCAGAGTATTGACCCAGGTCCGGCTCCGTCAGGAGCTCTCGTAGCAACATACCATCCGTCATGTATTTCAACACGGTCTTGTCGCTCGTGTTGTCCTCGAAACGGATGGCGTAGCCGACTTCGTTGCCCAATTTCACCCCCATCTCGTCGGCCACACGAGACGCAACGCTCATAGCGGCGACTCGCCGGGGCTGCGTGCAGCCGATCTTCATCCCGTCTTTGGTGTAGCCAGCCTCGTGCAGGTACTGGGGGAGCTGGGTCGTTTTACCGGACCCGGTCTCTCCGACGATGATGAGCACCTGGTAGTTTTTCACTGCCTCGATGATCTGTTCCCGGAATTGATAGATGGGGAGGCTCTTCCGGGTCTCCTCCATCGATGCCGCTTTCTTCTCGGCAGCATCAATCTGCGTCTGAAGGGCGCGCTGCTCCTGCGTCATCGGTTTCTGGGTGCCCTCCATCTTGGCATCCATGACGAAGCTGATCTTCTGCGAATCGTCAAACACATACTCGTAGTTCCCCTCGTCCACAATCTCCGCGCGCTTGATTTGCGCCTTGGCCTTGGCCGTCTGCTCCAATTCCCATTCTTCGTGCTCCGTGACAAACCGCTCCTGGCCCTGGTCATCGCGGTCGACATACCGCTTGTAGAGAGCCTCCTCCTTCTTCTTCCGATCGATCTTCCCCTTCTCGGTGATGTAGTCATCCGGCATCATGTAGCCATCGCGGTAGTCGTCGATTTTGAGTCGCTCCTCCGCGATCCGAAGTACTTCCCGATTCCGGGCAAACTCTTCCTTCTCCCTGCGACTGAGACTCGGGTTCTCGCGCATCTCAGCCGTCTCCTCCGCAACCTGCCGTCGCAGCAACGCCAACCGCTCCGTTTCTCTCTTCTTGAGATACTCCTGGCGAGAGCGCATCCGAAGCTCCGGCATAACCTCCGCTCGGGCCGACGCATCGTCCGCCAAAGCCCGTCGCCGGGCGGCTTCGCTCGTCCGCGTCCGGTCCTCGACTATCTTCTTCGACTTGCCATCATCTTTATTAGCCAGCCGCTTCGCGAACGCATCTCGCTCCTCTAAGTCCCGCTTCCGATCCCTCTCCTTCTTCGCCTCCGGATCGAGTTCCTCAGACGAATGAGACCGGGGCGAGGCCGACCCGTCCTCCAACCGAGTGCGCTTCGACGGCGACTCCTCGAAATCGCCCCTCTGCGCGTCCTCTTCTCCTTCGTAGATCTCCTCATCCTCCGCAAACTCCTCATCTCCCCAGCGGTCCTCGAAGTCCTCGTTATCCCTCCGCCGCAACTTCTTCGATCGAGACCGGTCCCCGCTTGCCTCCTCGCGACTGCGATCGCGCTTCCGGCTCTCCTCCTTCTCCCCGCGACTCCGACGACCACCGACATCATCCTTTTCCCGGCCGCGGTCCTTGTCTCTCCGACGCCGCCGCTCCCTATCAACCTCAACATTCGAGGGTCCCAACGACGAGCTGACAGCATCATCCTCCATATCTAACAACCGATACTTCTTCTTCGCAGCCGCAGTATCCCCCCCGCGCTCCTTCGGCGGCGCGCTGCCACTACTCGCGCTCTTCGCCCCCTTCCCAACCCGCCGATACAGTTCATTGCAGAATTTGCCGGCCTCGTCGGGGCTGATTTCTAGGAACGGAACGAGCTGGTCTTGGAGGGCGCTGGCGGAGGTCGCGGAGCTGGCGATTGCGAGCACGAAGTCGATGGCGGTGGAGTCTGACGCGTTGGTTAGGCGGAGGAGGGAGTCGGATACGAAGGTGCGGTTGTCGTCCATTTTGGGTTTGGTTTCGGTTTTGAGAATGAATTGAAAGAGGGGGGGAGAGAGAAGTAATCCACGTGTGTTCTGGAGTTCTAGTCCTGCTTGCTCATGCGATGCCTGCGGTGGGCGTGTCTTAACGGGCACCTGGCTCTAGCACGTATTTGGCATTGCCGCAATTGCTCGTTTATTTGATTTCGGAAGTAATAGAAAGGGTATAAAATTCCGTGTGGTTTGGGCTTATATTATTAGAGAAAAACCCAGTGCAGAACAATCAGGCGGAGAGTTGATGGTAAAACAGTGAAGCGCAAGATGGTCCGCGCCGCCGCGGGAGGTTGAACTCCAATGCCAAGACATCGGCAAGTGGCGAGAATCGCTCCGCGAGGTACTCCATCGTACCCAACCTACTGCTACTGTATATAACTATCGACGATAAAGCTTTGTACAATCATGATCCTAGCTTTTTAAAGAGGGCGCATTCAAGACTATCAGAAATCACAAGCAGTACCTTGGTATCAAGCCCGCTTAAACACACTCAGTGGTTTCGTGCTATAGAGACATGTTCTACAAACAAGACAGAATGGGTAAAGAGAAATTCAACAATCCATAAAGGTGGAGACATCACAGCTCAGAAAACAAAAAGTCGAGTGCATCAAATGTAGCCATCATCATTATCAACGCCGAAGTCCATAAGGTCACAAAAAAGGCAAGGAGATATTCGAGTTACACTAACAAAGGAAAAGAAGCAAAGAGAAAGATACAGTTAGCAAACCGGAGCGCCTGCTACATCATTGTCATGGAGATCCTTGCGTGAAATCTCAAGAAAAACAATACAAATGCACAAACACGGGCTCCCTGATAAAAAAAGGTCAAAGCCCCAAAGCTGCAAAAAGAAGATTCCAATCATGCTGAAAAAGAGAAAAGGAATTCGTGCATTTGCAACAGACAGCTGCGGCATCATCGCTAAATCAACAGGACATCATCAACAAAGGAAATTCGAAAAGAGCGTGGTAACCCTCATAGGATTGAATTGGTCAAAGTTGTAAGACCCAAATCATCCCAAAGGGTGGTCGGTAGTAGAATGAGCAATAAAGACAAGGGTCTTCTGGCTTGGTCGTAAGAGAATAACATCGAGGGATGAGGCCCCGCACATTCGCATCAACGCCGTAATTATATGGTATAATAAAGAAAAGCTCCAACTCCATCCAAATGCACTAATATGTCAGGTAGCACTGGTTAAACATCGATCATTTCGGCATCTTCTGCGAGGATCTCATCGGCGGGACCCCAGTTGCCCTCGTAGACGGTAGCACCAGCACGACGCCGGTGCGCGGTGAATTGAACGGCATATGTCTCAAGGATCTCGTCGGCCGTGGGTCGGTCCAATGGATCCGGTGAGATCATCCACCGTACGATTTTGTCCAGTGCTTGCTCATGGTTGGCATCGACCATGAAATCTGGAGGATCAAGAAGCTCGCCTGTCCGAGCAAGCGGCACCGGTTTGCGCTCGGACGGCTTGCAACTTCCCAGGAAGTGATCCATTCCAAAGTCATCTTCTCCCAAGTCAGAGGCACACAACTCCTCGAATGATGGCTCCTCGGAGACCGGAGCCCCAGAGATGTCACGTAAGACCCCAGGTTCGGAGCTCCAGGTGAGGCTGGGGACGTCGCTCATGTCGCCATTTCGGAGTTTTTGCCATGAGAGACCATTGTCGGGGAGTTCGACATTACCGGCAATCTCAAAGATGATCAAACCGAGAGAGAATATATCCGCAGGCTTATCGAAGCGGCCCATCAAAATTTCAGGACCGATGTATTCACGATCGCCTTCACCATCAATGCCTTCCTCCGCCGGCCATCGGGTTGCCATGCCAAAGTCGGCGATCTTCAAAACGCCCTCAAAGGTGATGAGTACGTTGGCTGGCTTTAGATCAAGGTGGATAAAGCCCATGTCGTGAATTTGTTTCAAGCCCTGTCAACCATGTTAGTCTATACCAAGAGAAATGGGCGAGTGACAGAAAAATATACCATAGAGAGCTCGAGCAAGATCTTCCAGATCCGGAAATCATCCAATCTTGCCTTGAGCCCGACTTGGGCAAGGAATACATCGAGGCTTCCTTCTTCACAGAACTCCGTCTGGATGTAAAGGTGGCCGGTGTCTTCCCAGCTGTCCATGAACGCAATGATGTGGTCCGAATTAGTCAGAGACTTCAGCACATCTACCTCCCGGATACGGCGCTCGCGGTCCTTAAGCCCCGAGTAAGGTTGTTTCGACTTCTTCACGGCCCACACTTGGTCTGGGGTGGGCTTGGGGGTGTTAGACCCACTCGGGAACCCAGAGGAAAACGATGTACCGTGGGGACGGGCCACGCGGTACACTTGAGAAAACTCCCCCGTTCCGATCAGCTCCACATCTTCAAATCGCGACGTCAAGCTTGGATCCACGTCTGGGGCGTGGCATAGATTCAGCGGCAGGCTCGGCCGCTTTCCAGACTGCAGAAAAGAATCGCGGGGACCAGTTGGGGTCGCCGGCATATTGGAGGAGTTGAAGTCTGGTTTGATGGCGTGCTGGTCACCGGGTGCCGAGATGGACAGGCCACTGGGGTCTGGGGGGAAAAAATTCTCCCGCGGCGTCCGAGGCGATTCACGTTGGAATCTCTCATAGAGGGGGCTGGAGTTCATCCCCCTGGCTTCGGACAGTCGCTCGAGGGAGGCAATCTGCGACGTCGCGGGGGGGTAGGTTCGGGATGGGAAGAATGTTTGTTTGGTTGGTGTTGGTGGGAAATCGGTTTCACTCAAAGGTTGGCTGTCTAGCCGACCGCAGGGCGACTGAGACTGCATGCAGTCGTCGCCATCGACACTCACAAAGCTCCCACGGCGCGAGGCTTCAGGCCTGCTGAAGGTGTTTCCGAATATCCCCATACCTCGCGCGAATGGATTTTGTTTTGGCTGTGTATTCGGCGGGTTAAAGGGGGAAGAGGGCCCCGCGTCTGCTTGGCCCATAAACATTGACTTCCCAAATGACTGCTCGGGCAGTGGTCTTTGCACGTTGGGGAACAGATTCACTGGGCGCTTGCAGGGGGTATCGGGCATGTTCTTGCTGGAGCCCAACATAGCCTGGGGGTCCTCCACATTGCGGTTCTTTTTCGAAATGAGACCGGTCGACATGAATGCCGCTGGCAAGGGCTTGACTAGTTTGTAATTCTCCGGCGTCGCAAATGAATCCGTCGAAGATGTCGAATCCTCACGGTTGAGCTGACGCATGAAGGCTGGCCGAGCAGCCCCAGCAGGGAGAGACTTCGAGAAATCGTGCGCTTCTCTCGGGCGTTCGGTCTTATGGACCGGCTCATGGGTGGGTGAGTCGTCTACCAGACTCGAGCTGGATGAAGACTGCGTGATGGTCCTGGAAAGCGGATGGGCCGGTGGGCGGGTTTGGGCACTCGCAGTTCCAGTCGAGAAGAGAGAATTGCCCGGCGCTGGACGTGGAGAGAAGGGACTTTCTTGGCTGCTCTGGAAAATATTGTCAAAGTACAATCGAGGACGCGCACTGGGGGGAGTTGTGCTCTCTGGTTCCTCTGGGTCCTCTGAGTCCTCTAGTGAATCGTCCATAGCCCTAGCCCGTGCGAACAGAGAGCGGTCACTTTGGCGTTGCTGGAGTGTTGACCGTCTAAGAGAAGACGAGCGCTTTGGGATCGTAGCAAATGGACTGAAGGCGGCGGCGGCAGGCACGGGGAACGGCGGCGTATCGCTCTCCCTTGGGGAGAGAGACCTCGGCCGCTCCGGGGTTTTCGAAGCGCTCTCCCCATCGAATATACCGAAGTCTCCCGAGAGATTGGCTGCGTGGACACTCCGTCTCTTTGCTGACGGACTGCCACGGGATGCGCGATCCAGGTTCATGATCCCGTCGCTGCGCTTCAGTGGGCTAACAGTCGGGTATGAGCCGAAGGTTCCGCTTCGTCGCTTTTCAATTCGAGATAGTGTTGGCCGAGGTCCCAGTGTATTTTCTGGGCACGTAGAAGCGTCATTTCCATCTGATGTCTCGTCATCAGACGGGAAATTCAACACGGGGGTGGCCAGCGAATTCTCGATCCCCGACGATGTTGGCACTGGTTGGGCGGGTTTGGCGTTCCCCTGATCGGTCGAAACGTTCAAAGCACGTTTGTTGGGGCTCCGAGGGGAAGTTCGGACGCGGCGCATGGGCGGCCTCGAGATCTTTGCACTTGGTGGGTAGGGAACAGCAAATGGTGACTGGTGGGAGGAACTGGGGAAGAGCACGAAGTTACTCTGTGGCGACCTCCGTGAAGGTGACAAAGGCGAGGAAACGTAGGGTGATACGGTCTTGGAGGGCGAGTGATTCCGAGAGGCGAGAAGTGAGAAATTGGAGCTTTTGGAAGGTGATCGTGATAGTGACCGGCGCAGCTGGCGCAGGGCTGAGCTCGCATCAACGTGATGGATGCCTGAGTGTGACGGTAGATGTAGTGTACCACCCGCATCGCGGTGCGGCGAAAACGTCGCGACCATTATAGAACGGCGAGTCGCCTCGCGGCTGGAATCAAGCGATGGTGGCGAGTCGAGGAGTTTGTTGGTTTGAGTGTCTCGCGACCGCTTCGAGAGACGGCTGCACGGGAGGTTGAATCAACGACGTGTAGAAAGATCGACCGACAGTCGGAGGTAGGAATTCGCGAAGCGTCCAAACAACAACAATAACAGAGTGATTGGTAAAGGGTGTGTGGCGGTGCGGGTCTCGTGTCTTAGGTAGTGAAAGGGTCGAAGAACCGTAAAGGCTGCAGTGGAATGCTGCCCAAAACAAATGTGGTACTAGCGGTTGAAACCAAGTGTAAACAAGCTGGAATGTGGAATGAGTGATGGACAAACATCACACCAGACGTGCGTGGGCCTCCAATATCTCGAGGAAGTTGCTGGTGCCTCCATCCACTTCGACCTCGTCACGGTTGGAGGGGAGGGTGGGAGGCCCTCTTCGCGCCGACAACACCAAGCCACGCGCCTGAAACGCAACAATTTCTTTATTTGCTTCTCCGGCGCCTGGGAGGACTAATTGGGCCGGTGAAGAATGTTTCAGAATGACAACAAGATGTCAAAACAAGCAAGCGCGTCGCGAAGCTGCAGGAGCGACTGGAAGGGGGGGCAGGCGCGACGAGCGTTTGACACGGAGAAAAACAACCAAATCAGATGGGAGATAATAAAATAAAAAATAAAAAAAATATCAAGTAGTAAAAACAGACAAGAAGAAACAAGAGAGATCAAGACAGCGACAAATGCACAGCGATGCGCGCGAGGCAGGCGAATTGCAGAGACGCGGAAGAAGCGATTCGATTTGGTAGAAGGGAAATCAACCGCAGGACAGTCTCCCTTCCGTCTCCCTTTCTTTAAAACCCCGGATGTATGAGGTCGTCGGGCAAACAGAGGGTGTGCGCAAGGGGGTTGCGAAGTCAGGCTGCCTTTGAGAAAGATCTCGACAGCCACGCGAGTCGAGTGCGAAGGACGAGAGAGGAAAAAAGGGATGGGCGCGCGAGTGGATGGAGGGGCTGATGATAGACGGAAGTTGCGGTATGCAGAGGCGATACCTCACTACTGAAGCAATCGTCCGAGGAATTTCCCTTCCGGGAGGAGTCGCGTTTCCTGTCTGGATTGACTAAATTATTATTATTAGGGTTCTGGTCAAGTCCGTCAAGAGACAGAAATCCGTAAAAGGAAATGAGGGAAAGTAGAAAGATAAGATAGAAAAGACAGAGAGGGAATATCAGATGTTGCGTGTTGTTGAAGTGATGAGAGATTATTGTGGCTGACATAGACACCAGAAAATAAATCTATAGGAAGCGATTGCCACCACGAACTGATACGAGGTACAACCTGGTCGGTTGGTCAGACTCAGTGCTGATGCTACCCAAGTTCTACTCAACTGGGGCCAAGTGGGACTTGGATTGTTTTCCAACGCCGCTCGCACGCGTTGAGCGCGTCTTTTGTTGTTGACGACGATCCTGATTCAGTTTAGGTCCGGGTGCGTCACGCGTTGTCCGCAAGGGCTCCCGTGTGGTCGATTATCGATACCCAGTCGTACCAGTACGTCCATTATCCTTCATATCCTTCATATACACACACACACTTACTACTGGTGATGGGTATCAAAATATTTAGAGAACTACTAACTACCTAAGAAAATATACTTATTTAAGGAACTAATATGCTAGAAGACTAAAAGATTCGAGGAATCCCTATCCACCATCTACTTCATTACAATACCATCGTTACCATACTAGTCCTATAAACACCGCGATAATGATAAGGAACGCGGGGGCTTCGGATTAAATGAGCAATATATTCGCCCTTGCATGTGCACCTCTAGAGGGGCCGGCTACAGTTACACTCGGTAGGCATAATTTGCTACTCTTGTTCGCAATAACTTGATTAGTGACTCACTGGGAAGATGGTTTGTAATGGTGGCGAACAATCACTGGGCGTCTGGGCAAAAATAGAACGGTATTTGCTGAGTAAGCCCTTTTATCCCACGGTTATGCACTATCCAAAACAGGTGATTTCATACTTCCGGTCTCAGTCTGCATCGAACATTCGTAGCCTTCTAGCTCCCTTATTTCATTGAAATCATTTAACACGCACCAGGACTGCTACGTATGACAATCAGACATCCTCATCTGTAATGGTTACCTACATAGGTATCCTATGCACAGTACCACCCACGGTAGACCTCATAAACAAGCCCCTCGACTCCACGTGTTCAAGCCTCAATTTTCGACCTGTCCAAAATCTCAAGCCACCACCAACCTCATTTCGCCCGCGCCCGGTTATCAATTTCTCCCTGATAATCATGCGGTAGCTCATTTCGTGATTTCCCAATCCAGTCCTGCCGAACGGGACTTGGCTTCGAGGACTATCCGCCTCCCCACTTGATCTCCCCATGGATCTTCCGCGCTCGATGCTTAACGGTTGAAGGGTCGATTTTTGATTCTACTATCTCTGTACTATAAGTTTGCAGTTTGAAGAAGAACGTTTATAGGATAACCTAGTTAAAAGGTATAATTACGATTCTATTAGATACTATGGAAGTTTATTAGGAGACACTCCCCGAGTATATAATTACGCTGTAGTTATATATATTCGGTTTCTCGTCCCGAAATGATCACCCACTATTGTACAACCTTCCTACCAATAATCATATTCATTGATTTTCGGTCGTGGAACCAAGACCGGCGAGCCCATCAACCCAATATATCAATTCCCCATGCGTCCTTCCCCACAAACGACCCATCAAATACCGCACCGTAATGGCTTGCCGAAACTCTCTATGGCCCGAGTTAACTTTATTTATCTAGTATACCTGCATCTGCTACCCCTTACACCGCTTTTCCGCATTGGTCGACCTCTTCGAACTTTGTATAACCCTAAATCGGTGATCGTTTAGCTTCCAGGCTTCAGATTAGGTTGGTGGTCAATGCTACAATCTGCATGCGCGTGATTGGATAGATATGATGCGTTCGATCACGGGTACCGAGTGAGAGGTCATTCTAGGGCTGTTGCACAGGACGCTTCTGGAGTCCGAAGCCACTGATTTCATGGATTTCTACCTTAGGTACCAAGGACTAGCCTAGCATTTGCTTCCAATGGATTCTATGCACGGTGCGGCTTAACAGTTGTCAAACCCCGTCACTCTTCGTCCCTTGCTGTCATTCCAGTTGGCTGGGGCCATGGTTGGAATTATCAAGGGCAAACCGGTTATTGGATGCCCGGAATCATTCCCTCAGAAAGTCAAAAAGACCATTCCAATGTTGACACTATTTCCCTCTGGTATTGCGCAATGATCGCAGAGCCTCTTGATCTATCACGTATGTGTGCTCTCTCGAGATAGGAATGCAATTCAGTAGTACCGCTCGTTAAGAGTCCCCCCTGAATTTATGACGCTGGCTCTCCCCTCGAGGGATATGGACGCATTCCGCAGTAGTATCGAAAGAAGGGTGCTCCCTGACAGCAACTGTAACATACCAGGTATGCCCTATAATGGAGCGCTAGGAGACGGGTGTAGCTGCATTTGACGTTGACGCCGGCTGGCACGTAAATGTCCGTTGCTGAAAGCCAGGACTGATTGAAGTGACACGACTAGCCAGCGGAAGGTCATAATCCATTTCCGTCCCTTGCACTCGGAGTTCATGTATACCCTTGAGATGCATGTGATTAATCGTGGAAGGTATGGGGAGCTGCAAGATGTTATTATTGCAGCTTTCTGAACCACAGTGGAAGAGCTTGCAGGCCAATGCAGTTCCAGTGCCAGTGCTGTTTCAACTCTTGGTCTTAATCATGTTGTAAAACCTTAGAAGCAGCGCACTTAAGAAAGATGCGAGCCAGGGAAGATTGGGATTGGATTGGCCCAAACCTGGCCTAACTTGGCCTGCGAGAAATCTCATGCAGTTACTCTTGTAAAATGCATAGGCAACTTCAAATCATGACACGCGCATCATCTTGGGATGTCTCCGGCGCTTTTCTTTATTGCACACCAGAATGGGCCCCTTCTCACTGACGAAGTAAGGAGGTAGAATGTAGGACTCCTCAAGGCAGGTGCCAGTCAGTCTAGATGAGAATGTCACTGCTGTTCTCATAAGGAGCTGCTTGGCTGTCATTCTCTTCACCATTCTCCATCTAAGTATCCGCGGCTAGGAGAGACATGGATTTCCCCGCTCTTCGGTGACGTACACTGACAACCGTCGCATTAGCCTAGAACTAGAACACACCAAAACAATTCAAAGGGCTGATCATCCATATTAGGGACTTATAGTATGAGATGAAAGATATATGAAATGCGCAACGAGGCTGAAGAAGAATAACACTTGCCTGGATGATCAGGCTCGGACTCAGTCTCATGCGAGGCAGGGATGATGAGTGGTGGAATCCGACAATCATCCCGGAAGTGCATTATGCTAGTATGGTTGATTCCGTTTACTTCTCGGACTGCGCTGGCTGAGATGATCTTCCACCCTCTGCCTACCGCCTATTCCTCATGAAGAGAGCATGACATGGGATAGGCGATGGAAACCGTGTATGCCCTTACTCCAGTAGATATACAGGCACATGTAGATGGCGCATTCATTCAATCCCTCCTCTCCGGTGATGATGTTGTTCCCCACCTATCTCCGCTCGTCAGTTGTTGTGTCATGGTATGGGACTGCCAGGGACGATGTCTAGGATTAGGATCCTGGGTGCGGGGAGACCTTCGATCTGTTCTGATGCCGCTCCTGCCACGGAAACCCCGTCGTGGCGAATATCCTTCTACGCATGTGGGACGTGTCTAGTGTACCTTTCTTTCTTTTCTTTTCTTTTCTTTTTTTTTCTTCTATATATTCATCAGTATCGTTTTCAATAATGAATAAATGGAATGACGATAGCGTAGATTAGATGAATTCAAGACAAATTATTAGTGTCCCTCTTGGTGTCTGCAGTGTTAGCGTTAGTATCAAAGGTGTTGAGAGCCTTGAGTGTTATATGAATAGCAAGATGTGATTGAGCCTGGCCCGGAGTCATTTTCCATAATCGATACTAGACTGTGAATAAGGTTTGCCTATTGTTCAACCCGCCAGTGACATGAAGACAACGTGGACGCATATGATGTACTCCTCTAAATAAGCGCCCAGGAATAGAGAAGTGACATCAGAGGTACTCACTCTGTCATACCTCCTCATACCTCATACTTCCTACCCGAGGTACTGTACCTTGTTTGAAACCATACAGGTCCCCACTTCCGATACCCTGTACTGGTATGTATCCCGTAAGTACAATACCAAAGCCTAAATTCCGACGTCGGGCAGCGGCGGATCTAATCTAAACGTCCCATCATCCCACCGGCTGCAACTACTGAAAATCTGGTCCGGACCTGCGGGGCTCCCTATTTGGACTGGAATTTCCATTCCGATGAACGATCATCCTAATTGCTGCGCTTGTCGATGTGTGTGGTGTGTGAGGACGGGCGAATCATAAGGATTCTACACTGCAAAGGATTGTTGATGTGTAATTAGTATGGGTATTATCCATCTATATGGGCCGCTAACGAACAGTGTGGTGTATCTGATCTGACCATATGGTACGATCAGAATTACTATCACAAGGTAGGTACTGTCATTGTCTGAATATCAGAGTATATGTTCTACGACCCCATCTACAGTGAGTAATGCCCTACCATAAGGTATCATGGTGTCTGGTGTCCAGGACCAGATCATTATAGTGATCTCTACTGAGCCTATGTGATGCCGTATCGGTATTACCGGCATCTGATATGGCTCGTACCCCATTTTTTTTTAAAACAATTTTCTCCGAGTTCATGTGCTCTCTCTTTCTTCTTGAGATCCCCATTCTCTCCCCTACTAACCAAGAAAGAAATAGAAAAGAAAAGAAAATCCCTCTTGGACTCGACAAGACCCAGTGGAACCGAAGATGGACTGACTATCTACGCCATTTCCGGCCCGCTGCCAAAGAAAACACAGGCTGACTTGTTTGCCCAGACCTGCCCCAGTCGCATGGGATCCGCTGCGCGGGACGCGGTTCAGTAGGTTGGAGATTTTCCAGTTATAGTTTTATCTATTTTATTTGTTTTATTCTACTAAGATTTTTTATTATTTTGATTTCTATTTTCTTGTCCTGATTTTTCATTTTCTGGTTCCTCTTCTCAAGCTAAAACCAAATGATCAAAATTTCCACATTGACCTCCAACGGGCTCCGAGAATATATTTAGAGCATGGCCCGCCCCTCTCTCCTCATCTGTGATCACCTTCTATTCATCTACCTGTATATAAACCCCTCTTGCTCGCTGGCTTTGCGGCGTTGCCCTCTCATCCATCACCCTCCGTAACTTTCTCTCCTATATCTCGTTGCGCTTTGCATACTCCCCAACCCACCTCATACATCCATCAATGGAACCTTTGTCGCGGAAGCCGGAGATTGGCTTCCAGAGCTATCGCAACATGCCCGTCCCCCAAGGATCTTCGGCAGAGCCCGCCCGCCTGAGCTCGGTGCCGCAGGATGAGCTCCATGACCTCCTCTGCGTCGGTTTTGGCCCGGCCTCTCTCGCGATCGCAATCGCCCTGCACGATACCATCGATCCCTGCCTGAACAAGTCGGTCCCCGCTGGTTGGCAACCCAAGGTCTGCTTCCTCGAGCGACAGAAGCAATTTGCCTGGCACTCGGGTATGCTGGTACCAGGCTCCCGGATGCAGATCTCGTTCATCAAGGACCTGGCAACCATGCGCGACCCGCGCAGCAGCTTCACCTTTTTGAACTACCTCCACCAGAATGACCGCCTGATCCATTTCACCAACCTCAGCACCTTCCTCCCCAGCCGCTTGGAGTTTGAGGATTACATGCGGTGGTGTGCGCAGCGATTCAACGATGTGGTGAACTATGGAGAGGAGGTCGTTGAGGTGGTCCCCGGCAAGACTGACGTGAATGGCTCCCTCGTCGACTCGTTCACGGTCAAGTCCCGCAATACCGAGACCGGTGAAATCAGCTCGAGGACGGCTCGCAAAGTGGTCGTCGCTCTTGGTGGCAGGGCGAAGCTTCCCCCGGGGCTTCCTCAGGACTCGCGGATCTTACATTCGTCCCAGTACTGCACTGGCCTGCCGGGCGTGCTGAAGGATGCTCGGGAACCCTACAGCATCGCGGTCCTTGGAAGCGGACAGAGCGCCGCGGAGATTTTCCACGACGTCCAGAAGCAATACCCCAATGCGAAGACGACCTTAATCATGAGAGATACGGCCATGCGACCCAGTGACGATTCACCATTGTGAGCTGCCCCAGTCCTTCTTATTCTATTTGATTCCCTTCGATCTCCCCTCTTTGATGGAGGCTAACAGTTCAAGTGTCAACGAGGTCTTCAACCCCGAACGAGTGGAGAAGTTCTTCAACCTCGCCCCCGCCGAACGCCAACGCTCGCTCCTCGCCGACAAGGCAACCAACTACAGCGTCGTCCGCCTCGAGCTCATCGAAGAGATCTACAACGACATGTACCTCCAGCGAATCAAGAACCCCGACGAAACCCAATGGCAGCACCGCATCCTCCCCTCCCGCAAGATCACGCGCGTCGAAACCAACGGACCCAACAACCGCATGCGTCTTCACGTGAAGGCCGTGAAGGACGAATCGGAAAGCATCGTCGGAGACGGCAAGGACACCGTGGAGGTCGACGCATTGATGGTTGCCACGGGCTACTACCGCAACGCCCACGAGCAGCTGCTGCGCAGTGTGCAGCACCTGCGCCCTGCGAACCAGGAGCAGTGGACCCCCGCCAGAGATTACCGCGTTGAGATGGACTCCAGCAAGGTCAGCCCGGATTCCGGGATCTGGCTGCAGGGCTGTAACGAGAAGACCCACGGACTGAGTGACAGTCTGCTGTCTGTGTTGGCAGCGCGCGGTGGAGAGATGGTGGAATCCCTCTTTGGAAGCCAGCTTGGTGCGACGGTGCAGGACACCACTAGAGCTCGCGCTATGCTGTAAATGGAATTAGGTCTATTGATTGGTGGTTTTCCATGAAGTGAGTTAATCAACTTCACAAATTAAAAGGACGGGGAGGGAAAAGGAAAAAGGGGCGAGGGCGGCAATTGCGATATACAGGCATATCGGTCTTTTGGATTGTGTTCAATTATACCTATATACTTCATTATTACCCATACAGTTTATCTTCTATTCCTTTGTTTGATTCATTCAATTCAATGCTAAGCTTGAAAATGATGAGAGTCAAGACAGTGACTTCACCGCATCTACTTTCTGCACACACAGACTAGAAGAAAGGGCCAACCCCAACTAGGCGCGTGATGAAATTTGCACCCTAGTCGATCTTAGCCAGGGACCCAACTAATTCTCGTAGAAAAAAAAAGACCTTCGGTGGAGCTCTGCTGCGTCAACCGAGGCCGGTGGTCATCGACCCGTATCCGGGAAACTCAGCCCAACAAGCCGGTATGGTACGTTGAAGAGAACTTCAGAAGGGGGAGCCCTAAGCGAAGAATCACAGGAGGGTACTCACTGAGCATTGGAATCGGGAGGATTCCGGGTAGGTATGAGCTGATTTTTGATTTTTGATTATTTACTTGGTTGATTTATTGTTTTTTATTTTCTTTTTTCACAGGGTGATACTAATTTCCAACGGATCCAACAGCCGGCGGTCTGATAATCTGATTAGATAAAAATTTCTTTTTTCCCTCGTTATCAGATGGCGCCATCCCATAAAAAATACCACTCGGTTCCCCCGTCTTGTGGGAAAAAAAAGCTGAAAAAGAACCATGGCTGGAGGTTGGGGCCGCCTTTTTGCTTCTGACTCGTCATTGTCTACGCCACGCTAGCTTGCCAAGATAGTCTAGCACTGGGACTAGGGCGTGTATCCAATTATCCATCCCATCATCATCGGAAATGAAATTGGGAGGGGATGGGTCTGCTTCTACTCCGTACTGATTGATTACGGCCTCTCCACTTTTTTTTCACGTTGCCTGGTTATTTCTTGGGCTCGTTGGTAACTTGGTTCCTGATTTGCAGGGCTGGGATTGTACGGAGGAGTTGACTAGGTTCCTCCGTACTGATTGATTAAGTTGGGTAACTGATTGATTGTTGATTGATAATTTTCGCGAGTCCCACATATGATGGTGCCAAGATGGAGGAGGATATTGGCATCATCGAGTTTATTACCTAGGTCGTATCGTCGGGTTTCTTCGCTATCCACCGATATGCGTTGTTCCTGCACCTTATTGTCGTTCAATGGGTGGGATTGAGGTACCTGCCCTATATTGTATCTGACAATATACTGCGTAGACATCCTCTCAATGTTATGTTGATATATTCTCTTTCTCTCTATATTCCCCCCTCCAATCCCTAGCTTTCTACTACAGACTGCTCCGTATCCAATGATCCATCCATCAATCACCTTGCTTCTAAGTTCCCACCTGTTAACCGATGATCCCATTTTCCCCTTTCCAATTTCCCATTCCCATCTCCATGATCATCCCATTCCCTCCTGACACCTGGATCGGTCGGCCCCAGGCGACGACTCCAGCCCACAGCCGATCATCTCCTATTCCTTTAGGAATGTACTGCGCTCTTCTACCGAACTTTCTTGTCCCTTCTCCACCGCTTTTCTTCACTCCACTAGTCCACCACACCGCACCAACATAACATACCGTACCATCAGGTTAATCAATGCCTGCTACTACAGTAGGGCCAGGGGAATGAATGTGTCTGCAGTAGTCTCCGGCGATACCTTGAGTAGAATTGACCATGGAATTGCTACTTAGCGAGGTACTAAACTAGCTAGCTACGAAATACCAACGCAGTGAGGCTTTTACCCTGGATTTACTGATCTATTCATTAATTTTCTGCATGCTGACACTGACGTATTGTGACTATTGTCAGTTCCTCTTACGTAGTAGTATAGTAGTAGCAGTAGTAGCGGGTCCAGCCTTGCCCTTATACAGACAAGTGCATGATCTGATAATGATATTGTCGCTTCCGTAGTCCCGTGCCGACTTCATCTGGGGCAGATTGTTGGGAGGTATTTCCGCTCGATAGGTTGAGGGGAAAATACAAAAATCATAAGTAGAATGATCAAAAGGTACACCGATCAGAAATTGTCAAAGTAATTATTAACAAAAAAGCTACCGAGGAAAACAAACCAAGAGGGGAAACACTAGAATAAATCAAGTGCCAAAAGTAAAGAAGAAAAAGCAGGGTTATTCCGAGCTCCTGCCGAGATAAGATCTTAGTGCGATAATTGACTTTTATTTCGGGTGTGATCTTTTCCTGCCTTTTTCTTCTTCCTTTTTTTTAATAAGAAATAAGAAAAGCTTTTGGTTATTTTCCACTTTTATTTTACGAATAGTATATAAGCTTTGCTTCTTTTGTATTTATTTAATTTGATTTGTTTTGATTTTTTTGAGAAAAAAAAAATAGAACTTGATTTATTCTCCGACTTTCATCTCACTATATTTACTTCCCTGCGACGTCGGGTGTTTCGGGGAGCGTGGACTCTGGTAGGTGAGGTACTGGCTAGCTCCTATTGGCTAGTGCGGTATTGGGTTTGGTATGATACGTGTTTGACTGTGTATGTATGTATGTATGTAATGATGTGTGGTATGGTACGGTTAGGTCCTACCTATGAGTTCTCCCTCATCGACCAGTTACTATGGCCACAGAAAGAACCTTAGAGTTAGAAAGGCAGAGCTCCTTAAGACGGTGTTGATTTGAAGTTCTATACACACAAATGTCGAGAGACAAGTTTCCTGTGTGCGATCTCGATTTGCATGGATCAAATGTCCTGTTTCCTACCTATAGATTGCCAGTACCCCAGATTACTGACTGGCCCTCATCACCTGGTGGTCTTTATTTTTCTCGCCTATGGCCCCAGTCCCAGTCTGTTCGAGCAGTTGGCAAGCATGACATCCAGATTGACCATGTCTGGAGTTATTTATCTAATGGCCTACGCAGCTGAATACTCTGAATACTATTCACACCGTTGATTATTCATGGCATAACATATGAATACCTGTGATCTATCCTACATGCAAAGCATGACTGTCAAACAAAAGCTCAAAAAGGATATCACACGCTCCATCTAACACAGTCCTGTATACATATCAACATAAAGCTCTAAACCACGTACATGGTCATCATCATGTTCATGTCAACTCCACAAACAGCCGCAATGGCAAGGGGACGAGGAATGCGGACAAATGTCCTCAAACCTCTTCACCGGCTACACTGCGGTACCCCCCGCCACTATACATCTGTGACGGAGATTCGTACATCCGGTTATAGTTGATGGTCTCTCTGCCGAGCATCGCAACTCCAGGCTCCCGTCGGCCGAAATACGGCGTTGAGTCGCACCAGAAATCCCGGCAATTCGTAACAACTCCCCTGGAGAAGGGGTTCTTGGGCCGGCCAGTCCGCTGACCATCGCGCAACCCATCCCGTGCCGTCGCGAAGAAGGCGTCGACGCCGAGAAGAGACGACCATTGCTGTAAGCAGCCATGACGCTGTTGTCGGTGGGATGAGCCGTGTGCAAGCACTGGATTTGGGCCTTGGCCGTTGGATGAGAGACCAGCAGCGTCATATGATGTAGTTCCAGCGGCCATGGCAGAGGCAAAGGCGCGCGAGCTTGGGTAACTCCTGTCGATCGAGTGACCTCTCATGTTCTCGTACGTCGTCTGGTTCCGGGCTATTTGAACCAGCTGAACCGCGCACAACATGGTGATCCAGACCAGCTGAATACAAACCCACAAGACAAGAATGAGGGTAAAGGTGTCGCGTAGCACGTAGGAACACAATGTCTCATTAATGACACTACACGTGGCCTCCGTAGGAGATGGGAGAACATTGATGTCTAGCGCTCGTTAGCAACGTTTACTTCGCTATAAGTTGGTAGGGTTACCCACAGTTGAACGTCAACCGCAAAAACAAGAGGATGCCGATCTCCAAGCAAGTGATATACAAGACAAAGTGGCGTAGATTATTTGTTCCGACACAGTTGTCAATCCATGGGCAATGACTAAAAAAATCAGTACTAGCTCGGTTGCCGGCACCTTTTCGGAGCTTGCTCACTGGTCATGTTTCGACACGCAACGCGCGCAGCGCTTGCAGTGCTTGCTCCGCAGGGGCTTTCGGATCATGCAATAAACACAAAAGTTCTCTTCATCGAATTTCCACTGCTCGAACAGTTCGGCAATAGTAGCCCTCTGCTGATTCCGGCTGCCGAGTTTGGGCACAAATCCGGGGTCCTCTATCATCGAGCAACCATAGAAATACGCAGTCAGGCAGAAAAAGACTGCAAAAGACACATTCGAGATGGGGGATGAAGAAAAAGTCGCTGGAGGCCACTGTCAGTGCTCAAACTCCCGGGGTAAGGTAGACAGCTATCTGGGGTGTACCGTACCTGGTAGGACGTGGAAAACGTATCTAACTCCAACCCAAAACAAAGTGCCCGCAAATACACCCGATAGATATGGCTGGACAAGAAGTCAGCAAAGCAATGGTTGTGAAGGTGGTGGTTAGTAGAATCGGGAACCAAGCGTACTGTTTTCTGGAGTACTCGATACTCAGAAGGACCCTGGCTGGCCGCCTTCTGCGCAACCCACTGTAGGCCAAACACCACCACGAGCGTGCTTGGAATGGAAAAGTAGATCGCCATGTTGCTGAGGATCCAAATGGCCACAAAGACAATAAGGAAGGGCCAAAGGAAGAAGAACTTCGACATCGCGTTTTTGCTCTTCACCCAAGTCGTCAAGCCGAAAGGCAGCGTCTTTGGATTCCCGTCCAAATCATACCCACACTCGTCCAAAGCCCGGTACCACACCCGGGTGGTGTTCATCTCCCCCGCAACTATCGCGGGCGTTTTACCATCACTGGTCTTGGAAAACCTATCCGCTCCATACTCTACGAGTCTTTGAACGCAAGGCAAGGAGCCTTTCACCAGAGCCCAATGAAGGGGGGTAAGACCGCCGTCGTCGACTGTGTTTGGATTGGCGCCCCAGCGCAAGAACAGGTCCACACACGCAGGGAATCCCTTATAGGCTGCCCACATCAGACCCGTATGGCCCTGTTGATCGACGACATCCACCGGAATTTCCTGGTGCAGCAGCAACACCAACAAAAACGCATTTCCATCAATAGTAGCCAGGTGTAAGATGTTGTATCCTTGGACATCCGTGAGAAGAGGGTCTGCGCCGTGTTGGAGGAGTAAATGGACAATGTAATAATGGCATCGCTGGGCAGCCCACATTGCCGGTGTTGCTACCGACTCCCCTCCTTTGGCGTTCACGTCGGCGCCGGAATCCAATAAGAACTTGCACATCGCGTATTGGTTGTTGATCGCCGCCCACTGAGGAAAGAAATGAGGCGTCAGTATAGGCCTCCACTATCGGGGTAGACTTCGACCCCGCAAAAGAGTATTCGGGTGGTACACACATGTAGCGGAGTTATCCCTTCTTCATCGGCATGGGTTGCCGTGGACTTTTTCTCATCGAACAACCTTTGCATGGCTGAGACCTCCCCGATTCGGGCAATCTGCATGACGTCCTCTCCAAGCGGGATTGAACCCCCGCGACGCGCCGGTTTCTTCATCTGACCGAGCTCAACGCTGGCGTTTTGAGGGGCGACCTGTGGAGGCGAGGCCGTGCTTTTGCCCTCGGAGGGGGAGGAGTTGTTGGAATTCGGCCCAGCAGAGCTGCTATTGCTTTGCGACCCCGGCGGAGACATGGTGTGCGTATTTAATCGTGGCCCTCCCATGATTTCTGGTTAGGAGATAAAGCGTCCGACCCAGCCGTCAGCAAGAAGATATGCGAAAAAGGACGAGAGAAGGTGGTAGGCGTTTCGATCTGGCGATTTCTTTCACGGTATCCCAACAACCATTGCGCGGTCAAAGTCACGAAAGGAAGAAAGGTCGGAGACGCCTATACGTCTGAAATCAGATAGAATGACCAGAAACTGGGAGAATATTATGTGCAGAAAAAGAATATATATTCCTCGGTAGAAGCGAGAAAGATCAAGAATATCAAAGAGAACAGAAAATTCGGGGAGGAGACCAGGCAGATGGAATCGAGAAGGGGGAAAGGCTGAGGCTCGGGGGATGCGCAAGAGCCAATTGTCTTCTAGTCTATTCGGGGAGACAGCCGCACTGGAGACTCGCCGACCTTAATGTAGGTGCCTGGAGCCCGATTTCCACACTACTAATCAAGTAGAGGTTAGTGCCTTACAGGTTACTCTGTATATAGGTCATCTATCTACACAGGGGGAAGAGGCAGGTTTGTCTTTCCTTTGTGTTTTCCTTCCATGAAGAATAGTCATTGGTTTACTGTTTACTGCCTGATGATGGATGTCATCCGCTGATTCAGCATCTCAACATAGAATTGTTACTATTTTAGAGACCAACTTGGACAATCCCGTGAAACATGATTATGCAGGTTCCTTATTGTTCTCTAATTGATAGACCAGCACATTGAAACTCAAAATACTCAATACTTAAGTGCCCAAATGAGTAATGCATTGGGTTATTCCAAGAAGCCCCAGCCTGGTCCAGCCACCACAAAGAGCCCCTTCCTTCCTCCTACAAAAAAGGGGGAAGGATGAAAGAAAAATGACAAAAGAGGAACAGAAAACAAGGAGAGGACGAGGACACTTTCGACATAGAAGGGCAGAAAATTGGTGCATCTTAAATATGATTGGGCCCAGGCCTCAATGCAAAATAAACCCGTCGGATGTGGCTTTGAAGGGAGATATCGTCCATAGGTTCGACGTCAGTGGTGTAAGATTTGACACGCTCGGGGGCCGGTAAGTTCCCTGTCTGCCACTGAAGGTGCTTGGGCGGCCCATAGCTATGGCCTAATCAACCAAGTTGGCGATGTTATTCAGGAACAATCCTTCTCAATGCCTATGGACCGCTCAAGGTACTTGACCTGGTCGACGAGCATTTGGAGATCAACTCGCAGTTCGAAGTCTGCAAGGAAACAGAAGCTGATCTCGAGCTTCGACAGTTCGCCCTCACTCACCCCACCGACTCTGGCTACACGACGGTGGGGATAGCTGAGATCTTCAAGGGATTTCATGGCCACGCGGAGACTAGCCAGCACTAGGCGGTGCATGTTCCTCGAATTCACTGACACGACCTTTTCAACCACGGCCATTCTAGTAATGTACACGCTTGCAGCTATGTAAACAGCTGTCGACATCGGACAGTATCGGTGCAGCCGTTGCAGATAGTCCTTCATGTTGATCGGTGGTTCGCGCTTTGAGACGAATCTTTTGGATAGGACGCTCTGCTGAACGAAATCATGACCGGCCCCGACATAACCTGCCGGAGAGCAGTGCAACTCGGTGACCCTTATTGGAGTGACTTCTCCGCTGGAGATGCTATCACGCCGAGACCCAGACAGGCTCACCGAGTTCCTGTCAACGGGCAAACCTTGGTCTTCAGCCAACTTGACAAGCATCTCGATGTTGAGGTACAAGAGCTCTAGGGCAGTTGCTGGTGGGATATCGAAATCTTTCTTAGCGGCCTCCAGGTCTTGCTGTGCTGTCGAATTATTTGCGCTTGCGGATAAAACCTGCGCATCTCCATCGCGTCTATCATCGGGACCGTCCATTGCGACAGAGAGCAAATCTTTGGCAATCCGGTTTTATCAACGCAAGGAGCACACCTGGGCTCACAGGTAGATAAGGCTGCTTGGGCACGAGTGGCATTGTGGGACCTAGCCCAAATTATGACGTGACCCCAGGTACCTGTGTTTCGTGGACTTGAGTTCGACTTTTGGTGGTTTGCGCTCGAAAGCTGGAATTAGAGGTATTCCAGTATGAGATGCCGAGGCAAGGGAAACAGGAAAGGTTTCTAGATGATATGATTCATGATCGATGCTGCCAGTTCGATATTTCGCAAAGAAAGCAACCTTGTAATTTGACTAGTACAAGCTTGTGGATGATTGGATCTCGGGTGTCAAAGCAGTCCAAGATAACAGGCTCACTGTTGTTCACATAAGGCTGGTTATGACAATAACAACAGAAGTGAATGGTGAAGAAAGGCGTGTCAGCACATAACCATAATACACTTAAGTGAGAATGACTGAATACTGCCAAAAACCACGGTGACAGGATGTAGATGGATACACAGAAGTAGTGGGATCTCGACTGGTGTTTGTCGGTCGGACATTCAATTTCCCGATGTCACATCTGGAGATCTGATGTCTAATGGTACCCAAGTGCCTCCATCTACCGGTATTTGATTCGTTAAATCAAATCAAATCGATACATACATCTATACGCATAGGTACGTTGTCCACATATACAGACAGACTGAATAGCGTTAAGTGGGTATCCTTCTATTTCGATGAAATACAGCAAGCCATCGCTTAAAACAACATGACTTCAACGCCAACGCCCACGCCGTCCATATCCATATCGCTCTGTATCATCAAATGATGTCCTCAATTCGTCAGACCGAGATGCTCTAGAACGATCAGATGGGCAGCTTCGCCCCCAGACGGTGTATGATCTGAGATTATTCCCCAGATCCGCGTAGCTCCGCCTCGATCGAGCTTCGGCGTAAATGCGCACTGCCGCCTCTGATATCTGGCGTCTGCCATCTTGAATAATCCGTGGTGACATGCGACTGGTGCGGGACCGATTTGCAAATGTTCTTTCCGTTCCACGCGTCTCTCCGAATGGGGGCGAACGATGTCTTAGAGACGGGCTGCTGTTGAATGAATCGCGCCGGTTGTCCACTCGGACATGGGGAGTCTTTTGATTCGAATGATCAAAAGAGGCGCGTCTTCGACCACCTAGCTTACTAGCTATGCTGTGTTCTCTGGCTCGCCTGGTGTTTTGAACATAGTCCACCTCCTCGGAAAAGCGTACCTGTCGCCGCCGCCCCATGTTCCTCTCGCCGTCGCTGTCATGGATGGGGCTGTTGCTTTGATGGATCTCCACCGGCCGACTGGCAGTCCGGCGCTGTCTCGTGCGCATAGGTTCACGCTCACTGACGGGAGTTCGTTCTCTAGGGGGTCGGGGATTTCTCGTTGGCCGGCTAGGGCGAGAGTAACGAGGGCTGCAAGAGGAGGAACTGTCCGAATCGTCTTCTGATTCAGTATCTTCGAATCCATCGGCATCACTATCTTGCAATGAGTCGGAACTTGTTTGAGTAAACGTCGACCGGCGAGGCCTTCGCAGTATCCTCGTTATTACCTCCGGGGAATCGACCGCAAAAGGGCGGGGCGACCTGTCGCGGCGTCTTGATGGGCGTAATTCAGGATCGCCGACACGATCTGTGAATCGCCTGATGGATGGTAGGTCGAACTGGAATGATCGACTTCGAGGTATCCAGTGTCTTGCAGGACTCTCTTCGGCATGACACTCCCTATTCTGTTCCCGTGGCTCGATGATGTGAAACCTTGGCACCCTCATTGTTTGTGAGATCCGTGGCAGACTGTACGAAGATTGCTGATATCGACCCCAGTCTTGTGTCTGCGTGCGCCTGCTAGGTTCAGTGCTCAGGTTGAACAGACTGCGACGGGTGACTTTTTTCGTGCGGATCTCTATCGGATACACATCCGCGTAGTCCTTCCCGGGGCACATCCTTCGTTATCGCGCAATATCCTGGTAAGTTGGGTTGGTTATGTGCCCAAGGTACAGTTCGATGAACCACAACAGAGCTGGGAGACTGGAGATGCTTCGAGAGCGAAGGAGAAGATATTTAAGGCCCAGGCGTACTTCGACAACAACAGCCTGGGCGTCCCGAAAGTTTGATAATCGAACAACCAAAGACCCACGTATAACAATGACGGGACATATTAATAGTCACTGACAAAGAAGAACTCGATCTCTTACGCGGCTCAACTTGCAGACACAAATGGATTCTCGCAAACCTACAATGTCATGGAAACAAAGACAGACATGTGGTGGTGTCGAAGTCATGCGTTTCGAACGCCTGATTTGGAACTGGACTCAGCGTGTGTACTTTCTTTGAAGCAACGCCCCGGCGGTGGAAAACGAGCCCGGGAATGTTTTTTGGCTTTAAAGGTCACAGAATGATATGAATGATTACAAGAGGCTTAGCGAGCATTCACACGAAATGGGCACACCTAAGGGCGATTTTTTCAGGGATCTTGGTTGCAGTAGCCCGGAGAGGGTTCCTTGCAGGTTGGCATATAGCAGTAATTAGTAGCTAAGACGACAGTAGCCTCCCGAACCCAATTGTGCCACTGGCAGCCTAGTCTATCGATTGGGTAAACGGACTCTAAATAGGCTTGCATTCGAAGGAGTTCACCGCAGACACCCCAAGAACAGCCCCCGTATCTCTCTACCTAGTGGGTCCATGAAGAAAGAAGGGGTGGGTGGGCAAGAGAGTCGACTGGCGTCGGTCACAAGGGCTCACTTGAAGTCAGCCGGCCCAACAGAACAAAGGGCAAAGACAAAAGAGCGTCTCCGACAAAGGGGGACTAAAAGGGGCGGTCCATGGAAGAGGTGACATCACAAAAGGCTTTTTTTCAAAACAAAGACATCAAGAGGCACGAGTCACAACTACGCCCGCATCAACCAACTGACGTTGCTGTCGATGTGGGACCAGCCCTACCGAGGAGTCCATTGTATGCGCCCGAGGGTACCTACAGGGCGCGGGCGACTTGCATCCACACTAAGGCGTGGTCCCCCGGCCGTCGACAACAATCTCATTCAACTGGCGCAGGAGCAGTATCTTGGGAATATCATGTTTGCACATGGTACGCATGAATGATGTCTCGCAGGTCCCGCCATGTGGGCCAAACTGAAGGACGAGAACAGATCAGATTGGTTGGATGGCAGGGAATAAGATGGATGACTGGATAGACTGATGCATGCCTGGCAGCCTGCAGGTGATGTGGCGCAGATCTACCTAGGAGGATTTCGCACCGCCACCGTCCTGTGTGGCTAGGCATTGCGATGGATGTAGCTTTTTAAGAAGTGCCTGTTGTAAATATTAAATATCATAGTGTTGGAAAAATCATATCCGCCAGTTGCGCTTCATTACCCTAGGGCGAGGCTATCGCGAGACATTATGATCAGTGGAGACAGCCACAGCTCTAGTCCATCCATCTACGTCAACGACCAATCCTTCTAGGACGAAGATTAGGCACAGGAGGTGTGACCCTTGTGTCTTGTCGCGCTATGACCATTGCTCCATGAAATTACTCTGGGCCTTGTCTCGTCGATAGATCACGTCCAGATCGAGCTTCTGCATCCCTTTCTGGAGACGACCCAATTCAGATTCAAGGACTTCCAGTCCTCTCTCGTGCTCGAGATCGACAAGCGAGCTTTGGAATTGTGAATTCGTTTCCAAGGAAGACAGGAGAAGCATGGATGCCTGGTCCTTTGGGATCAGCTCATCCTTTAGCGGCGAATCAGCCGCAATGCTATAGCTCCGCAAGCATTCAAGCGCCTGCTTTCTCTTTTCAGCAAGCTCGGTAGCACCGCCACCCTTCTCTTCCGAGCCAAGCACCGACTCATATGATAGTCCTACACGGCGCATTAGGTTAGCAAGCACCGGGGTTTCCGGGGCGGAGTCAACGCGGTCGGGAGCAAATGCTGCCATTGGGGCTGTGGAAAGTCTTCTCAGTGTGTCCCGCCTTGGAGCGCTTTGCTCGGAGAAACGGTCGCCCATCTCTAATCGGTATGTGGAGGTAAACGATTCGAGAATACCACAGAGCGACTCGCGAGTCTGCAAGGACTTTGTGAGGTCCTTGGCCGAAGAGGTCATTTCACCAATTATGTCGGAGATCTGCCAGTGGTGAGCAAGGAAATCAGAAAGCCAAAGTAGCAACATACATTGTCAAGTTTCTCATGAGATGCAATGCGCTGCTTGCCATGGTGGTTCTGGAGTTCTCGCAGTATAGGCCCGCTACACTGTTGCTTCGTAGACATCTCTGCTAGTATTTCGATTTCGGGGTATAACGCTTCCAACTCCTCGGACAGGCCGGACCACGCATCGTCCTCGATACCCGTTGGGTTGTTGAAGCCCGCATTGTCGGATTCGATACCTTCTAGGTATAGACGGTCCAGCCGACAGTGTATTTCTTCGGCGAGGTATCTTGCGAGTAGAGACTCCAGCTCTAATGTCCGCTTAATTATCAAGGAGTCATCACCGCCACCCTGTATTGTAGATGCGGTCTTCTCTAGATTCAGAATGACCTTGTCGTCTTCCTTCAGTCGAGCTGTCAGGGAAGACAGTATCCGTTTGCCTTCCGCTACCGCTTTCTCCGTTTCACTCTTCAAGTCGATTTCCAACTCTTGAGCGAGGTCACTGGACTGTAGAGTGAGTTCAGCAAAATGTCGAGACGACCTAATTGAAGAAGCTTGCGTACCGCCGAAGATGTATTTTGTCGCCCCAACTCGTGCTTGGACCGCAATCGCTCTACATCTCTTGCCGATCTCAATTCCTGCTCATTTTTGACGCTGCGTTGGTTTCTGAGGTTTTCTTGTTGCGCCGCTAGAATGTCGACCTGTTTCCTGATCTCTCCCGTGGAAGCGTTCAACAAATCGGTCGCCTTTCGCAGTTCGCCGTCGTGTAACGGCCGGGTCGCACCAGTGTCGGAGTCATGGAGAATGTTTCGAAGAATGCCCGAGCTGTCTAGCTTCGAATACCTAATCAAAAAGCCGCAGGGATTAGCCAACAGAACGCGATAAATTGGATCACAGTGGAACAGCCATACAGCGCCAGCTCTTCTTGCGACAAAAGAGTGTCCGGACTCAAATGCTCCTCCACCCATTTGACGCTCTCGAGATGAGTCGTCGCGTCGTTGAAAGCTGACTCGATATCATCGCGACCGGCGCGAATATTGCGGTCTTTCAATAAAGATATTACTGTGGTTGCTGGATCTGTGGAGCTCTCCATTGTTTGTTCGTTCGGTTCGCGATGGTGAATAGACAGGAGCTGGCATAGTTGGGAATTATTAGTCAGTTAGTTACCAGTAATTTACCCAAACTGTCCGTCTGTCATCACCGCTGGTTACCGCTTCAAGTGCCATCTTTAGATGTACCATCCTTTTACCACTCCAAGATTGCCGTCGTTTTAGGATGTCTTGCTTCTTCAATCTTTGAACAAACAAGTTGTCCTAAATTTGGCTCAGATTGCCTCGGTCCTAACTTTAGATGATCTTTACAGCAAGAAGACTCAAATCTATATAACGTTCTAAACTATCTACCTAAGCTCCAGGTCAACTAAGCTCAGGTTAACTAGGCTCAGGTAAACTAGGATCCATGGGCCGGCGCATGGGCGGCTTCATGCACTGCTGGGTAGTACCAGGTGGTGACCGCGATAATAACATAAATCAACACACAGAGCCCGCCTTCAAGGTAGTTGGACTTGCCATCCCTCAGGAAATTTCCGACCACAAGAATAGACAAGACAACGGTGACGATCATGAAGATTTCGAAGTTCAACCCCATGTCCTTTCCGAGGCCCCAGCCAACGATCACCACAAGCGGTGCATTCAACAGGGCGGTCTGGATCGATGGGCCAAGGCAGTGGAACAAGGCGAAGTTGATTTGGTTATCCCTATACCATGATTAGTTTATGTTTGCGTTTTTCGAGACACGTTGGGCGTGGAATGTACTTACCAGGCTTCGTCGATGGCCGTCAAATGCTCCGCTGCCTTTTCAACCAGCGGAACCAGGATCAGGCCCATAAAATTATCCGGTACTCCCCTCTCGACGATATGCTCGATCTCTTGGACCAAGAAAACAGCCGACATACACACGCATGCAAGCGACACCGCAATAGCGATGAGACACTCAACCAGGGTGAGTTTGGCACGTCTCTTCTCCTCCTCCCGATCTTCATCCCGATGCTCGTCTTTCTCGAGGACCTCGTCGAAGATGCTGTGATGGCTGTGGAGGTTGTAGAATAGGTACCTAAAACGAGTCAGCAAGAGATACCACGACCGGGGTTGCAACGTGTGTAAACCCACATGAGGAAGGCAACAAGGAGGAGCACAGCAGTTGCTCTGCTAATGGTCAATGTGTATTCATTCAGGAGTGCCTCCGGGAGGGGTGCGGTGGCTTTGGAGAGCACAGCTGCGTTGAAAGCACTCGGAATTAGCAGCCCGAACCCTGCAACCAGCAGGAGCCCCGAGCCAACTTCGCTAACTGCTTCATGGAAGACCTGTTCTTCCCGCCCAAAACCACCGAGGAAGAAACATAATCCCAAGCAGAGCAGAAGATTTGCCAAGATCGACCCCAGGATAGCGGCCTGGATGACGACAAAACTGTCATTTTTGATCAAAACCATAAAAAGAACAATCTCGACGACCGAGCTCAGGGTTGTCTCCAGTAGAACACCAAGCACCTTGGGTAGCTTTTTCGCTAACTCCCCACCGGCAAAACCAAGAAGATTCGCCGAAGGAACCATGGCGATATAGTTAAGCGCAAAGACCCATACGTGAAGGTCTGGTCGAACAAAATGGAGCACAATAGCCGGCGGAACAAACGGCCAGAGGACGTTCACCAACATGGACAAGGTGCAGGTGCTCCTGAAGCAAACCTTCAAGAACAGAAACGGATGGATCCCGCTTCGACCACTCTCACCAGCAGTGTCGACGCGAAAAATCGCGCTGTCGGCATGGTGGACTTTCTCGTTGTGGGAGGGAAGCAGCCCGTCGTGGTTTGGGTTCGCTCCTGGATGGTCTGGATTCGGCACAAAGGCGTCTGGATATCCCCCTTCCCGTGGGGATGATTCGTGGGTGCTTCTCATGGCGACACGAATTGGGTTCCGGTCCGCGGACGGGCGCTCGGGGGTAATTATCTTCTGTGTCAGTCAGGAAGTATGGAATCCTTCCTATCCTACACAAAGACGGACAAAAGTTGTAGAGAATCCGAGTGGCCCGGTATTAACAGTTTGTTGGTAGATTCTTTACACAATTATATGAGAGAAAAATGAGATAGAAGGGCTTCGAGGAAAAGTGACTGGACTTGGAAGTGGGCCAGACACGGGATTTATTGCAAAGATCAGCAACAATGAGGCTTGTGTAAACAATCAACGAGTAAGGGGCCCTCGTGTCGCTTGACGGAATATTTTTAGAAAAGAATCAACAAAACAAGAAAGGGACCACCCAGGTAGGTTTATATGTCACAATGATAATTGACTCGGCGAGACCCAATCTGTAGGAATCGGGGAGGTCGAGCGAAATTATATCAAAACATGGGGATCACGAACATTAATTCAGGAGACCACCCAAGACTACCAAGAGCACCAGCGTTTTAGGTTCAGCCCGCTTGGTGAGCGGCGGTGGTCGTGGCAGCGCAAGACTCGTGGGAGGGAAACAAACCCATGTATCAAGACTAACCCAAGTGGGTGAGGTGCGGTATTGCTCAATTGTAAGATTCTATGGATATGCTTTATATCAACGCTTCAGGATCGGGTACTGAATTGATCTGCCAGTACTGCGTACAGTTGTACTCCGTATACTCCGTATATGGTAAGTGATTGATGGCCCAAGTGGTGCTGTCTCCATATTTATAGTGTGAGTTGACAGCATAGCCACCTTCACTAGGTACTTGGCGGTGTCTTGGGGCTCAACGAGAGAGTTTTTGATTCATTTGCAATAACATGGGTGTGTGTTTGCTCTGTATATCATACCGACAAACCACACAGACGATGCACGGGTTTGTTGGCTTATGAAGAGGCTCACTGCAGCAGTACTTCCCTTAAGCACGCATGTGGCTATCCGCATACCATGACTCGACCTATCAACCGTGTAGGATTTCGCAAGGAATCGAGAAAGGTTATTTTACGGTGGCACCTATTAGGGCTAACGACATTTCAGCTGACAACTGTGGGTGGCAGACTGACTGGTGATCATCGATATCGTAAGATTCTTTACAGGCGAGGCTGCTGTACCCTAAATTTGGTGGCATATAGAGGCTCAATGTCGTTCTGGAATACGAAAGAAGTAAGCTGACATAATAAATATATCAATGGCGTTGTAGCCAGCGTTGAAGAATTGGGCAATCGTGTATGATATACAATACTTGAATCTCTTGGATTATTTGACCAGCTTGCCTCCATAGACAAGAGCATCCTCCTTAGATATTGACTGACCCACAAGTAATTACCTCTGGTATCTTGGAAGTGTCCTATAATGTAGCCATTTTGATTTATGACAATCTGTCGAGCAATTATACTACACCGTGCAGTGGATTGGTGTCGTTATTGGCCCAAAAAACCTCACTATATATGTAGCTATTGAAGATGTTAATCTTAAATATGGACCATGTGTACTTAGGATAAGTGTACATGGTCACTTGGCACGGTAAGCGACTTCGGTTGATCTTTTTGGTACACAGGTGTAGTTGCACACCAAAGTGTATCATAACAAATTCGATGGCTGCCTAGGCTAGCGATATATACAAAGTACGAAGTACCCCTAAGAACTCAGGGACTCAGGGACTTAGAGAGTCAAAGTGACAGGCTGGGCAATCAATCCGCAACGGTACGCCGTCCTTGGCTCAATGGCTACCTAGATCCTGCCGTGCGGTGTATTAAGGTACGGTATTGTTACTCAGATCGACATGCTGATCCCTCAACTAGTCCATTGATTTTCATCAACAAATGGACATGTTGGTTCCAAAGACTCTAGGATGGTATGTCATGTGATGGTCAATCAACATCTGCTTTCTATCTTTCTAAATTCTGGGGTTCGCTCCTCTAAAATCCAAAAGTAATGGGGGAATAGTAGTACTTCATGGACGTTGTTCTGGTGGTATGGTTATGGCGAATACCTGCGCTATACTACGATACCTCCAAATCAACTAAAATGCATGCAGGGATTTCTTCGGTGGCCAAACGGCTACTATCGGGAGGGGCAACTTCTTACGAGATCTTTTTTCCTTGGTCGCAAAACACAGCTCTTGAACCTTTCATTAAGGTCCTTTTGGATTCAAATACAATTTTTCTTTTTTTTTTCTATTTTCTGTTTGTATTTTCTGCGCATAACTGACTGAGTCTTCCATCTTGAGATTCAAAATGTCTTCAATCACCGCACCCGGTATCCCTCCGGTGGCCCTGGATACCATCACCCAGCACATTGGCAATACCCCTCTGGTGCGCTTGAACCGCCTTCCGCAGAGCTTGGGGATTGAGGCGAAGGTGTATGCGAAGTTGGAATATTTCAATGCCGGTGGTAGCGTCAAGGATCGCATCGCTCTGCGCATGATCGAAGAGGCAGAGCGATCTGGGCGCATCAAGCCTGGCGATACCCTGATCGAACCTACCAGCGGAAACACGTATGTCGCGCCTCACCTTTCTTGTTTCTCCTTTGGATTAATTGTGGCTGGTGAACTGACAGAATCTCCTAATTGTTGTCTATTAGTGGTATTGGTTTGGCTCTTGTTGCGGCCGTGAAAGGTTGGTCTGCCCTTATTCGAACTGTCGCTCGCTGGTCCGTCGCTAATCTTTATCTCCTTCTCTAAATAGGATACAAGACGATCATCACTCTCCCGGAGAAGATGTCTGCGGAGAAAGTCTCTGTACTACGGGCCTTGAACGCAACTATCATCCGTACCCCCAACGAAGCCGCATACGACTCCCCCGAGTCCCACATTGGCGTTGCTAAGCGTCTCGAGAAGGAGTTGCCGAATGCCCATATTCTGGACCAGTATGGGAACGTGAACAACCCCCTGGCCCACGAACTCGGCACAGCGGAGGAGATCTGGACCCAAACCGATGGGAAGATCAAGGCCATTATCGCCGGCGCGGGAACCGGTGGCACCATCACCGGTCTGGCGCGAGGCCTGAAGAAGCACAACCCGAATGTTCAAGTCATCGCGGCTGATCCTCACGGTTCGATCCTGGCCCTGCCGCCCACGTTGAACCAAGAGCATGTCAACGACCCCTACAAGGTGGAAGGCATTGGATACGATTTCATCCCCGAGGTTCTTGACCAGAGCGCCGTCGACAAGTGGTATAAGACTGCCGACAAGGAATCATTCCAGTACTCTCGGCGTTTGATCGCCGAGGAGGGTCTTCTTGTTGGCGGGAGCAGTGGAAGCGCGATCTCGGCTCTGGTGCAAGCTGCGAATGACTACAAGTTCACCAAAGATGACGTTGTGGTGGTTGTCATGCCCGATAGCATCCGTAGCTATCTCACAAAGGTATGTCTACGGCGGACCTCCCTCATTCATATTACCAGATACTAATATATTTCTAGTTTGCCGACGACGACTGGCTCGCCGCAAATGGCCTCCTCACCCCTCCCTCAGAGGAAGCTACCCCTCTTTCCCCGGCCCTCCGGGCGCAGGACAAAAAAGATCCTTTCGCTGGCTCGAAGGTCCGATCCTTGCGGTTGAAGCCGATCACCACCGTCCGTCCCGATACGCCCTGCGAAACAGCGATTGAAATGATGAGAGACCGCGGATTCGACCAACTACCCGTGCTCGCGCCGTCCGGAAAGAGACTCGCCGGCCTCGTCACCCTGGGTAACGTCCTCAGCCGAGTCACCCACGGACGCGTATCCGGAAAGAGCCCCGTCTCCGACGCCATGTTCAACTTCAACAAGATTTCCGAGGTCGTTACGGACCCCAGAGACATGGGGCTGGCCAGTCCCAAGGCCTCCGGTGACGGAAACACGGCACCCAAAATCAAGAACCGGAAATTCGTCGAGATCACGATGGATACCCCGCTGAGCGCCTTGAACCGGTTCTTTGAGTGGAACAGTGCGGCTGTCGTCACGGAGAAGGACGAGCAGGGCATCATGAGACCCGTGGCTGTTGCCACCAAGGTTGATCTGCTCACATGGATGCTCCATAACCAGAGCTCTAACTGAGATTAATGTGTTGAGACTTTCGCTTGCAGACGCAAGTGTGCATTGTGGGAAGAATATATGTAATTAAGGGATTTTGGCTCTACCTATATAAAGTATAGAAAGTGAAAGGAGGCATGAACATACGCCATCATTCATATGGTCCGTCATGTTAGATGGGATATGGTATTAAAGTTCTCATGGTTTTTTCCAAGTCAACTACATATAACGTAATGCTGTTACAAGACAGGACTATCACCAAGACGCCTTTTTGTTGGTATCGCAGTGACTCTCACACCGCACCAAAGTTACTTTGTGTGGCACCACCCCAGCTCCATCGTAGCTCTACGGGTCTCCAAAGCTCTCGGATGACAAGGTTGAGGTCTATAAACTCAAAAATCCCAGAATATGTTATCGCATTCCCTTCGATATTGACTATACATCTTATAGCGACAGTCTCACGTGTAATATAAAAGAGTCATGACATTATATTCCGATACACCACTGTCCCCAGGATCCTTGATATATGACATTTCCACTGTTAAATAACTACCCGTCACGCATAAATAGAGCTTTATCATGTTGGACTTCAAAGTCCTTCAATTCCATAGTATGGCTGCACAATTTCCCCAGCCGAGATAATGAAGCGAGGATACATCAGAGGTCTAATCAAAGACACTGCCCAATCCACTCTTCCCATTTTCTCACGCCGGCTCCGAGTTTACCCTCCTCATCCCCCTTCACAGCACCACCGACAACATCAACGCTGATGCCAATCTCGTCTCCGAGGAGATCAAAAGTGAACGTGTCGTTTACGTCGTTACTGCCCAAGATATCGTCCTCTTCCTCTCCCGTGCCAGAATCAGCGTTCGCATCCATGAGACCCTTGCTCTTTGACTTGCGTATCCGGTCAATTTCAGCCTCGAGGCATTGACGCACCGATCCCGGCGGGAGCGCAGTGAACAGGTCTTGTTTGTTGGCAGCCACTAGGACGGGGATTTCGCCGGCGACCTTGGCCACATTTTTGTTCTTTTTCTGCAAAGCACGTCGTTGAAGAACGAACAGAACTTCATATAGGTATGAGGCAGTGTCACGGAGGGTTTCGGGGTCGGACAGAGCGGCCGTGTCGACCATAAACAGAACTCCACGTGCTTTCATGTTGGAGTCGTTCGACGTTGACATGGTCGCCAGCTGGGACAGGCCCTGAGACCCGCGCAATTTCCCATGGCCGGGTGTGTCTTTCACTCGGTATTTGACCGGATTCCGGGAGATGTCTTTCAATGACGAATCGTTGACGGACCGATATCGGTTCGAGGCGGTTTGAACAGAGGCGGGGAGGCTCACGGTTGCCAGTGTAGATGATTGGGAGGTATGCGTGGTGTGAGACAGCCTTTTGGCCAGTTGGGATGATTTGGATTCGAGCTGACCGATAGAACAACGAATTAGCGTCTCAGAGCTGGCTTGGAAGGGATTGACGATTTAACGATAAAAGGGAAGCTTACCAAGGACACAAAAGCAGTCTTGCCGGCGCCACTAGGCCCAACAAGGAGGAAGTTGGAGGATGGAGGTGAGGCAACCCTGCTGTAGAAGATCATATGAAGCAACACGGGCAACCCGAAGGCAAACAGAGCCGTGAGAGCAATGGCTATAGGATTTCCATCGAGCAACGCAGTTGCTATCCCCGACAACGACTTCCAGTCGCCATGGTACTCCATAATTGCTGTGCTGTGCTCGGTCAATTAGGACAACAGAGGAAGGACGTGGTTTTCGACAGTGCAAGCGGCAAGGCGCGGGGAAAGAGATCAATTATTCTCTCCGTCTGGTTTGTGAACCCTGAAATCAAGCTCTTTGCGGAATCTTTGCCAGTGACCACTATCCAACCATTTTTGAGTTCAGTGCAGGACCCGAACCCAAACTACTAGTTTCTTGCTAGGTTGGGGGTGGACGTTTGGTCGGTGGGCCAGGAGCTTTGTTGGGCGGAAAGAAGACGGGAGGGAGCATCGGATCATGCCACCTCTTGGATTTCGGAGATCATCCCGCGGCTGGCCGTCTACCCTGTAATTTGCAAGACACCGGTGTTACTCTTTTGTTTGAATGTTATGCCTAGTAAATGCTTATTGCTTTATTGATTATGCAGTCATTGTTAAATATTATATGGACTACTCCAGGTTTCCCAATGTAAAGATCAAGCTTGTCCTGACCCGCGACTCCATATTCAAGACAAAAAGACAGAAATCCGAGACCAAAGCAGAAAGAGAAGAAGCTAAAAAGCGCTAGAAATTTGAAAGCATTCCGTATGATCAACACCTAGAACCCCGTGTCATGCATGGTGACAATTATGCCTTGTTGTTATCCTTTGAAGAAGAACCAGAACTCCGTTTAACGACGCGCTCGTCTTTGACGCAGTGTTTGAGGATCCAGGGGTGCCGTTGGATTTCGTCGAGTGTGATCCGCTTTTCGGGATCAAGGATAAGTAACTAGGGAATGTAAGTGGCCATACAAATGTGGAGGAGGAGCAATGTAGACATACCCTCTTGATCAGATCTTTCGCCTCCGGGCTCACGAACGAAGGCACTGACATGTCCGCTCGGGCAATGCGCCTTTGTGTCATGACGGGGGTATCTTCAAATGGAGCTTCCCCGACCAGGAACTCGTAGGTCAATACTCCCAAGCTCCACAGATCGACCTTTTCACTGTAAAAGTTGTCTTGCTGTCCCGGCTTGAGCATCTCTGGGGGCAAGTAGTCCAGAGTTCCGCACATGGTTTGACGCCGGTTGTTGGGTGCATGGACACTCCAGCCGAAGTCACTAATCTTGATCTCTCCATGTATACCAACCAGAATGTTCTCGGGCTTAATGTCACGATGCATGACATGCTTCTTGTGCAAATATTTCAAAGCAGCAGCCATCTGGGCGATATACTGAGCAGCCTTCCACTCCGGGAAACGGTGTTCCTTTCGGAGGTGCTTGTACAGCTCGCCACGGCCTGCAAACTCCAAAATCAGGAAGATCCGTTTGCTGTCGTGGAAGTGGCCATAAAGCCTTAGGACGTTGGGATGACGAAGGTTGCTCTGGATCTCAATTTCCCGTCTCACTTGCTTCTGCACCCCACCCTGTTGCAACTCAGACTTGTGCAAAACTTTGAGCGCGCACACAAAGCCGGAGGATCTCTCCTTGGCTAGGTAAACCCGGCCAAATTTCCCTTTTCCAAGCGGTTTTCCAATCTCAAACATCCCAAGGTGTAACTTCTTTGGTTCGGGCTGTTCGTAGAGTGCTGATGTATGGCGCTGATCGCCATTTTCGTCTACAGCACGATGCGAGAGTCCGCGCTGATGCCCCTTGCTGGGAGACGAGCCAGCACTCATCGCATTCACCTTGTTGTCATTTGTGTTTTGTAGGGCGAGCTTTAGAAGATTGGATCTGCTGTTGCCACTGTTCGACTGCGCCGTGGGCCCATGGCCCGCATGGGACACAGCGGTCGACAAGGAGCCCTGTAGTGTGACAACAATCAACACACTAAACCTCTTAATCCAGGTGTGGATCCAACAGCAAATACCTTGTGCTTGGGATAACCACTGCTAGGAGCTGCGGATTCATTCTCATCCTTGACGGAAAGATGCTCTAATCGAGCTTCTAGTGTCTTGGTTGACATGGCGACGGAGCTTCGAAATAGCTTCTAGGGTGTGGGAGAAACAACAAGAGAGTAAAGAGTTGTTACAAAGGAATCGACGCGTTCATATAACCATAATCGGTTTCTTGATGGTTCTTCTAAATCGACGAAAGCAGGGTGTTGGGTGGTAGCGCAAGTTGGCGAGGAATAGATTGAAGGAAACTGTGTGAGATGGTGCTGAGGGCTGAGCGGGTGTTTATCGCAACCGCCCTGCTAGTGTCACCCCAGCAACGCTATCGGGCCACCTTTTCTCCGACCTCCGCGGGGTAGGATTAACACTCTATTGCACCGCCAGAGCAGTGGTATCACGTCAAGACTAAGAAGCCATCCTGCTGGTATTTATCTAAGCTTCAAGGAACTGGATCAAAGCTACAAGTTTTCTTCTTTCATAATTTGAACAAATATTGTCGACCCCATGGCGGATTCAGTTACCATGTCCCCAGGAGCCCAGCAACCCAGTTCTATCTCGGTCAAGGGTTTCAAGATCACCACGCAGAAGTTGCCAATCCTAAAGGCTGATCCGATTGAAGACATGACCAAGAAGCTCGGAATTACGCCACCCGAAATGATATTCGGCGATAATTATGTTGCGATAGAGCATGAAAAAAGTGGCTGGGGTATCAACTTCAATGCTTTTGATGCTTTGGATCGGGTTGATAAAACTGGCTCATCAATGCTGAAGGTTGCATATTCGAGAGAATGGCAGAGTAGCAGGTATGGACGTATAGTTGTTCGCAGCGACATCGCATATTCAAGCGCTGGGCGGCTAACACTTGACCAGAGAGAAAACCCATGAAGGAATCAAGGAAATTGTCAAGCCGTTTGACTGGTCCTACAGTACAGACTACACGGGCACTGTCTCTCGTAACGCAAGGGATTTTGAACCGACAACGCAAGCCATACCGATCGAGTTACTCAAGCGACCGGACCCGATATTGTTTTTCGATGAGGTCATCCTCTACGAGGATGAACTTGCGGACAACGGCATCGCTATGTTATCCTGCAAGATACGCGTAATGCCGGACCGGCTGCTTCTGCTTTTAAGATTCTTCATGCGTTTGGACAATGTACTCTTCCGTCTCCGGGATACAAGAGTGTATGTGGACTTTGATACCCTCGAAGTTATTCGCGAGTATCAGTCCAAAGAGTGCGATTATGAGGTCGTTCGTCGGGTAAGCACATCCTATCTGCGGCTAAATATGGAAGCTAACCGGTCCATGAAAGACCCTAGCGGCTACGAGAGATGATATTCCGGCCGTCATGAGAGATGCCAATAGGCTTTCAGAGATCCTTCAAATCAAGGAGAAACGTTCAGAGCGAGTCACTCTCACCAAATAGCCAGTTCATGTTAGCCATGGAAAATGTTTCCTTGGTCTGTGTGCCTTATCACCGTTTCTGCGAAGTAGAAAACGGGTTTCCTTGAGCGCTTGTCCGTCCCCCTTGAGAGTGGCCGGCAAGGGAGAAAACACCAAGTGTTTTCTGGGGTAGAAGATCTCCAGTAGGTCTACCGAGATCTACTGGGGACCTGGCCTCCCTCCCAGGCAAGAAATATCTCCACTCCCCGCATGTGCTCTGCAGACACCCCGGGAAACCCCCGGAACATTAGGTACGCTTGTCTTCAGGCTTAACAAACCTATACTCGACTACCACCTTTTGATCGAGCATACCGCTTGATCTATTATCCTACCCCTATCCAGCCTATGTCTCACCACTTTCGATGGGAAATCTGGTCTTCTTCAATGGTGTTGATTTGCAAAATTTCGAGTCGTTGAAGGCATCTTGATGAGACACAAGCATGGTCTGAGCGCCGTTTCTGGTGGTTCATTCTACAGGGTATTAGTATCAGAGACAGGGTGGCAGAACACCCAATCGTGCAACCCTCGCTGAGTCCAATTCAATGCTTGCATTAACAGGAAGTATTCCTCGCTGAGGGATGTTCGCCGGGCTATTCTGTTACTTGACAAACAGAAAGTCGAAGCATAAATATGATCTGAACCCTCCCAATTATTGACCAGAATATACCAGAAAGCTGTAACAAGGATTTCCAAACATAGACATGTCACCCAGGTAACCCACAAGCGTTGATATATCACCAACGATCATCTGTAAATCTTTGGTTCTTTGAGTATCTATATAGATCTGTGGCCCAATGGCAAAGGAGTAAGTTGATTCTGGCACCAGGAACACAACGCCAAGACAGCACTAGTAGTAGTTGTACCTGAGTCGGATGTAATTTACGGTATACTGGCGGTACTCCTCTGCATAATCATTGGACACAGTGGTATTATCCATACCACCTATGATTATCCATCTGTACCTGAGTACCACCACTCCCCATGGAGAGTAATTAGTTGGAGCTCTGGGATGCGACGCGAAGCTAATAACATCTGATCCACCTCCCCCAGTCACGTCAGTGTCTACTATCACCTTTTAAGCCCTTTGTTTGTGTTATAACTCAGTTGTTCAGCCTAGATATACCATACATTGAATACATTGTGATCTTGTCTTGTTTATTTTCGGAGCTTACTTTCCTCCCAGCCACTGTCAATCTCACCAAGGCCGTGGGCGCACCTTTCGCCCTTTCGCTCCAACAATGGATACGCCACAGGTCCAAGTCGGAGCTCGAGAAGACTCTCAGCGCCCGAGCGATGCTACTCCCAATACCAACTCCGCAGACGTGGAAATGACCATAGCGCAAAACCCTACAACCGAGACTCAAGGCGAAACCGCAACAGATATAAACTTGACAGACGCTCCACCCGCGGAGCCCGTCGCAAATCCCACTGAAGCGCCGGCCGTCAGCCAAAAGAAGCCTGGGTTTCATTTTCTTGAGTAAGGATCACACCTTCCGGGGATGTTCTGTGCTGCGGCTTGTCATATAACCTCTCCGGTCGCCTCCCCCACTCCTCATCTTGTCATATCCTGATGGGATCCACTCCACCATGCACCTTCCTTGCGCTCCGCTGTCAACCCGACTGAATTGTCCTCACTGACCCGCCCAAGCTTCTTAACCTCCCCAATCGTGCAACTCATCGTCGGAAAAGGCGAAAACGAGACGACCTTAACAGCGCATCAAACTCTCCTGCTAGAGTCTCCACTTCTCGCCGACGCTGTCGCGGGATTCACTGAATCAGGCCCCGTGCGTTACACCGTTGATCATTGCTCGGTAACCCCGCTAACTCCATCTTTCCACAGCGGCGCATCGAGCTTCCCGAAGAGAACGTGGAGGCATTCGGTTATTTTTTACAATTCCAGTACACCCGCGACTACTCCGCAGATCCCCCCGCAGACCAAGACGCAGCTGCAGCAGGCAAAGACGACAACGGTGAGCAATTGCTGAAGCATGCGCGAGTGTACACATTAGCTGAGAAGCTGGGCATCCCGTCTTTGAAGACGCTCGCACATTCCAAGATCCACCGTATCAACAGTACTCCTCTAGGTGAGATTACGTATGCGCGGTATGTCTACACGAATACGCCTGTCGAGGACGCCACTATCCGGAAGCCTGTAGCTATGTTCTGGGCCCACAGGAGCCATGTTCTGCGCCATGAAGCCGAGGAAGAGTTCAAGAAGCTGTGTCTTGAAGTTCCGGAATTTTGCTTCGATGTGCTTAGTTTAGTATTGGACCAGAAAGAAAAACGGGCGTTGGATAGAGCTGAGACGGAAGGCGGAGTTAGAGGAAGTGGGAGGAAACGCCTGAGGAGCGGTATCTAGTTGAAAACTGGTACCAGAGACCGCTAAGTCTTACGGTATGCTAGAATTTCTTAGAAATGAGTTCTAAGGAATTGGCAGATTCTTAATCTAGCCGATTACCGAGGCATGCAAACCATCGACGGTGGGAATATCATTGCCCTGGTGCAGCTGGGGTTCCCCTACCACGCGCCATTGTGAGATCTCAGGCCAAAACCCGGTGGCGCATATAGGCGAGAGCCCGTACGCATCACTACTCTGGGCCTACGAGAATGCTCTGTGTGGTATTGACGCTGTTATCCATTCAAAATGTAGTCTGGCGTGTCCTTCATAACGGATCAAGATCGCTTTAGATGTCTTGACAACTCTAGTTGCCATACTAGATTCCATGCATTAGTATGCGACCTGACAGGCCAGGCTTTCAATTTCCTCAATAGCCTTGGGTGCGGTGGTCAAATTTTCATAACCATCTCGGGTGACATGTAGATTGTCTTCGATGCGCACTCCACCTACGCCCCAATATTTCTCCAAAACACTTGAATCGATGTACTTGTTCAGTTCAGCAGAGTCCAGGTAGGGCTGAATGATAAACCGGCAGAAATAGATCTAGAAAGCGACATATCAGTAATCAACAACACCCAAGTCTGCGCATTCTGTAAGAGGATTGCGCTGGTCCGGAACTTACGCCTGGCTCAACAGTAACAACTGATCCCGCTGGCAAACGGCCTCTCACTCTCAGGTATTTGAACATAGAGTCCTTGTCCTCATAGTTCGGGTTGCCCCCAGTGTCATGAGTATCCATCCCCAGGTAATGACCCAGACCGTGCGGGAAGAACGCTACGCTGACTCTCTTCTCAAACAACTCCTCCTTCGAGCCGCGAAGAATTCCTAGTTCCAGCAGGCCATCGATAGCGACCCGATGCGCGTGCGCATGCACATCCTCCCACTGCACGCCTTCCTTGAGCATAGCAATGCACTCCGCCTGCATCTGCAAAACAATCTTGTAGATCTGGCGAGTCTCCGTCGGAAATCTTCCCTCCAGCGGGAATACGCGGGTGATATCAGCGCAGTAGGTGCGATATTCACCTCCAGCATCGATAAGGACATTCCCCTTCCTCTTCTTCGTCGCAATGTCGATTATATCGGCGTTGTTCTTCGGGTAGTGAAGAGTAGCCCCGTTCTCGCCGCAGGCGACGATAGGGTGGTAGGACTGCTCGCGAGCGCCATGGGCAATGCATGTCGCGATGATGGCGCTCTCGATTTCCCTCTCATTTGTGGCGGTCTGGGATTTGCGGAGGGCCGCAATGTGCGCCTGTGCTGTGATGTCGTTTGCTTTTCGGAGAAGAGCGATCTCGTACCCGTCTTTGACTACGCGGGTCGTTTCAATGGCGCCCTTCAGCGCGGCAAGGTTAGTCGCTGCGAAGCCGTTGAACTTGGTCTCGTCGGAAACCTGGTCTGCGATTGCAAACGCCACGGCCTTTCCTCCGTGCGCAGTTGCAATCGAGGACAGTGTGGCATTCACGTCTGGCGTAGCTTGCACGCGATCGACGTCATAGAGCTCAAGGGCCTCGGCTGCAGATAGAGGGAGGCCAGACCAGATCACGTCTTCTGGATCAGTTGCGGGGAGGAAAAGTGTCAGTTCGTCTGTGCTGGCGTTATATACCAGAGACGAATCTGGTAGCAAGCAACCAGACAGGTAGAAGAAAGGGCGTCGCTGCCTGGTAGCCGATACTGATTAGTCTCGGATTGAGATAGAAGACTACAGTAATGATGTCGCATGAAGGGGACGTACCTAAAAGGCATAGGCTCGTCATTGTCCTCGATCATGCGAGTTTTCTGCGCCTCCAGATACACGACGGTAGGACTACCATTTGCGTGAGTCTCGAGTTGCTGGGCAACCCGGCGCGCATGAGCTTTGGCTGGGTATTTACCAGCTATAATAGCATCCACGGTAGCCATTGTTTATCAGTTATTCCCGACCTGGCGGTGGCAACTCCAAAGACACAGAACAATTAGGAACGACTTGGGGAATGCGGCACACCGGTCGAGCAAACCTCGAGATATGGGCGGGGTATCCAGCTGCGGGGCTCGAGCCGGTTACCGTCGGTTTAATTGTACTGCCGTGCTATATTAAGTACCATTATCGTTACTGGTTGCAAAACGGATGATTATTTCCAAAGGAGGAAGTAAGTTTACCATGGAAGATCATCTAGATCACAGGGCCGTCGCCAAGAGAAAAAGACAACATCAATGACGGATATAATCCATAATAATTATTATTATAAGAAACATGAGTTCCACTGCAATAGTCGAGAGTCAATCTACCTGGACGGGCTACCCTGACTGCCAGAGACAACCACCTCTTCAAATTCCATTTCCCATCGATCCACTTCGGCGAACTTCTTCGCCTGTAATTTCAACTCTTCGCTGATGAAATTGGACTCCGTGTCTGCCTCTGATTCTGACTCTGATCCAAGGGCATCCGAAGGGGGAGGTGAGGACAGCGGGGAGGACGTTTCGACAGGTTGGTTTTCCTTGTTCATTCCGGTGGCGCCGTGGGAATTCGATCTGTAAGTACTTGGGTTCGCATTTACCTGCTCTTTGCGCTGTTTTAAGCGACTCGAACGAGTATTTGCCTTCTCTTCACTGCCAATCGCTTTCTGTGTCTTTTGCTTCGCCGCGCGGGTTCGACTACTAGATGGATTTTTGGGTTTGGTCTCCCGGTTTCGTCGCGATTTGTATGATGGCTGCGAGAGCGCAAAGCTCAAGTCGTCATCATCCTGATCACTTGCAACCCCAAGATCGGTCCCATCGTGATGTCTCTGTTGTCTTCTAGGAAGAAATTTGTCTTGAAGAATCGCTGTAGAAAGGGAAGCCTTTGGGTCAACCGCTTGCTTGCGACGGGTTGCTGCACGTCCCGTCAAACGATGCGCAGTAGGCGTGGAATCCGAATGTGAAGGACTCGAGAGCGCACTGCTGCTCATGGGTGACCTCATTGTTCGATTGAATTGCTCCGGCGACTCGGATCGCTGTGCCGGACTCGGGGGTTCACTAAGGTCACTTTCTTCTCCGCTTGATTCGGGAAGATCAACGCCAGACCCCATCTCTGTCGATGGGGACTTGGCCATATCCCGGTTCTCCGTCGACAGTTTGCGCTTGCGGGAACGTTCGCTGGAAGGTAACGAATGGCGGGATGGAGACGGTGAGGCAGCCGACCTTAGGACGAGCGACTTCCCTCTAGAAAGGTTCAGCGGCGTGGATTCATCCTCTGGGCTCAAGCCGCCCAGAAAATCGTCATCGAGATCAGAAGAGCCATCTTCCGCTTGCATCATCTGGAGAATGCTTGGTTGTCGAGGTCTCCTTCTGAAGTTGCTCAATACCGAACTTTCAAAGGCCGGGGTTCCCGGAACTTTCGAGCTCATATCTCCTTTCCGTCCGGCAATAGAAAGAGTAGACGAATAGCCGCGGGCTCTTGTAGGTGGTCGGCTGCCTGTGGCCGTTGCAGGTGACGATTCGACCGCCTGCTCATATGTCTTGGTCATCGGTGTCTGACTCCTCAACTGCCGTACGATTTCCGAATCCTGAGCACTGGTTTCCAGATGGGATGCGCCCCTCGTGCCATGCGTATTTTTCGGCGAGGCTTTCGGTGTATCCCCAGAACTGACACCATCGCGTCCTGGCTTCGACGGTCCATTCTGCGTGGAAGCAGGCACAGCCTTGGTTGTCGGGCGACTACGCTTTGCGGGCGGACGCGGCATTGTAGTAGATCGAGATGATGTATGCTATCTCCGTGCCCTCTTCTCTTGTGATTTCTTGCCGGGGAAGGTGATGTTGGTCTTGGAATTATTGGGATTATCGAGTAGTCTTTGTTTTCAGCTCCAGAAGCCCATGTCACTTCAGCGCCAGGGATCAGAACAAGAGTATTCGCCGAGGTGCGTGCAGAATAAACGTGCAGCGGTCGAAGATTGTCGATTCCGCAATTGGGTATCAGAATTCGAGAGTGGGTTGCTAGTCAGAGGAGCGATGATAACGATAAGTACGATTCGCGCGCCAATGTTGTTTTGCGACACCAGAGCGACGCGTGTGGAGAGCGGGCAGCGGCACGTGTCTGTTCTCCACTCCCAGGCTGGTAGTGGTGGGGACTCGCTATCTAATCGTCTACTGCAGTGTATACATATAAAACATGCTCTGTACGGCATATCCGAATTCACACTCACTGATCATGACTGCCGGCCTCTGTTCTAGGAGCGAAGATACTACTACTCATGCTATCCAATAATCATCGGATAATCATCGGACTAATCACAAGAGCGGCAATGTTCCTGGCAAAGTCATGCAATTACAAAACGTCGGACAGATTGCGGTGGGATTTGTGGGGTGCCTTTGGGGCTGGATCTAACCTTATAGAGGCTTCACCTCCTTTTTCCACATTAGCCAGATTGGTTTGGTCCATCATCACAGTCTCGAACCAGTGTGTCCGTGCTTCGGGACAAGGTTACTGCTGCTGCAATTTTAAATTAGTCTTTTCCCCGCTCCCCGGACCGTCAGATGTCCAGACTGGATGGCCTCTCCGGCTGTAACCTGGATCTAGTGGGCATTCGTTGACTCTGAAGTGGTCTCTCGTTGCCTCCCTTGTCACCGTGATTTGATTTGATTAATGTACTGCAAACGTCGCTTTGATTACCCGAGTCAACCCCCACAATCGGTTCGCTGGGCCATTCTCCGTGGCGCGACTCTATCCTCCTCTACACCGGGTCGTCCCCTTTCCTGAGCTGACAAGACCTCTCTGACATCCACCAGAGAGGCTCTCGTTACCTCCGTTCCCTTTTGGCCTATGTCAAGAGGCATGTGATTAGCCTATGTCTAGCGACGGTACTCTACACCGTGAGCTCAAGCAGTGTGTTTCGTATATACATTGATCAACACGCTGTCGCATTCTGTCTATATCCTCCCCGGACAACAGCGCAATGTCCGCCTCGCCAGATCAAGACCGGGGAGTGTCACTTGAAGTTGCCGTCAGTCACGCGGCTATGGCCTCCCACGATCTTCAGATCAGCAAGAAGAAGCGAAGTAATTCCGAAGCGACTGAATACCCTCGAAGGCGTGCAACCATAGCAGTACGTATCGTACTCTTCTTCTCGTGTTTCCTCGCCTCTATCTGTTCGATGTTGCTCTGTTTGGCTTAACCTTTGGCGGTGCCTTCACTGCTCACTTCCATCTTTCCTAAGCCACGGAAACTCGAATTGTAAGTCGCCTTGGCTGCAAAGAGCTAACCGTTGATCATGGAAACAACAGTGCCAGATATGCCGTTTGCGAAAAACAAGGTGTAATGGCGCACGGCCAAGGTGTCAGCTTTGCACGGATCTTGACGCTGACTGCGTTTATCGCGAGCCTGGAATCAAACTGGATGCCGGTGATAAATTAATCATTGAGCGGCTGAGCCGAATCGAGGGATTGCTCCAGTCGAATCTGGTAGGACTGACTGGTCATTTCCCGATGGCCTCGACATCTCCAGCCACCAGTAATGATACCAACATTGGCAGTGATGAGATGACCGCGAGAGCAAATACCCTCGTCCCTGCTACACGTGGGCGGACGTCTATAGTTGGGATGGGTTCTTGGGCAAATCCACCGACCAGCATCTCAACAATGCCTAAACTACACACCACGCCCGCACTGCACCTCTTGCAATGGCCCTTGATCCGTGACCTGGTTGCTGGTCCGTACGATCCACATACACTTCTGCAGCTAGAATTGGTCCGTGAACCCCTCAAAATGAGCACTTCCATGGGCTTCGATTTGTCAAATGCGACCTCGTATATCCAGGCTTTTTTCGAGCGTGTCAATGTCTGGTATGCATGCGTCAATCCATACACATGGCCTCAATACTACAAAACTGCTCTTTCACTCGGGTTCCGGGAAGGACCAGAGAGTTGCGTTGTACTCTTGGTGCTCGCCCTTGGCTGCGCTAGTCAACACGGCACCATATCCTCGATCTCCCCGGACAGGGAACACCCAGGACTACCATATTTCATTGCAGCCTGGGGCCTCCTCCCATCAGTCATGATGCGCAACTCTGTGGTTGCCGCCCAGTGTATCGTTCTGACATCAGCTTACCTATTCTATCTAGTGAGGCCACTGGAAGCATGGACCCTTCTCTCCAATGCAAGCATGAAGCTACAGTTGTTGTTTGGCAACACCTCTCGTATCCCCCTACAATGGAGGGAGCTGAGCGTGAGGATATATTGGAATGCCCTCCTCTTCGAAAGCGACCTGCTCGCGGAACTGGAATTACCCCATTCGGGTATTGTACATTTTGAAGAACTAGTCGATCTTCCTGGAGGATTCGAAGAAGAAGACGATGATGATGTGGACGGCGATGATAGCGACAATTCCATCGACGATAACGTCGACGGTGATATTGATCTCAGAAAAGATCGCGGCGTGGACAAGACCAACGAACATTCAGTAGGCCGAGATGAGCTCTGGTATTTCCTGGCCGAGATCGCCCTCAGAAGGCTCCTCAACCGAGTCAGTCATATGATCTACCAAAAGGACAACTCCTTGACTCTTGCATCACTGGGCCCGATTGTCTCGGAACTCGATTTCCAACTTGCCCAATGGTATGACAACCTGCCTCAATCTGTTCGCTTCCCCCTTTTGCACCCCCCAATATCAAATCCGGTCCAGACGGTTCTGAGACTACGATATTACGCCTGTCGAACTATAATCTACCGACCTTACATACTGGCGGTCTTCGAGAACGAACAAGCTGCCTCCGATCCCGTGGTGCGAGAATGCTGCTGGCGGTGCTTAGAGGCAACGTTGCGTCAACTAGAACATATAACCAGCCATCGCGAGGGACATCTGCCCTACCTCTGGCAGGGCGCGCTGTCCATGGTCTCCCAATCATTGTTGATCATGGGGGCAACAATGTCACCCGCCCTTTGCGGACTACTGCCCGCCGCTGCCCGCGTGGACGAGATCATATCAGGTGTCATAGCAGAGGTGGAGAGGTATTCCCACCTCGCCCCGAGTCTGAAATTATCTGCGGAGATTGTCCGTGATGCGGAGAAACGGCGACAGCTCTGCTTAAGGTCGGCTAGAGGACGGGTGTAGGTGCTTCTTCTTAACATGTATATATATATATTTTGATCCGTTGGTCGTTTTCTCCCCCGGTCGAGGCTATTTTACAATTACATAGAATCATGTCCCCACGTCCGTTGTGTACTCGAAGATTTAAACCCCCAGGACTTGTTTCACTCACAGTCTTCTTGAAACTGCGATTGCGTTGGGACCCAGCAGCATGTCATCGAGGGAATTTTGTAAATCAACAGGTAAACCACATTCACGACAATGATGCCCCGGATCATATGTATTGAACAGAACATCCAGGGGCTAGTAGGATTGTTGGTGTCTGCTAAGATAGCGAAGCATTGGATATTGTATTGATATCTAGGGATGTTGGGTATAAAAGTCTCTGTGCAGCCCCGGCACTAGGTCTATGGGCTATAGTATCACTGATGGATAGGTACAAACTGTGCGACCATGCCGCGCTAGTAAGCACATCCTCAGAGGTGTGTATAATGGTAAAACTGTATCACAAACAAGTCATCATCTAATTTGGGGTATTTTGGACATGATCTTCATAATTCAGAACCTGGTCAGGGGACGGGAGCCCCCAACGAAGGAAGAAAGAAAGGCGGAACCAAAACAAGGCAAGGCAAAAAAGAAAATAAACAAACAGACAAATGGATGCAGAATACAGTCAGAATAGCGCCTGCACATGTGATGGGAGTAATAAACATGATTGAGGAACAATATTAAAAGACTCCGATGTGCCTTATATGAGGACCCACTCGCTGCCTCTTTTGATGAACTTATCAAGCATCATACCAATATCGTTCAAGGCAAACCGGCATACAAAAAAGCCGAAGAATTCTGCTGCATGACGAGTGCTTAATTCCAAACCTACCAACGTTTCGGAGGAGTGTTTGAGACCAGGGTCTTCGACCTGCTGTGCAATTTGATCTGGAAAGGCAAAACACATATTAGCTTATGAACAACTGATTCGTATATATGTACTTACCAAGGACCTGAGCTGCATCGCAAAGGCGGGCCAAAGCACCCATGTAGTTCGTGTTGGGTCCGTTGAGTTGAAGCTGGGTCGTATCCCGCTTGACAGGCTGAGAGTTTGGTAATGAAGTCATCGGAAGAGAGCTTATTGTCAAATGGTCCTTATTGGTTTCCTTCGAACCAGTCAATGGCGGCGCAGAGCCTATTCCCGAGTTTTTGGAACGTAATTTGCGCCAGGAAGTCAGGTATGACTTGCTCGGCACACTGGAGGTCTTCGTGGGCAACGTATCAACGTGCATTGTATCATCTGGAGATTGCGGGTTCCTAAAGAGGGGCATGGCCCCCTGTACACCGACTTCGCTGCCAATTTTCTTTGTCAACGAGGCCTGCACCTGCTCAAGAACATTCTCCAGTGACTGCATTTCGTCCAAAACAGCATCAGCATCGTAGGTGTCAACTTTAGCCAATTTCAGTAAGGCTGCAGTTAATAAGTCACAATTCGAAACCTTTTCATCAACAGCCTTTATTTTGACATTTTTGACCCGCCAAACATCCCGTGGGACAAATAGTTTCGTTGACAGATAACCACCGCGAGGGTGAGCAATCGTCTGGTAGATGCACCTCATAAGCCAGAACGGCCGCAGAAGAAAAGATTCAGGACAAGGCTCTAAAGGAAGAGGGGCGTTGGAGGCCGTCGGATTTGGAGTGCCGGGACTGGTCGGTGAATGGATATGACTGTCGAATAGATACATGCCACCACTCGATAAACCATTTGGGAGAGCAGTGGCACCGGTTGCAGGTAATATAAGCTCCGATGCACCAACTGTACCTTTCTGAAGGTCCAACGTAGGAAATGCCTGGCTGGATGGGGTTTCTGGCGAATACACAGCCGAGTCGGGCCCTGCCAAGGAAGGGTTCCTTTCTCGGAAAGATTTCGGCCCCAGATTTGGTATTCCTAGATGGTCAGGCATCGAAGGAACTTTGTCGACTGGTGAGGGTATTCTGGAATCGTCCTCCGGTATCGCAGTGCTGCCGGAACCACCACCATTAAGGTTCTCACTTAGAGAGCCAATGGAGGCATTTCGCTTGCTCGAATGCGTCGGCCATTGTCCGCTGGAGGGAAGCCCCAGTGCTCTACTCGTAGAGGTTGGATGGGTCGGATCATCTTTTGGGAGAGGCGGCGGCGGCCTAGAAACCCAGTGTTCAGGGGAGTGGTTGGGTCTAGACGCAACCATATCCTTGGAGCGAGCATTGGTCTCTATCGTCAGTTCTGTCGTGGTCTGGCCCGACATTCTCCGAGCCCGAACACTAGGGCTTGATGTAAGTCCTTGCGCGGGGTTCGTCATTGCAGAAGCTTCTGTAGCAGATTTGTCTGAAGTGAGGGTGTTCGGTTCTTGCTTTTCACCCGCCAAGGACGCAACATCATCTTCCGCAAGTGGTGATAAGGCAGCGCCGCCCGTTGTGATGTTGGATGCAACAGAGCTCTCCCAAGTCCTACCAGAGAAGCTGCTTGAATCCGACTGTCGGGGAAGAGCGGACTTCGAGTGAAGATCAAACTCAAAATCATCCATAACATAGCCATTTGTCATTTCTTCCAATAAACGTTCTTCTTCCTCGGCCTCGTCATCCTGATAATCCGAGTTCATGCCACTAGAATGATCATGGGCCATCTGCTCGACGCGTCGCGCCTCCCAACCACGCGACATTGCTACAACTGCTTCCTGCTCGGCTTCCCGTACTTTTTGCTTCGCCAACTCGACATTTCTGCGAGCATTTGCCACAACATCGTCATCATCTCCGTTTCGTAACTCCATCGCCGGTTCCAACCCTTCATCGTAGGCAGCCTCAACAGCTGCATCAAGGGCTGCATCAAACTCAGCTTCTGTGCCCCGGCTAAGCCGGCGGCTGCCCCTGTGCCGCAGGTAAACAGAAGAGGCTTTAGAATGCAAGGAAGCCGGTGAGGAAGCCCCAGATTCGTCTATAGTATCTAGCCATGAGGTGGACTCGTGAAGATCCCTTGAGTGAGTACTCAACAGAGACAAATCGGAATATCGAGGGTCATAGATGTTGCGTTTTCCAGTTTCAAGTTCCACATGGGAGTCCACTGCATCCGAAGACGTGCGTTGTCCATTCCAAGGCTTGTCCAATGGAACGTTGAATTGGGAGTTGGCATCGCTCTGTTTGGTCACCATCGAAGGGTCAGTGTGTCGCTGATCACCTTCTTCATATGTAGACAGAGGCGGCGTCTGACGTTTCGGAGGAATGTGACTATGGGCCAACTCCCTTGGCTCTTCGGGTATTTGCTGACTGGGAGTGGCTGAGGGTTGGGTAAAAGTCGCATCATCACCAAGAGATTTGGGGTGATAGTCGTCCAGGGAGGGTTGCAATGCATCGCCATAGTACTCTTGGCTAATCGGGCGTTGAGGGAGGGCTTTACTCTCAGCTCCCCCAGAGAAATCCATGCGTTCCAACTCAGTCACCCTTATCATATAAGTGTCCCGCTAAAATCATTAGATTTGGTACATGAAGAACGCTCTGTCGTCCAAAAGATAAAACTTACAATCTCTTGGAGTTTTAGTTTCTCATCTTCACCACCGTTGCTCCGGAGCATCACGAGTTGTAAGAGTCGGCAGGCGTCGTTATAAGCCTCCATGGCGCCTTCAAAGTTTGCTGCATTGTCGAGAAGAACAGCAGTATTGGCCTTTTGCAAGGCTTTCGAAAGCATTGCTTTCTGGGAATGGCCCTTCCGGCGTTTGTCATTCTTTTTCCCATCGGCAAGAGATGTATTCAGATCGTCAAATATTGATGTTTCACCCTCTGACACGATGGTATCTTGCGATTCGACCAAGAGAGGTCCAAGGTCATCGGCAGCTTTAATTCCGGAATCTCGCGTGTGCGACCACGGGTCTTTGAAAAGGTCAGAAGACTTCAGTTCGTGGTTGGTAGGGGTAAGATCGGCGTGTTGCCTGGCGGCACTTGTAGCATCGGGAACTATGGGGGCGTCAACTTCTAGGGAACCCAGAAGTGAGGCACCTGCTTGGTTGTGCGTCGTTTGGTGCTGAAAACCATGCTGTCCCTGGAAGACTGGGCCATTGTTTGTCGGCGATATTATGGCCGCATCAAAGGTTGAAGTATTGGACATGTTTCGTTGGTGACCGGCGAAAATGATGGAACTTTTACTGGAGGTAGTAGACTGGGACCACCGGTTCAAGGTACCGAGGCCTCCCTGAATGCTGTTATTGCCTGGGCTGCTTGGGTAAGGGGGCGTGGTTCGGCCCATAGTCGGTGTTATCGCACCATAGCTCGAATCATCATCCGCTGCATTGGGAACATCGCTCTTTAGTTTGTTCCATGATGGTGAATATGTGTGAGAAGCAGTTCCACCAGCAGTGATCGTGGCATTGGGTGAAGTCGACCCCGGCCGAAGCATTTCGTCATATGATCCAGGGCCTTTCAACTTCGGGTTTCCAACCATTTTGTTGATTTATTCCCGTCCAAGTCAGGATTGGACCCGGGTGATTGATATGGAGGTCGGTGTATCAAAGGCAATCGTAGTAAAATCTCGCGCGAAGCTCGTCTATAAAGCTTCTTCAGTTGGCGGCTTCGAGCTTTCCCTATGCATATATGATGATAATATACCAATCCAATCATTAGATGAAGGCCTTCTCCGAAAGCACAGATTGGCGTCAAAGAATGGCAGACGCCACTATAATTTCGCACGTGTGAAATCCAGGGATTTATAAGAGCTTGATCAGGCCGTGGTTGTAAGGGACACTGTAGATGTGACAGGGCTGTCGCACATCCTTTCTAGTCGCTGAGGTATGAGAACCAAATATCACCGCCTACAGCAATAAAATCTGCGTAGAAGATGAGGAAGTGGAACGCTAGCTCCCCAATCAGTGACTGTCTGGTTCAGCGCATGATCTGAAAATTGGAGCAGTCTAAGAAGGACACATGCTTCGTTTCTCCTGTGTTCTTTCTTTCCCCTCTAGGCGCGAAGTAGATGGTATCAGGATCCTTTCTTAATCACCACGCATGGTATATTAAGACTGTTCTGTGCTTGCGACAAGCGAGTGAAGGTTGAGGTAGGGTGATATCCCAGATACTGGTCTGGTGACTAATGTTTTCTGCCGCCTGCAAATGCTGCATACGAAGTGCAGATTGAATTAGCCCCTGCTCCAAGTGAGTGGACAGTCTTCGTGTGTTGAAGAAGCCGGTCGGGGGGGCGGGGGGACTAGAGCACTCACAATCCCAACTGGATACCGACACCTGATATAATTATGGCTTTTGCGCAATAACCAAGCAATGAGACCTCGTATTAATATATAATGTTTTCGGTTCTCAATGTCAGGCACCACTAAGATGAGAATGGAGAGGAAATGGATAGAAGAGTATTATTCTTCCAGATGTAGCGCGGAAGCTGTGTGGACGGTACCATGGTCAATGCTCAAAAAAGGGGTTGGCACCCTTTCCCGCCTTTCAGCAGCTTTTGATACATGTTGTAACTGTATGGCCCTTACAAGTGTATTGGATCTAATGAGTTAATGGACACAGGGATCTTGGATTACTTTAATGTATCCTAAATCCATAGATACTATATCAGAACATTCCCCTGGTGTTATCATCAATGAACTACCATAGTCTTTTGCTGCTCTGCTTCATCATGAAAGCATGGACGCGACCACATTCTATATAATATCTTGGAAAATCGCTTCTTGAGTTGTTATTTGGTTGACACCATGCTCTGGTGACTACTATTTCTTGATGCCCCACCCCTTGTGTTCTAGTACTCCAATATATATACATCCATTATATTATTGCCTATGTAACCTACGAGGATAGTTATACGCCTGACCGTAAATTTGGAGAATGATACTTTCTTATCAAAGATGGACAACTGATTCATATCAACAACATATGGGTAAGATAAGATAAAGATAGTCTCTCATCTTTGACCGAGTAAGACAAGATCCAATGATCTTCAGATGCTGGCTATTGTTGCAGGAGATGGTTGCCTGGGACTAGGCCACTTTTAGTCAATGTTTTCTGAGCTGGGATGTTAGAAGCGTCAATCCGAGTTATTATAGACGTCACGCACGAGGGCTAAGCACATATATTATACATAATTAATGGTGATAGTTATGGGTAGTTAGCGCTAATAAATGGACATAGTAAACCTTGCCATATATTAGAGTACTTTAGGCTTGGTCTAGCGAATAGTACCACTACTTAGATGCTGCGCATAACTTCATACAGGTTAGAGATATCTTCAGAGATATATATGTAAGTTATAAGATTATCAAGTGACTTCAAATCACTACCAAGCACAACTGTTTTAATTATGTAGCCATGGTATGAAATAATGGTCTCGACTGTATTAACTTGGTAATAATTTACTCTTCACTTTCATCTTCCTCGCTTGTCATCTCAATATTCTTTTTTGAATCTGGTGGGTTATTGATGTTGCCCTCGCTTTCACCCTGCTGCTCATCTCCTTCGTCTGTGTTACTCTTAATCGCATCATATTCTGGCCGGGGAACAGGCTCCCCAAGCTCCCCAAGCGCAGTCTCTATCTCTGGCAGTATTTTCAAGAGACAAGCAAACTGGTCAACGGGCAAAGAAATCCCCTGCAATGTTAATCAGTAGGGCTGTTTAGCAATGTGCTATTTGGGTCATGAAAACGGACTTTCTTGCCAGGAAGCTCTTGCCCATCTTTCTCGTAATACTCTCTGATATTAACCATATTCTTTCCTCGAAACGATGAGACATTGACGCGTCGCATTTTAGATATCTCCCAGTATTTTTCACCATTCGCGTCAACTTTTGCGGAGGAGTTTGAGGCAGTGGTCGCGGGTTTACTTTGTCCGATCGGTTTGGCTCTCTTCACATGAGAGACCTCATCATCGCCAGAATCATGATCGGAACTTAGCACGCGCTTTTTTCTAGTGAAAGGCATAGCTTGTAGGCGACAGCAAAGTGGGATATAAAGTGGGACGTGGTGAAGATGATGGACGACGGTCTTACGTAGGTTACGAGAGCAGAAGACGACACCACCGCCTTAGGAAGGAAGGGATTGCCGCCAAGACATACAGTACAATACAGCAGGAACCCAAACTCGTTACCAGTTTCTAGGGGTCATATACTCGATATATGTATTCAATTTACGGTAGCATGTGGTTTGCTTGAATCTGATCGATACCTCAGCGAAAGCTATCTACTAGAAAGTGACGGCCCTCAAGGCTTGCAAGAAGACTGCAAAAACAAAACCTCTCGCAACAACGTCGACTTGAAGGCAGTCAAAGACCTTTTCGAGAGCTTCTCGACTAGCAGCAGCACCCATGACACTTGTCAAAGCCTGAGGCAGGCCCCTCTGGACGAACAAACTTCGCGCTTTTTTCCGAAGGCGTTCCTTCTCGGCATCGCTCGGTGGCGGCGGCCAATTCTTCAGTTCTTCTTCGGTTGGTAATGAATTTTCACGCAGTCTTGTGAGATATGATCCAAGGGCATCATCCGACGTATTGGCATCGATCATAGATTCTTGCATCAAGACACGTATCGTCTCCAAGCTTGGATTGCCGGGGCGCAAGATGTATGATTTTGCCGCATTCAATAGAGTGCGCCTTATGTTCCAGGCGGATGATAACATGTACAACTCGTTGATGACAGCAAAGATGAGCTCCACAGCTATTCGGGTCTCGTCTTGAGAGATAGAGTGTTTTCCAGTCCCCGACTTATTCAAAAAGCTGGTCTCGTCCTTCGTAGACTCCGAGAGGCGGTTAGGCTGTTGATTCTCTAAATTTTCAGCTTCTCCCGACAATGGAGAAGTGGAATAGTTAGCCTGACAAGGGTTGTTCTCCTGGTCCAACTGCGGCACTGGATGGTCAGACATTGCGCTCTTATCTGACTCCAAATGTGAACTGTCGACCTTTCGTTCCTGAGAACCTTCGTGGCTTGCAGATGACCCATCTGCTGTTTGAACATCATCAAAGGCCTGTTGTCCATTTGCTGCAGTAGAACTGAAGGATGCGTTTCTCCCGGTCCCCACCCCAAAGACGCCACCCACACCATTGAAAACTGCCTTACTTCCCCCAGACACACTCTTGGGTGCATTCGTGAACACACCCAGAACACCCTTTCCCATATTCTCAATCGCAGCTTGTGCGGGAAAAGAAAAGCCAGGTTTTGCAGAGCTCCCAGCAGATTGAGGACTGATGGGTCCATCTTTTTCAAGGAACCTCTTCATCTTCTCGCATTCTGCAAGTTCCTCATACTCAAGAGCATCTTGCAAATATCGCTCAAGTTTCCTTGACAGTGCGTATTTCGTTTGGCCCTTCCACGAAGGAAGGACAGAATGGTTATCTCTGAAGTTTTGAAGTCTGTTCAATCGCGAAATCGTTTCCAATGTCTCATGGAGAGACTCGAAATCGGCGTACTTTCTGAACACCATCCATCCTGCGCGATTTGAAGAAACAGCTTCGATTTGGAGCAGGTAATTGAATGCGGGTTTAGAGCGGATCAATGCCGTTTCTTCGAGACCTGACCCATCTTCCACGGAGATGGAAGCACGATGGAGCGTCAACGGACGCGATACCGAGACCTTTTGCGAAGTGGTTTGGGATGGATGTGAACTTGATGACGGTGGCGGCGCCGAAGAGGTCATCGGAAAAGGCTCAGTTTCTCGGGTATCTTGAGTGGGATCCATAGCCTCTTCAGCGGGCATGTTAGATTTTTCGCCGCTGTCTTGGGAAAACAAATCCCCGTCCTCTCGATCGGATTCAAATGATACTGTTTGCGATTCATCACGTGTTTGTTCAGAACTTTGCCTGTGTAGATTTTGCGCAGCCATCATGGCGCTTAGCCTTTTTGTCTCTGCCAATGCCTGCTCGGTGGCTGCATCCATAGAATCACGCATGGATTGACTGCTGCTGGAAGAACGTTTTGGATCCAGCCCACCAAGCTCCGATGATGCTGACATAGGCTGCTTCATATCGTCGTTTTGCTTCTTTCCATCGACCCCTTGGTTCCTTGCCCCTTCAACACCAGCATCAATGGCACTCATTATTTCAGATTCGCCTTCACTGAAAAGGTAGATGATCCAACCATTGATAAATTCAGGGCGCGAAAGACTCGAAATTGTCGTTTCGAAAATGATTCCAGACAGAACTTCACGTAAAAAGTTCCGTACCGTGGGGCAACTGTATGCCTTCTGGTCCAGAAAGTTGGATAATATATCGTCCGCTATTAAATTAAGCTTCTTCTGTTGTTGCTGGCGGGCCAGAAGATTTGCCAGGCTGCTCTCTGGGTGTAATTCTATGTAATGCAGGACGGTTTGCTCCGGTGCAGAAGACCCGGGGTTTTCAAGGGCTGTGGACAGTTCGTTTAAAAATACAATGATCATGGAGGAGGAATTAGTAACGAATTCTAGGAAGGCATCTGATGTGCGTTTGCGCGAAAGGTGAGATGACACCGCGTAGACAAATGAGGCAAACAATCGCCGGCAAGACATGGGGAATGTCGACTCAGTTGGCAATATCGGTTCATACCAATAACTGGACTCCATTATGGTAAGTCTGTGAGTTGACATAAAAGTTGGAGACTTACTTTACGTAGTCCCTGATGACTGCATCAGTCAACGAGCGCAAGGCAGCTGCTGTTTCGGGACGGAAGGAAGAATAATCCAATTGTATCTCTGATGCTTCCTGGACAGCATCCTGTCCCTGGCGATCGTCATTGTTCCGGTCAACCTCGCCAGATTTGCGTATCGGCCAATCAAGCAGCCTGTTGGCGATATCCAATGCAAGTTCTCGCCTTCTGACGGGGTTTCGTGCATCCAAGGGTCCACTCGCGGCATGATTTGCGTCTCCCTCCCACGTTGCATGTAAGACGACACCAGTAGCTATCCCAATCAGAAGAAGACCAACCCGTCCCAAAACAATATATGTCACCCCTATCAAAAGAGCGAAAATACCAAGCAGACCTTCAGTGCTCGATGTTGCGAGGAGGTTGAGAATGTAGTCAAGAGCGTCTTTGGGCTGGACAAGAGGAGACGAGGCATTGAGCTGCACGTCTTCAGGGTCCGCACTGTCTGTTATTCGCGTCCCTTTAGCTGGTTGAGACCCAGGTTGGTGGGAAGAAGACACATCATCTGAAGTGACCATGTTCATAAGTCACCGTGAGGTGTCGCATTGGCCAGTAATCAAAGCGTGCACGAACGAGACTTTGAGGATATTAATAGACTCCACCCAGTCGACTCGACGATTGCACAAATGACAATTTAATCAGAGATGCTGCAATGGGAGTTGGTTCGGTGATTTGTCAAAATAACGGTAGTGGCTTTCGGGCCTATATATGGAGTAGATAGTACTGTATTCGTACCGGGGTAGGTTACGTTAGACCCATACTAACGACGTGGTCCAGAATATTCTGCCACCGCCTCTGGACAACAAGCAACGCAGCGTGCTTCTTCAGGCGTACTAAGGTACCCCGCCGGCATGTCATAAATACTTTTAAGTTATTCAATTTATAAAATCTTGGTAACTAACTATTTTTCAAATTAAGAAATCATCAGTGGCTGCTGGTAGAATGACATATCATACCTACCTAACTGAATATCATTGGATTTCTCTGTCTACGGTTTGCTACGGTTTGCAGTGTTATCATTAATCACCTATTCCGTACACGGCTGGAACACTTTGGTTAACTGTCTATGGTCGTGATGACTTAATAACGATATTATCTTAGCCAGTGAACTGTTCTATACTTCTAGCTATAAAGAGGTTAACTAACTATACTCCAACCGTAGGCTGATAGAGAGGTATGGATTGTGCGGACACGGCGGGTTGTAGCTCGCCAGGGCTCTGGCCTCTGGGAAACGCTGGCACGGTTGGCAAACTACGTACGTATACTCCAGGGATGTCATATTAACTCGGAGGCAATTACTAAGATCGACCTATGATAAGATCAACTACTGTATGCCTGAGTATTTCGGTAATCCTGAAATCTATAATGCCCTAAAGGTTAGTTATCTGCCCAGACCTGCGGGAAAACCCAGCAATGTTGAGGTTGTACTCCGTACACCGTCTATAATAATGCAATGTGGTAATATGGTCAATTACTAGGTATGGCATAGTCGGTAATTCTTGGAGTACACAAGTGACGGTGTGAGCTACGGTGCTCGTCTACCCTAACAATCTCCCGGAAATACGGATATCCTGTTTGGCGAGAACAAATGGCGGAACAAATAACCTTTCTATTAGACCTATAGTACGGAGTACAGAACTCTAATCTCTCATGTATAAGATAATTATAATAATGTGTCCTGTTCTCTAATGCCTCGCTGTTTGTGTAGAAACCGCAGAAAGGGCAAAAGAGAAGTGGATTTCTTCTACGCTGCCCGAGTGAATCCAAACATTCAAAGTAAATGCATGTCATGTCGGAAGAAAAAGGCAGCGATTGTGTAGTCTTCTCAATACCGTCTCATCTCTCCCTTTTTCTTTCTTTCGTTTCTTCTTCTACTGCTCAGCGTTCTGCGTATTGTTGCTAGGATGTTGGCCGTTATTGTATTTTATGTATTTCGTGTGAGAGCCACGCGCGACAATTGTTACGTGTTCAGCATCCAATCTCTTGGAGATGGACACTGTTGTAAATGCAAGCGTCTTACCGACTTTGTCAGCGCGGCCTTCGATCTCAAGCCAATCTCCTGCAGTTGCTGTAGAAAGATAGTTGATATGGATATCGGTGCTCACACCCGTGGAGTCGAGACCACAGGAAGCAATTGCAAGTCCACCTGCCCAATCAGTAACACAGGCCGAGAAAACACCGTGCAGGGTGCCCTTAGAGTTAAGATGACGAGGTGTAACCTGGAGTCGAGCCTGGAAAACACCTCTCTCGGCATGATGGATCTCTATGTCGTCAAGGAGAAAGGCATATATGGGACTATTGACACGAATGCGTCCCCAGACCTTCTGAACTTGATCCATTTCCTGATTTTGATTCATGATAATCAGTTGGCGCCGAATTATCGGGCTTAATGGATAAAGAGCAGAGGTTGAAAAGAAGGGTGGTGCAGAGATCGATTACAGAAAGAAATCAGAGAACTTATAGTGCGGAAAGTGGACTTGCAAACACAACAAACGTTTGTTTATAGCTCAACACCGCCCTCATAGGTACCGTACCGTACCGGCATAGTCCTTACTACGGGGCTAAGGTAGCGTACTACCGATTCTAGTGAATCTGTGACCACGATTTTGTTACCTGAAGTACCGCATAATGGACAGTAATCCTGGCTGGCTCTCAGCTGACCATAGTCACGTAGATACATGACCTGCTGGCGTATGAACCTAAAATGAGGTTAATTTGACTACCTTCCCTGACATAGTAATAAGATACACGAGGTGTGTAAAAGTCTATACCTCGTCTCCGTACGGAGAATGGATACGATCAAATTACGCGAGGGCTTGCTGTTTAACGCGCCCTAATTGGCTGACTCTCTTCCTTTTCGTACATCGCGCCCGGCACCCTCGGCGGTGGTCCTGAACTACTGGTACAGGTCTCGTAGTAGTTCGCCCGTCAGTATGAGTACCCAGTACCAACCTCCTGAATAATTATTGATCTGTAGCCTGTTTACCTTAGGTATCCATGTAGGTACGGTATGTAGATACTGAATGCATAGCAATTGCCTAATCTCACTAGGCTTGTGCAACCATCGTTGTGTGTATATTATACAGTTGCTGCTTGACACCTCCCCGACTGCCAATTCGAAGCTATTCAGATCAATTTATTTATATATCTCTAATTCAATACTAGGGAGTAAGCTACTGTGCGGTGGGGGACATCCCTGCGTATTGAAACCATATGCTGCCAGGCATCACATCTGGTCTCACTGGGTGATACTCGATCATGTTTCGTTGGTAAAGTCGATTGGGCAGGTATAGAAGACATCAACTGCTCGATATGGCACCCCGTAAGTTGCGGGGGCCTTGCTTGTCTATATTGAGTAATGGGCAACTGCTAAGCTTGGAAAGTTTGGCAACCCAGGTCCGCAAGTATTTGTGTGCTATAGAAGATATAATTGGTATGCGCTCTCTAGATCCATGCCCTGCCAGTGTAAAACGGGCCCAACAATGAATTAACCAGAAGAGGAGAAAGAAGGGAAGACAAAAGGTGTCTGGGCAGAGAGAGATAGTATTCAAAGTTTAATCTAACTTGTTCCTCATCACCAAGCCCTTCAACCAGGCGGGCATCTAAAAACGACTCAATCCAAACCCATTGCCGAGGAAAATTCTTGTACTGGAAGTCAGTGGTCAGATGCCCGGCTATTGTCTGGGACGCGAATTGCGTCTAGACAACATCTGGGAAAGCATGAAATGATTAACATCCTCATCTGCCCAATATGTAAGGTGGCTGGCGATGCTGGCAATTAAGGAGATATCAAAAGCCCCTCTGTTCACGAAAACATTAGCAAGTCATTGTTAAGATCACAATGGATGCAGTCCTAAACAGCACTGGATAACTTACTCCTGGATGCTGTAGTCAACTCGTCCATTCGAGTTCAATGACCGCACTTTTTCGTCCTCAGCCTTTAGCTTCATTTCGTGCTGAGTATGCTCGTAGTCACCGGACTCGGGCCCTATCGGCTGGGATTGATTTTTGCCGAGCCTATCTTTAAGCCCAGGTGTGCCATTAAATAGTGTCTCCATAGCCGGATTTAGCACAGTATGCCGGCCGATATCGTCGGATCCACCTGGAGAATCCAGACCAGCAGAGCCTGACGTCGGGGCCTGCTGGGATTCTGAGCCAATATAAGATTGTTGCTGAGAATCTTCCCCCAAGTTCAAACTCAGCCCACGATTGAGCAAGCCACTCGCAACACCAGAAGTAAGGTTATTCCACAAAGAACCTACGCTTTGGCCTACCCGATTGCCAAATACAGACAAGCTTTCCCCGGATGCTGTCCAAAGACTCTTTTTCACAGATGGCAAGGGTTGCGGCTTCAGTGACGACATTTCCGGCGATATCAGTGGCTCCATACGGTAGCTAACAGGATCAGATGGATGAAATATGTTGTACAGTTGCCCGCAATTTGGCGACGATACAATAGATCTGGAGTCGTTCAAAAAACCGGTGCTGGGATAAGCAGGATGGCGTGTGGAGGCAGATGGTTGCGACGATGGATAGACAGATCTTCTGCCGGAGATGGTCTTTCCTTTGAGCATCTGGAATAGTGCGATTGGCGACCCCAAACAAAAAAATTCCTCACAGTTGAAGTCAAATGAGCGACTTGAAGATGCTTCTTGCTGGCCAGTGCTCGTATCCGCACCAGAATCTTGCTTTGTGGAGCTGAGATTATGGTCTTGATGGCACAGTATATCAAAGAGAATGGCACTACCAAGGGAATGGCCACAAAGACTCACCGATCCCTGGAAAGACGGGTTTCGTTCCTTATAAAGCTTGACAATGCGATTGCACTCATCCTTGACAATGGTAGAAATGTGCTCGCAGTATGCACTTTGGTATAAAAGCACGTCCATTGCCAAGTCAGATATCAAATTCCGTACCGACGGCACGCTGTCTAGCGTAATGTCCGCGAGGCTTGGGTACAGGTCACTGTCTAAGACGTCTGCGTCCGTAAGATCAAGTTCTTTTCGGTTTTGCCTTACACCGTGGTGTGGAAAGTCAAGAAGATGCCTCCAGCTCCTAAGATTGATCAGCACACATCCATGCATGTTCTTTATCGTGATCCCGCAATTGTAGACCTACACAGGAAGTACCTGAACCCGACAGTTTTTATGTTTATCTGCGTATGAAGAGTTTAATTCCTGGAGGCCAGGCGAGGCTAAATAGACCCCCTTCATAGTCTTGCGCAAGACATTCACATCGTGTATAAAGTTTATGCTTTCTAAGCGTAAGCCCAGCCTTTGGCCAATCCCATGTGTAACAAGGATTAAATGATCAACTTCCCGTTCCCTATCTTCATTGTCGATTTCTCGCGAATCTTCCATCTCCTTCTCCTCCTGCCTACGCGCTTGCTCTTCGAGTTCATCTCTATTCTGTGGTTCGCCGGCAAGAGAAGACATTTGCCTTTCCAGGGTTGATCTTGGACTTTTGTCCGAGATGCCTTGGTTACCTGGGCTTTGGCCATGGGCTGTGCTGCTTTTGAGGGTATCTGTTTGGGCTTTGTCTTGAGATCCCGTAGGAACCGTCCCAGGAAAGCCAGAGGGCGACCCTGTATCTAATTTCCGCGCAATGTTGTTGGAAGCTGGTTCCTTTTGCTTCCTTGCATCATTGAATCCACGCACTACCTTTGTTCCGGGAACACCGCCTAACTTTTGATAAACAGTTGTGCTCACCCTAGACATGAAGTCATCGTTGGCCAACAATGCTTTTGAAGAATCTTGATACGTAGCTATGCTGTTCATGTAAGCACCAAATAGTCGATAGCTTTGAGACTGGTTGGCCGGGGTAGGGGACATGTTGGCGTTATCTTTGTGATATGCAGACGAGTTCAACTCGTTTGGACCGGAGGAATCAGAGACCGTATTTGAATTAATGGCACTTGTGTTTTGATCATCGGCTGGCAAAGTAGATGAATGCTGGCTAGGATGAGGTTGAAGCTGCCCCTTTGGTGTCCGCCATGGCTTTACTTTGAGATAGCCTTCTTCAAGCTGGGTAGCGAGATTTTCCTCGCATGGCTTGATAGTGGAGCCGTCCTGAAAGAACCAGGTCCCACGGCGCACTTCATATATGGGCCCTTTCCAGTAGGCAGGGCCGAGTTCTCTGCGGTCCACGTCCACATCAAATAGATAATCCTCGTTGACGGGCACCTTGGTTGAGGTGCTGCGCCCGCAATCATGGTCTTCGCCATGCCTGGAGTTTTCGCCCCCAAACTCCAATTCAGAAAACCTTTGAAATGTAGTTTCAATAGCCTCTGAATCTTTATTGGAAAACGGAACGAATTTCTTCGGGGGGGCTAGTTGTTTCGTTTCATGACTCTCTTTATCGAAGAGCGCCGGTTTCCATTTGGGCGAGTCGACAGCGTAGAACCATCTTACTTTCAGAGGAGGACAGTCTTTCGGGTATCGATGCAAGCTGATTCTGTGTCTATGTGTGACAGTATGGTCTTCGCCCTGGGAACGTTGTAAAACACCCGGATCATTGCCATGTGTAATCGCTTGTTGGGGTGTCTGGCTTCTGGAAACACCCCAGGGAGATATTGACCCCAGGAATGTCCCTCGATAAGTTTCCCCAGACATGGAGCTCTGGAGAGCTCGGATGTTTGGAACGCGAGCCAATTTGGTTAATTAAATGCTTTCAAGTAGGAGCCGAGTCGTTCAGAGAAGAAAATACTAGGCTTCGGTCGTATCAGAAAAGAAGTTGAAGATACAGTAAGTACTAAACACTCGGTAGCTTCTGCATGGGAACAAGTTGCAGATCGGAGATTTGAATACTGCTTATGCAGTAATAATACGTAACCAACGTAAGTTACCAAACTTGCTTGGTGGGCCAACCAACATCTGCATGTGGAAGCATTGCCCCTCTGAGCCGAGTCCACTGCGTCATTGTCACCCGAGAGATTCAATACATAAGGAACTGGATCGCGAATACCTCACAATTGCAACACTGATAATTGGCTAGGAAGTTTAAGATCATCGAGTTTTACATATTAGGCTCCCGGGTTTATACCGTCGCTGCTGCCTTGGGGACGAAATTCCATCGATACTGTGGGCGTACGTAGTAGTCTGCCTTATTGTTGCCCTTTGCTCAGTCGACCCCACCCCGCTTTTCCACATCGTTCTCCAGGGGGGAATAATTGAGCACTGTCTAGGCCACCTAACCATGAACATCAATTGATTGAGCATCACTCATATCCACCTTTCAGTCAGAACACACTCGGATCTGTCGCCCAGATTCGAGTCACAGTATTTTGCCCTTGAAAGCTTGATTGTTTTGTGACGTTGGTTCTTCATTTCGCCTCGAATTGCCAGCGACTCTTTACAACACCCGCCATTTCTGGCCTGGAGTACCAAACCAACTCTTACTGCAAAGAGCAAAACGCAAAGATGAACGTGATTAAACTCCAAAAGTTTGTTCATCCTAGTCTTCTTTAACTCCCCCACCTTATTCTTGCTCTAGGTCTAGGGTCCAATATCGTTTGGTGGCATCGATTCTAACTGCTTTTTCAATTACACAGGAAATTCCCGCAGTTTGAACAAGGGGAGATCTTTGCTCTCCAAGATTCATTCCGGAAGCTGGATCTCGATGACAGAGGTTCTCTGGATGAGACGACTGTTATAAAGGCCACCCAACAATCCGAGCGCCAGCCCTATGATGTTGTTCGACAGGCCTTGAAAGAGGTTGAGCTTGATAGCTCTCGCAGAGTGGAACTCGAAGACTATGTTGATGTTAGTGAAACATTCCCTGTTAGTACATATTTTGTAGAAGAGACTAATGGGGCAATATAACAGCTTATCTCTAAACTTCGTTCTACTCCAGCAAGCAGCAAACCTGTTCGTGACCCAAGCTCTCCTGCAGCGGTCCCTGGGGGCGGGGCTGGCGCGTCTCGCCATGTCTCCAAAGGCAGCATCGGGGGAAGAATCCAAGTACAAGGGTCTTCTGCAAACGTAACCCACACCATCAACGAAGACGAAAGAACTGAGTTCACAAGACACATTAATGCTATTCTTGCTGGCGACCCCGATATCGGTGACCTTCTTCCATTTCCCACAGACACCTTCGAGATGTTCGACAAGTGCAAGGATGGCCTTGTTCTGGCAAAACTGATAAATGATAGCGTTCCGGACACTATCGACGAACGTGTTCTGAATAAACCAGGGAGGAAGATCAAGAACCTGAACGCATTTCATATGACCGAGAATAATAACATAGTGATTAACTCTGCCAAAGGCATTGGTTGCTCGGTCGTGAATATTGGAAGTGGCGATATCATAGAAGTTCGCGAACACCTTATCTTAGGTCTGATATGGCAGATCATCCGTCGAGGTCTGCTCGGCAAGATTGACATCAAACTCCATCCTGAGCTTTATAGGCTCTTGGAGGATGATGAGACGCTAGAGCAATTTCTTCGTTTGCCTCCAGAGCAGATTTTATTGCGCTGGTTCAACTATCATTTGAAAAATGCCAAATGGGATCGAAGGTGAGTGTGCTCAGCCAACTCTGATTTTCCCAAACAACCCGTGGACCACTGAGCAGTGTTCTTTCGGAATCTCCCAGGGCAAACCATTTTGCTGATACCTTCGCAGGGTGACGAATTTCTCCTCCGATGTGAAAGATGGTGAAAACTACACCGTTCTTCTCAACCAATTAGCACCCGATACATGCTCGCGGGGTCCCCTTCAAACCAGAGACCTGCTTCAGCGAGCTGAGCAGGTATTAACCAATGCAGATCAATTAGGATGTCGCAAGTTCCTCACTCCAACTTCTCTTGTTGCTGGAAACCCGAAACTCAATCTCGCTTTTGTGGCCAATTTGTTCAACACGATACCAGGCCTTGACCCAATCACGGAGGAGGACAAACTAGAGGTGGAGGATTTCGACGCAGAGGGAGAACGTGAAGCTAGAGTTTTTACGCTTTGGTTGAACTCGCTGGATGTCCAGCCAGCAGTCAATTCTCTCTTTGATGATCTTCGCGACGGCACCATCCTGCTACAAGCCTATGACAAGGTGATTCCAGGGAGCGTCAATTGGAGACACGTTAACAAGCCTCCGGCATCTGGTAATGAGATGATACGTTTCAAGGCAGTGGAAAACACAAATTATGCCACCGAGCTTGGAAAACATGTTGGATTTTCTCTAGTTGGCGTCCAAGGTGCCGATATTACTGACGGTCAGCGGACCCTTACTCTTGGGTTGGTGTGGCAATTGATGAGAAGGGACATCACAAATACACTTTCGAGCTTGGCACAGCGGATGGGCAAGCGTGAAATTACAGATTCAGAAATGATTCGGTGGGCCAATGATATGTCACAGAAGGGTGGCAAAGCTTCAGCCATACGCAGCTTTAAGGATCCATCCATTGGCTCGGGCATATTTCTCCTTGACGTGCTCAGCGGCATCAAGAGTAGCTACGTGGACTATGACCTCGTCACCTCCGGCCGCACTGATGAAGAAGCTTATGCGAATGCGAAATTGAGTATCAGCATCGCAAGAAAGCTCGGTGCAACAATTTGGCTTGTTCCTGAGGATATCTGCCAAGTCCGCTCTCGGCTTATCACGACCTTCATTGGTGAGTCTCCCTTCAAACCCCTAGAGCTGTATTAGCAGTGGTGACTGACTTTGTCGAAAGGTTCTCTCATGGCTGCGTACGAAAAGATGCAATAGATTACGTTTTCCTGGCTATGCCAACAACGGTCAGATGCAGGGAACAAGCGTTTTTCCTTACCCCCGCTACCTTCAGTCTCGTTTTTCTTTTGTGATTTTTAGTAGTGCAGCTCAACCAATAAAACAATATAGCAGCGTTGGTCCATTATGTTCAATTCTACATGGATAGGCACAAGAGCCAAGTCTCGGGCCTGACAGATACTGCTATCAGTGTCTAATTTAGGTTTGATATATATATATATATATATATGTATATTTTCATCCGAAGTCGGTTCAAACGCATATGGAGTACATGTTCCATGTTTTCATTACTCTGCGCGTTATGGCTTTACGATGACATGGCAGGGAGTATAAGCCCAATTGATGCAGTGCCGGATGAGCTCAGTGTACACACTAGGGGTAGCTACGGTCACCATAGAGGAAGTCAACTGATGTTTACATGCGCCTTCGCCCTCCAGACATAATGCCATGGCACGCCCCTTGACACCCTCCTGCATGACAACTTCGTAAATAGTTCTATGGTGTGGCTACATACACATTTTATAATTATATGTCAGGTTGAACCTATCAAGTCCGTAAATTGCATACCGGCCACTTGCTTTACCTGTCCATCTAAGTGCTGGTTCGGCTGATAATCTTGCTTCCATGATCGTTGTCTCCTGAGACTAGCGCAACAATAAACTAGATATGACGTATAGAACCGACAGACTTTTGATTACCATCTAACGTCCTGGAAAATAGGGTCTCTCCGCGCCGTTCGTGGTGGTTTTGCCGCCAGGGAGGGAATATTTCTCAAGATGTACATGAAGTGCAAGTCACAGCATCTCTTGCGGAAGATTGAAATAACAAGTGGATTCCATATAATTATATACCAGCTCTAGTGGCTCAGGGCGGACCTTCGAGCTCAATTTCACGCATTTTGACAAAATCAGGATAGACAACATTCGAAGTGTAATTATAGATTCAACAACGGCATAACTACTGCTACAGTTCATGCGTAATTACGTTGCTCCTGTTGGATTAATGATGTCGACAAATTAACTCAAGAAGTCTTTTTTTGTTCCTTGAAATCATAATAAGAACATGGAACATTTAAGTGAGCATCTAACCTTCAATTCATATACCTTTACATAAATTAGATGATTTATATTATCACAGTTTGGCTCTTCTGCTTCTCAGTCTGGCACTCCACCGCGCGTCGAAGTTATTATTACTACTACTAATTCAGTTCCACTATGATGTTACAATCGGTCTCGAGACGATAATGGGAAGTTCGCTCGTATCGACGGTTCGTACGGGACGGGGTCAAAGGAATGCTAATCGACTAAATTTGTGATTAAAACGGACGACGGGCCGCCGAAGATCGTGTGGAACGCAATGACGACAAAACTGGCGGAGTAAGGAGATTCGTTCGGCAAAAATTCGAGCTGCTGACCAGAATGAATAAATAAACCCAATCACGAAAAACCAAACCAAACCCCTGAGTTTATGATCCCAATTTTCAACTCATTTCACCATTGGTAAGGATCATTTTGCCCTGGTTTTCTCTCCTCCACTTCCCGTTTCGTCGGAAGCAACTGTGACGGTAACGATTAAGACATTGAGAGTATACAACAAACAAGAAAGGGTGATTCGGTGTCTAGGACAAATACCGGTGTACAATTTCTCCTGGCAGTGTTCATGTTCGTTTCAATTTGCTGATCTGACAGCGTGGTATCAGCAATGGGGAAGAAGTCCTTCATCTTTCTCCATTTAGTCGCCTGCTCCTCAGCAGAACACAGGAGAGGCTGGTGCGATGAATGGTTTTTACCGCCCTACTCGGCGGTGTCGAGCTCGTCATGGACAGAAGTTAAAGGGTCCAGGGAAGCTATCCCGGTCAGTAACAAGTTTGATCTCCAATACCATTTACCGAACCACTCTCGCTTCATCTTCTTGCTCAGAGTGGAAAGGTAGTGATGATACTCAAAAACGAAACGGGTCAGGGACTGTAACAACTGTACCTTTTCTATCCTCGCCATTTGGACCATTTTCGCGCTCGTCTTCGCGTCTTTCACGATCATCATCACGGCGATCCCTATCATCTTTGATGTCACGTTCTCTGTCATCAGGGCTGCGGGAGCGATCACGAGAGCGCTCGCGCTCGCGATCACGGCGGTCATAGTCGCGATCACGGCGCTCGTAGTCGCGATCACGGCGCTCGTAGTCTCGATCAGGCCGTTCAAACTCTCGCTCGTACCTATCGTCCCGACGAGGCGAATAGTCACTTCGACCCCGGCGCGGGGATGGGGAACGACCACGGCGAGGAGGAGTACGGTCACGGCGACGGTCACGACCAGAGTCGAAACGCCACGAGGCCGATGGAGGAGTTCGGGCCCACTTGACGATATTGTCAGCTAGAGAAACGAGAACCCTACTTCGGGACTTACTTCAATTTTCAGCAAATCATCTCTGCCAATCCGTTTGTTGTGCATTTCGTGATAGGCATCGTCGGCGTCACGGCGGCTTTCATATTCGACGAATGCAAACCTTATACCGATTAGAATGAGAACAACGGGAAGGGAAAGAAACGAAGAAAAACGCAGTCTTCGAAACAGGGATAAACACACAGTCTGCTAGAGGGCGTACGCGGGGCCGGGATGTCACAACGAACAAGGCGACCATATCTAAGATGAGGTTAGAATATTTGCAACAGTTTCAGCCGAATATGAGCAGCAAGGGGTGATTTTGGCTAATTGGTGCAAAGACAATGCATTCGAACGAGTCCACAGCAAGGTGACTATGGATAAAGGGGAGAGGGGAGGGAGCCAGTGGATAGGATCACATCTCCTAAAGTAGGGGAAAGACGAGTTCCGGCGTCGACATCGCGAGACTCCGACGAGGTAGGGATATTGCGGAGATGGCAACGATTCGTCTGGTTATGGTAGCGTGTGAGAATCGACGAGCCGAACGTACCGTTCGAATTCGTAGGCTAAGTCGCGAGCTCGAGTGCCGTGCCCGAAGCCGGTGACATAGAGAGTAGTACCAGGGCGCGACATTTTCGTTGGAGGCGTTGAGCGGATCGTGTGGGATATCGGGGTAGCACGGGCAACACTACAGTGACAAGTTGTAGGTTGGATGCCAGATGGTGGGAGCAATCAGGACAGTATCAGGAAATGAGGAAGTTGAAGAATGACCATGAGACTACGGCTGGTCTTAAACACCATAGACGACGTTATTAATATTACCTGAGCGCCAGTTACAGTTAGCGAGGTGTACAGCGTCTGTATGGTACTTCAAGATTTGAATACAATACATACATGACACCCCATGGTCGTCGGCTGAAACAACCTCAGCAGGTACCACCAGCACATCAAACCAAATATCTATCCGTATTTCGTACTACTCCGTACCTTGGTACTTACTTGCCTACGGTCAGTACATTGTAAGATCTCCTGGCTTTCTTTGGATGAACTCTCCAGAGAGCATGAATTTGTTTACTTTAGGAGCTTTCTTTGTTAGAATTACCAGGAGACAACCGGTAGTAACTTATACAGCCTAGCAGAGCATAAAGTAGCCTGACCATTTCAGGCCATCCGAAACCTTTGTACTATTTTCGAAAGGCCTTCGGAAGTTTATTACTTGGGCAGTACGAAGTAGCAAAGCCTTGACACGGACAACGAATCTGTTCCCAAAAATAGGCGTATCATTGAATTGTACGGAGTATTGGTAGGGCAGTAATTACAGGGGTATGTGGCTCGGACCACCAAACCTTGAGACCAATTGACTGGTGGAAGCTGTTATTAGGGAGTAGGGAGTTAGTCAATGAACAAGCTGAACTAGTTAACTATTCCACGGAGTGTGCCTTGGATGATGATAATAAACAAGACAACTTCACTAATTCTAGTCACCACCCACTCTTAACTCCTTATGCTATTACTTGGACTGACAAATCCTCCTAATCTCAGGTGATTGTTTCCCTCCTTTTTATCATACTCTAGTACTAATCATGCTCAAATTACTGTTAGAAATACAGACGATTGATACCTACATTAAAACAACACTTGATAGCAGCACAACCAAGCGACATAATCTTGACTGTCTCGATTTAAGCTCTTTTCAACAGGCTTCCTCCTAAGGGTATCCATACGGCTGTGTCCTCTCAACATGCTGCTTTGATTGGGATTAAGTCGCTCTCATGGTTCTACAGCAACAACCGAACAAACCGGGAACCATATTAGTATATTGTTAAATCTCATTCGTTGAATGCTCGAAACTCGACTAGAACAACGAGAGGAACACAATCGGAATTGCCTACAGATTCGTGCGATCTATGTAACGGACGTTCGTCAATTCTCAAGGATAGCTTAAGGCACCTATAGCATTCGGATGCTGGGTTCTCAGCAGCAAAATGAGCCTAGATCGCCAAAACGGAGCTCAACGCGATGAAACGAAGGGCGTCAGGGAAAAGTCTATGAGCCATCTACCTCCATTGCCACCCTCGTCTACGCCCGTCGAGGTACGGCTAATTCCATTTGCTCCTCAAATTCCATTACTTATTGTCCCAGGATAAATTTACTACCAGCACACCTAACTTCCTTCGAGAAATCAAGGGAAAGGTCTCTGAGCCGGTAGCGGCAGCCTTTGTTGGCGGTGGCGTGGCCGGTGCAGTCTCCAGAACAATTGTCTCGCCTCTTGAGCGCCTAAAGATTCTTCTTCAGATACAAAGTGTTGGCAGGGAAGAGTATAGGTTATCTATATGGAAAGCTCTTGTTAAAATAGGAAAGGAAGAAGGCTGGAGAGGCTTTATGCGAGGCAATGGCACAAATTGCATACGCATTGTCCCCTACTCTGCGGTACAGTTTGGGAGCTATAACTTCTATAAGAAAGTGAGTTGGACTACAACCTCATATAAACCCGACAGGAATCTCTCTCTCTTCCCACCCCTCAACCATTTGCTACGCTTAGTCTTTAACACAACTTTGTTTCAAGTTTGCGGAACCTTCACCAAATGCGGATTTATCACCGGTGCGCCGCCTTATTTGTGGAGGTGCTGCCGGCATTACGTCTGTCGTAATAACTTACCCTCTGGATATCGTTCGGACACGGCTTTCAATTCAGTCAGCTTCTTTTGCTGTCCTCAGCCAGAGCGGTCCCGAAAAAAAATTACCAGGGATGTTTCGTACCATGGTTCTTATATACAAAAATGAGGGTGGTATCATAGGCCTCTATCGGGGTATCGTCCCCACAGTTGCCGGTGTTGCTCCATATGTGAGTCTGACAAACCCAGCATGCTGACTATCACTGACTGTTGTCAGGTTGGTCTTAATTTCATGACATATGAATCGGTTCGCACATATTTAACGCCTGAAGGGGATAAGACGCCAGATTCCCTACGTAAGCTTTTGGCTGGAGCAATTTCTGGCGCAGTTGCCCAGACGTGCACATATCCTTTGTAGGTTATTTTCCTTTTTATTTGACTCGTAAGAGTGGTTAGGATCAAACCTCTGCTTTCCCTAACCATCAGTGGGACTCATTGGCTTATCCATTTATCTTAGTGATGTTCTGCGCCGGCGCTTTCAAATCAACACAATGACTGGGATGGGTTACCAATACTCTTCAATTTGGGATGCTGTGAAAGTCATTGTGGCTAATGAAGGATTACGTGGTCTTTTCAAGGGGATAGTCCCGAATCTCCTCAAAGTGGCGCCCAGCATGGCTAGCAGTTGGCTCAGCTTTGAGCTAGTAAGGGATTACCTCGTTGAATTAGGCGACAAGTGAAATCTCACGAATCCACGCCGTGTCTTATAACAATATATAGATCAGCTGTCTCTTTAGCCATCATATCCTTACGTCCAATCCGTGCGATAGAAATCTACCTCCTAGTACAATATAAAGAGCCCATAACTATGGGATAATTCATTTTGTAATTAATTTGTAAATTACATTATCCCAAGTAGCCATTGCACGTATTCTCTCATCAATTCTAACTTCCGGCCAAGTTAACTTGAATTCAAGAACAAAGAGACAGTTCACTTCAATAAGAATCAATCAGAACTGAAAGCTAAAAGTTTAATGGTGGGCAATGATTATTCAATTTGTTACCTACTGTTCATCTAACATTTCATACTTATTTTGTTTCAAGTTTGTGGTGGGAACAATGGAGGAGTTTGATAGATTCCCAAACTGGGAAGGGGCTACCTCATAACACTGATTGAATAGACCTTTCCGGCTTAGAGGTTTTCTCTTCAGATTCTCATTCCTTTTGTCCACTGCCATATTCGTGTATCACGACTTCCCCCGTGTCCCAAGCTTGATCAGTACTCCGCACGGGAGTATTCAATCAACCTTTATAACTAGACTAAGAGGGCCGGACATACATTGACGGTAGTGTTTCTCAATCACGGTTACTGGCTTATCTAATTGATTGGCTGTGTATGGATTCCAGCAATCTAGCTCAATGCGTTCTGTATACAGGGTTAAAAGAGAACTTGTATAAGATATGTTTGAAAATGTAGCCTAAGTTTATTCATTTGATATTGAATTAAGCTTGAGGCTGCAGGGCTAAGTCTACATGTACACAGACATGATGACCAGGTACCTGGACAAACTTAATAAGTCAATTTGGTTATGCATGTTGTGAAGATGCGACGGATCTGGACCCGCCTATGGAATTCTACTCCAAGGGGAGTACTGAAACTGATGGCGGTCCGACGATGGGACGCTTACATTGATAGTCCAAAAGACAACAATACTTCCCAAGCAATTTTAGATGACTAGAAGAAGCAAAGCAACAAGGCAAGTGTCACTTTTCTTGGGCCACCCCAGTTGACATTTACATGGCTGCCATGACTCCATAATAAATCCTTGGTCTAGGCCCTTGCTTAATTCTGTCTTAGTGTTTAAAGAATGCTACAGCCACTTCGGGCCTAGCGTATTCTTAGAGAACCATTATTTGTATGTTTTTTTGGTCCATATTCAGCCTCTGTCTGTATTTCACAGGAAAGTATCAGAGGAAGCCACATACATATTTGAGTTGCGTTGAGAACAGTAACTCATTCCGGTTCCCTGTGTTCTAGGATCATGGCTGTTGACTTGATTGATAAGGGATAACCAAAAGACGCCGTCTGTCTTGAAATCCTGGAAATTGATTGAATAAATTTACAGTTTCTGGCACTCGGGTATACTTTGGTATTGACTAGAGATATGGGTTTGGAACTCGGTCCAAGTGATGAACTCAGCCATAGTTCGCTGCGGATGGTGGCAAGGTATGGTATACTAGTACATGCACGGCCGACGAATTTGAATAAGCAGTGCCAGCAGAAAGCAGACGGGGAGACAACAGGGATAGGGCAATCGTCTCAGACGTTCATGAGCGATAACACCACTGTATGAGCCGTCATCAGAGATAACGACATCTCCAGATCAGCAGGTAGAAGTACGCAGCGCATTCGACATCATGGTGATTTCTTGCAAATATGTTGGTAAGTACAAGCCTTTATTTAGGTAATGTAGTAACTGAACTTTGAGATATTACGAGGTTGAGAAAAATTACAAACTTTTGCGTTTGCTTTACAGAGTAACTAAACTAACCAGTTACCTGATTGCTGACTACGCTGGTTCGGGATTTTGGGTGATTAGTAAGGTAGGGCACAACCCGCACACACCGTCCGGTTGTAAAATCGTAGATCGAAAACCTCACCAGCTTGACTTCGCATACGGGTGCGACAGCTAGCTAACCTCCAGGTATCCCCATCAGTACCAGCAGCCATGGGTATGTTTCACACCCTTTTGAAGTTGGGCTTGAATGATCAGACTTGTTCATTTCATGGATTTCTCTTTTCATGCAATTTTCGAGTAATTTAGGTGATATTCTTTCTAATCTTAAAATTTAGGTATCGACTTGGACCGCCACCATGTGCGCAGCAGCCACCGCAAGGCGCCGAAGAGCGAGAACGTCTACCTTCAAGTTCTCGTGAAGCTGTACCGCTTCCTCTCCCGTACGACTGGACCTGCCTATTCAAATGCAACCCGCGGACTCTTCGAGACTAACGAGATGTTTACTTTATAGGCCGCACGGATTCGAACTTCAACAAGGTTGTGTTGCGCCGACTCTTTATGTCGAGAATCAACCGCCCGCCTGTTTCGCTCTCGCGTCTTGCGTCTAACGTGACCGAATCCCACAAGGGCAAGACTGTCGTCATCATCGGCAGTGTCACGGATGACAACCGCCTTCTTAACGTCCCGAAGCTGTCCGTTGCTGCTCTGCGCTTCACCGCTACTGCCAGAGCCAGGATCGAGAAGGCTGGAGGTGAGACCATGACTTTGGACCAGCTGGCTCTCCGTGCGCCTACTGGAGCCAACACGCTTCTCCTTCGTGGCCCGAAGAACTCCCGCGAGGCTGTTAAGCACTTCGGCTTCGGTCCCCATAGCCATAAGGTATGTCTATCTTTTATAGGGCTGTCGAAAGTGGTGTCCGGAGGTCTAATGCTAACCCGTGGTAGAAACCCTATGTGAGAAGCAAGGGTCGGAAGTTCGAGAGAGCCCGCGGCCGGAGAAGGTCTCGCGGTTTCAAGGTCTAAGGGATTGCTCTGTCTCATTGTGGATCTTGAAAGCAGAATCGGCGACGGTCAACTGGAATATCGGACAGGGTTGTACCTGTACTTTGTTGACTGGCTCATTTCGTGGCTAGCTTCGGAATTTCTAGCCGGCGTGGCAACAAAAGCAAATGTCGTGGGTTGATTAGAAATTCACGTAGAAGTGAAATCGAGGTGGAAATGAAATGAATATGTTTTCTAAATGAGGCGTTGACAAATCGCAAAACTAACTATCTTTATGTACCGGCAAACTTTCGTGTTTCCATCTCTTTCCCCCAGCACCTTCATGGTAATCACCTGCGGTGTGGCCTTCACCCCTAAGCATATATTTGTAGATGGTCAAACCATCCAGTCCAACCGGGCCTCTCGTGTGTATTTTGTTCGTACTGATCCCAACCTCAGTACCAAAACCATACCTCATCCCATCTGCGAATCTTGTCGAAGCATTCCAGAAGACACCCGCACTATCAATGCTGTTCATGAACATGTCTGCTGCCTGCTTTGACGCAGTCAAGATGATGTCGGTGTGTCCAGATGAATGTGAATTTATATGATCAACTGCCTCTTCGATAGCAGCGCTGGGCTGCGATGTCGAGGCAATCGTTTTGACAGCCAAGATGAGGTCCAAAAATTCGGTATCATAGTCGGCATCGGTAGCATCCAGCAGCAAGCCATCCGGTATAGTTGGCAATGTCTCCGATAGCGCCGCTTTTGCAGGTGCGTCACAGCGGAGACACACCCCTTTCATGAATAGTGCTTCGGCGATCTTGGGGAAAATAGTCTCAAGGCAGTCCTGATGCACGAGCAATGATTCAAGGGAATTGCAAGCGGCCGGATAATCGGTTTTGGAGTCCACAACGACCTTGATGGCAATGTCTGCGTCTGCATCAGAGTGAAGGTATGCGGAACAAATCCCATCGGCATGGCCAAGTACAGGGATCTTCGTATTATCCTTGACGTAACGGACAAGATCGTTCGAACCTCGAGGAATGACGAGGTCGATTAGTCTGTCCTGAGCGAGTAATGAGGCAACGACATCTCTTGTTACGACTAGTTGAACAGATGACTCGGGAACCTTGGTGTTTGAAATCGCCTCAGAGATAACTTTCGAGATAGTAACGAAGGTTTGCGTCGACTCTTTCCCACCTTTTTACGGGTCAGCCAACAATGAGCAAGTCGCGGAACAACATAGGGCATCTTATTATGTTTTTACCTTTGAGGATTGCAGAATTCCCGGATTTAATTGCCAACGCCGCTATATTTGCAATAACCTCCGGGCGAGCTTCAAAAATAATGAGCAAGACACCAATTGGGCAGCTCACTCTTTCTAGAATAAGTCCGTCGTCTACAAGCGTCCGTAGGGTGACATTTCCGACTTTGACGCCGTCAGTAAAAGTTGACAAGAACCGGTATTCAGAAACTCACTCGGATCCTTTAGATCCCGCACACTCAATATACCCTGCAACATGTCATCATACTTTCCCGGCCGCGATAAGTCGAGTCGCTTCAGGACACTGTGGCTCAGGTTACCGCTTTCTGCAGCACACGTCGCGATCTCCACATCCCTAGAATTTGCCTCCAAGATGGAACTCTTGTTTTTTGACAACGCATTGTGAAGTGCTGTCAATGCCTCATTTCGGTCTATTTCGGACAGGACAGCTAGACGACGAGAGGCTAGGGAGCCGGCTTTGGCGATGTCATGGGCAGATGATTCCGTAAGAGACATTGGTAAAGTCCTGAGGATTTGTAAACCTGACCGGCAAATTATCAATAGAAATGAATATGTATCAATGAGTGAAGAGATTGTTATATTGGTGCGAGTTCAGCGAAAAATGACGGCATTCGGAATTACTCCTGCTTTCTCGGTACTGACTTCGCTTTTCACCAACTTATGCTGATATGACTAATCAGGCGTCACATAAAGAAGGCCGCTGCCAAGAAGTTTTGTGAACAGGCCGAGTGAAGTAATACCCGCCCTCAACTAAAGCCCCTAGTAGTGGAGCGGCGTTACTATTGCGATGCCTATCAAGCCCATGCCTCAAATACACACCGAGTTTCCATGGAAGGGACCAGTTCTCTTGTCAGTTTAAGTAATGTATAAGTGTAGGTCGCTTTGTTTATTCTTGTAAAATACATGTTACCTGTTATTGTCACTTATCAATGTAGGACGAATCGGAGGCATGTTACCATAAAAGCGGTGGCCTACATAAAATCATACCTATGCATGATAGCCCAGAACCCCGCCAATTCTTGAAATGACGCAGACTTTCCAGCCTCAGTACAACCAACTAATTGGCCATTGGCAGCACTATCAAACGAATCGTCCCATGCTACAGTGCTTCGATATCTTCTATCTCTGCAAGTCTCCATCGATACGTTCGATATTGTCAAGTTACACATTTGATCGAGCCATATGTCTATGACCATGGCAGAGATCCTTACCCGCCTGACATCTCTGCCTCCCCGTTCACAATCTCCACACGGTGTGCATAACGAGCAATATGATAGCCAAATCCGTGACCTCATTTCCTACCTTAGGCACCCCGGCAAGCCTTCTGACATTGCAAATGCTAGTCAGTATCTTTTAGATGTAAGCAAATTCCCGTGACCGATTTGTCGATATCTTGTGTCGTCCATAGCTCTCATGTATCATACATTCCCAAAACAGTAGCAGCTAACGTTTTTCATGCGCAGAATCTTGACCCATCAGAGCACTCCCTGTCATATCTCTATGTGCTTAACTATCGCATACAATCTATCCAGAACAATACCAAAAACATCTTACCAGATGATGTACTCCCTGGAGGCAATTCATGGGGATGGGCCGTTCTTTTCTTACAACAATTTGACCCTATACAAATGAGATATGCCGGTCAGGAATGGCGGAACCTTGTTCACCTTGTATCCCAAGCCGCCCTGGCTGTTTCAAAGGTAGGGTGGCGTGGACCTGCTCCTAGTGTAGTGGTGTTGTTACTGACTTGTATAGCCCCTACTAGCAGTCCAAATCTTGAAAGATTCTATACTCAAAATAGATCCTCGCTCGCGGGTTTTCACCTCTATACACCTTGTTTTTGTTAGGCTTTGTTTACTATCAAAGTCATACGGTCATGCGTTACCAGTTCTGGATAGACAAATCTATCTATTCCCTACAATCACGGGTCAAGCATATCAAAAGCACCATCGTCATTTGCCGTGTGCAGTACATGAATCTAGCGATGCGTTTATCACTGATAATGCAGATTTCTCTTCGAAGCTGACATACAGAGATTGTCTCCAATACCTTCTATATGGGTCGATGGTTTATATGGCACTGAAGCAGTGGTCCAAGGCCCAACACTGTTTAAGTATGGTTATTGCCTCTCCTGTTACAAACTCAGTCAGCAAAATCATGGTGGAAGCATACAAGAAATGGATTATAGTTAGCCTCCTCGGGCATGGAAGGGTAATATCCGCCAAGCTGTCACTTAATAGATGCAGGAGGAGCTAACGTGTTGACATATCAGCTAACGCCGGATCCTGGGATCATTGCGTCCCATGTCACGAGAATCTACCAGTCCTTGACCAAACCGTATGCATCCGTTGCTGAAGCATTCGAGCGTGGTGACTACCGTGGACTCGTTGCTGAGATTGAGATCGCCCAGTCCGTGTGGTGCATGGTGAGTGAAAACATGAAACAGGGGTCGCGGACTGGTCCTTATTTCTAGGTTCTCGGAATTGACTGAATCCAGGATAATAACTTGGGCCTTGTCTCTCAGGTTATACGAGCTTTCCCTAGATTCATGGTTACAAAGCTAGGGAAAACTTTTTGTGCTCTCACAATGCGGGATGTAGCACACCGTGTGTCGGGCTGTTTACCATCCCAAGGAATTGAACAGTTTGTGGCTTGCACAATCATGTCTAATATGTTAGATGCTGTCTTGTTGCACCCACGAAATAATAACGATCATACGATGCTTCGGCTTGCTCATGGAACAAAGTCCCGCTTACCTCAAGAACGCCGGGTGCAATGTCAGCTTATATTAGCGGACCAGTCGTTTCACGTACTCGCGGACACCGTCAACCAAAGCAACGTCGAACTGGATCTCGGCAATGACCATTTCCAGTTTTTGCAAAAGTCTCAGAGATGGGTGGACCATGCTGGAAAGATTGGCAGGGGTTTCCCTGCAGGCAATGCCAATGCTGCTGATACCGATGAGGACATTATGAGTGATCTTCATTGAAGCCAAGTAACGTTGGCCCAGGCTCTTTCTCATTTTCGTCCTGTGGTATTAGATAGCATTGATTCGATGCATTTTCTGAATATTGACGACACGATTCTAATGACTAGGCCATGGACTTTCCCTATCTCTCTCCTAGTAGTTATTATTGACATCATTTGTGATCTCGAATATCTGATAGGTGGTTGAAGGGTTGTATGATGTATCCAACTTATCTCTGCTCTAAAGTATGTCTGTTTATACGAGCGGGCTTCTTCAAATCCTTAATAGTTCAAAGACTCAGGACTAGGGGAACAGTTTTTGATTAAATTGGGGAAATCATATTCTAATTTGTTGTTTCAGTCCATATTTGCGCTATTTACATCCTGAATTTTTGCTAATACATTATGCTCTAAAGAGGCGTTTCCCACAAGCCCTAAAGCATGCCAATTTTCTTAGCAAAATTTGCGGCTAGTAGTAATACTAGTCCTATCACAACAGCAATATACTGGGGATGGTCAAACAGAAATGAGTAGTTGAAGAGTAACTTGACTGTCTTAATATAGAGTGGCAGGGCCGCCCCCGGAGCCCTGGCCACGGATCACTTTCAATCCGCTCTGGATTAGGGTCAACAACACCTAAGCTAGTAGCAATAACAGTAATAGTAGTAGTAGTATGTCAAGACCCTAGGATCCCTTCTCGCTTCTGCCGTACTAGCGTTGGTGACTTGGGTTATTCAGGGTGAAGAGCGCCCTGCGGTCTTCCTATCAGTTATCAACAATAGATTCTGTACTAACCTGAGGCCTCACACAGTGGCCATGCTACTATATTAATCAACGAGTGACCTGATGGTCTAAAGATGACTAATAAGTAATAAGAGAAGTAAGATGTGTCAGATATAGAAACCTGATTACTTAGATTAAGTATAAGTAAGTAGAAACTAGACTTGAAATGTATACTCAGACTTGAGAGTGTTATTAAATATAACTAATTAAACTATAGATATAGGTAAATAAGTATCCTTATATATTCTTTCTTAGCTATTTTTATAGTAACTCCTTTATAATCACTTCCAGAGTTATTTTAATTATATATTTCCCTTAGTACCTACTTCTCTGGCTACTCCCTGGGGGTAGGTATAAAGTAGATAATTATATTATATAACTACTCCTCTATCTCATGTTAGGAGTAGATGATTATATTATATAACTTATAGTTATCCTTATGCAAGGGTTCTGATTTTTATATTAATTAATTAGTGTTAGGCTTCTGCCTGGCTGTACTGTCTTTTATAAAATATTAATCTTATTAAGTTTCTATAATATTACTCCCCTCTCTTCTAGTGTTTTATTCTTGAAACTTATAAAAATATATTTCTCTCTTAATTATAGTTTCTGAAATCTATCAATCTTTTTCTTATACTAATATTATTATGCTAGTAAATAATAATACCTGAAAGCATAATTATCTTTGTTAATATAACTTTATTCTTGCTACTAGCTCTGTTATTAATATTTCTTATAAATCCTGTTCTTCTTATAATATTAATTATATTATAGACTTGAAGAGCAAGAACTGTGCTAAATATATATATTATAAATAGAAGTATATAAAGCAGTTATATAATAAATAAGAGTGAGAATCTCTTGAGAGAGATAAGAAGTATCTAGCTAATAATTTAGTTAAAGCTAAAAAGTAATAACTTAAATATTCTTAAAAAATATTATAAGTTATATCCAAGATCCTCTATTTAAGAAAGTAAGAATAATTTCTAAAAGATTATAATAGCTAGATACTTAGCCATAACTCCTTTATTATAAAGTAGCTTGATAATAAGAATCCTCTAAGTCCTGAGAATCTTTAAAAGCTAGATTATCTAGCTAATATCTAAGATAGTGCTTAACTTGCCATGGTATCAGATATCTCTAGTTTTTCTTAGATAATAAATAATCCTTCTTTCTAAGTAAGTATTGATTTGTTTACTAGTAGTATTACTAAACTAGCTAGTAATAGCCTATTAAATTTTTAATAGGCTCTTATATGTTTTCTGAGATATTATATCTTTTTTATTTAACTAAGTAAAGTAGTTTCCTATTAACTTGTTTATCTCTCAGGATTTTCTTGACTTTATATTCTTATTTAATACTTTTATTAATTTTTACTCTTGTTGTAATTTGGTTTTTCTTTAATACTAGTTCTAATAATAAGACATAAAAGACTAGGTGTATATAGTATATTAATTCTAGTAGTTTTAGCTAATAATTAACTATTTTTAATTTCTTTTTAATAATAAATAGTCTTAATTTCTAGTGGTTAAGTTTCTGACTTAATTATTTAGTTTTAATATTTTTATAAAGCAGGAATACCTTTTCCCCCTCTTTTAGATTAGGCCTTTTCTTATAATATTTATTATAGTAAATTACTGCCTTTATATTTATAAAGTTAATATCTCTTACTAACTACTAGTGTAGTATTTTAAGTATTTTTATTACTTCTTTTACTTATTCTAATATGGTTTTCTTGTTTCTGGGTTTATTATATATCTTTAGATAGTAATTATAATTTATATAGAATAATATCTCCTGCATGATTATATATACTATATTATTATATATAAATTATACTATTAGTAGGTATTGTTTCTAATTATTTTGATTATAATTAATATAATATTAAAGATACTGCTTAATAATCTAGTTAGTTCTTTTTATTTAATTATTTGCTTGTGGGTAATATACTATTATTAAGTAATAATTAATCCCTATAATATCTGTTAATAATTTCTAAAATTTTGATATAAAAAACTTATCTCTATCTAATATAATCTTCTATAGTATCCCATGATTAGTAATAATATAATATAGTAGCATGTAAGCTATGTCTTGTACTATTATTATGCTCTTTATTAATATAAGCTAGATATATTTTATTAATCTATTTATAATAATAGTAATTATATCCTATCCTCAGGATTCTAGTAGTGGTCTAATAAAGTCTATTATTATTTATTCTTATAGTTATTTTGATATGTCTAGTAATTATATCTTTCTATAAGATTAGTATCTTGCAGGCTTGTCCTGTATATAAGTATTATAATTTTAAATATAACTCTGTATAGTTTTTTACATGTTAGGCTAATAATAGTTCTAAGTAATTTATTTATATGTTTTCTTAGTTCTAAAGTATTCTTGAAGTAGTTTATTATAGTATATTCTAATAATCTCTTGTCTTATATAGTAAGGTATATAAATAAGTTTATATATATAAACTAATCTGTCTTTGTTTGTAACTAATTTATTATTATCTACTAAGTTATTTAATATCTCTTAAATAGTTTTATCTTTCTTTATTTTATAAATTAATTTATTTACTAGATTATTCTTGATCTCTATGATTCCTGCTAGCTATTAATAATTATATATTAATAATTTATTCTTATATTACTTGAGGATTACAGGTTTAATAATTTTGTCTTTTAGCTTATAGTCTAGTTATTAACTTAGTATATTAGCTTGGTTATTCTTACTGTCTTTGTAATATTAGATTCTAAAATTATATTATAATAATATTTCTAACTATTTTGCCTGTCTCTATATTAACTCTTTAGTTATTATAAAGAAAATAAGGTTCTTGTAGTCTATTCTAATAATAATTTATTACTTTACTTCTTTAAGATAGACTCTTTATATTTTAAATATAGTAATAATTACTAATAATTCTTTATTATAAATATTATAGTTTAGTTCTACTTAGATTAGTTTTCTTGAATAAAATATAACTAGTTTTAGCTTGTTATTATTTCCTAGTTAAGTTATTCTTATTCTAATAGTATAATCTAAAGTATCTGTTTTTATTATTGTTTCTTTCTCTGGATTATATTATATTAAGACTAGTATAATAATAAGTTAGTGTTTAATATCTTTAAATATTCTTTAATAATTATTTATCTAGTTAAAGTCTCCTGTTTTCTTTATTAGGTTAAAGAGTAGACCTAGCTTATATATATAGTGATAGATAAATCTCCTGTAGTAATTTACTAATCCTATAAATTACTATAATTTTTTAAAATTTCTTAGTTATGACTAGTCCCTGACTACCTGAACTTTATTTTTATTAGTATAAATTTCTTTTATAAATATCTAGTATTCTAGAAAGTCTGTTTTCATGATATAAAATTTATATTTCTTTAATTTATATTATAGCTTGGTGATTTATAGCTTTTATAATACTTGTTTAATATATATCTTGTATTCTTTAAGATTCTTTAAGAAAATAAGAATATTATTAAGATATATAATAATAAATATATCTAGTAGTTCTTCTAGTACTTTATTAATAAATCTCTAAAATAATACTAGTATATTAGTAAGACTAAATAGCATGACTAAATATTTATAGTAACTATATTTTAATCTAAATATTATTTTTTATTTATCTCCTTTAGTAATGCGTAGCTTATTATATATATTAGTAATATCAAGTTTTATGAAGATCTTAGCTCCTTTAAGCTTGTCTTATATTTCTATAATTAATAGTAATATATACCTATCTTTAATTATAACTTGGTTAAGTAATCTATAGTTTATATATAGTTATAGACTTCTATCTTTTTTTAGTATAAATAAAATATTATATCCTGCTGGTGATTTTGATAGTTAAATTATTTCTTTTACTAGTTATTTCTTAATATATACTTGTAGTGTCTGTGATTCTCTTTTTAATATTAAATAGATTTTTCTATATACCACCTGTTTTTCTTCTTTAATTAGAATAGTATGATCATGTGGCCTATGCTCTAATAGTTCAGGATTTTTAGGTTACTTAAATAGTTCCCTGAATCTTCTATAATCTTGTAGTATAATAGTCTGTTTTATTATTATTAATACTTATACTTTAATATTACTAGTATTAAGTCTCTTACTTATAGGTCTCTTGATAACTTCTCCTAGTATTATAATTTTATAATAATTTATTACTGTGTCTAGTGCCCATCCTGGTAGTATTATTAACCAGTCTTAGTGACT